CCTGATCTCTGCCCCTGTATTTCCTTATTTTCTTCATGCGAATGACGGGGTCATCAGTTACTCCCCAAACCTGTAGGTTCATGAATTTCATATGGGCATATTTTACATAAAATACAGCTCTCGTACATTTGTTCAGTCTCCCTTTCTGAATACGTCTGGTCGTCCCATAGACTGGTCACTCTTCATGGACACACAGCTGGGAACAGGTGAGTCTGGTCTCCTGCTGCATTCGGCTTCAACACCACAGAGACATACCTTCAGTCTCTAATGTATGCTGTCTAATGATTATGTACAAGCTCAGATACATACATGTGGTCCTCTGTAGCTCAGCTGGTAGAGCACGGCGCTTGTAACGCTAAGGTAGTGGGTTCGATCCCCGGGACAACCCATACACAAAAAACCCCCCAAAAAAAAAAAAAAAAACATGTATGCACGCATGACTGTAAGTCGCTTTGGATAAAAGCGTCTGCTAAATGGCATATTATATTTATTATTATATACATGTAGGCTGTACAAAACAGTGTACAAAAACGCACTGCACATACTCACGTTCGCTCGCAAACGCACACACACTCTTTCTCTTTTTCTTTCTTTCTTTCTTTCTTTCTTTCTTTCTTTCTTTCTTTCTTTCTTTCTTTCTTTCTTTCTTTCTTTCTTTCTTTCTCTCTCCCTTTCCTCCCACCTTTTAGCTTTTGTGTTGGTGTCATGTTCCCCAGAGAGACTTATTTTAGAGACAGTGCCCCTGTTCTCTCTCTCCTCAGAGACACTTATTGAACGTATAACCAAAGACATCCAGCATACAGTATGTTACAGTCAAATAAAACAATAATACAGAAGGTCTTATGATGGTCATAAAACACAACAGCTAAAGGAAAATACAATGAAGCACAATAAAATCAGCAATATCTGGAAACATCTTGATAGGGATAATTTGGGAATATGGAATACCTTTTCTATAACATTTATATTTACATTTCTAATTAGTTTTTTTTGCAGTTTCTGTGTTTCTTGTTCTATTCTCATGTCTGTGAATTATTTATATCTCGGATCCAAGGTCAATGATACAGACTGTTGCCTTCTCAATGTTGTATCAATAAACCAGCTCACAGTCTAGTGAAACAAATTGTCACGTTTGCATAAGCACCTGTTTTAGCCTTTAATAGTATTCCTTTACTAGAATAATTACTGTAGCCTATAATATTATTTGTAGGTGCTTTATCTAGGTAGAGATTGTGATAACAATTGCACTAGATAAAATCCTTATCTCTATTATGTGGATAGCTCTCCTTCCTTTGTTACTAGAATCAGACAATACATTTAATATGTTTTCATCATTAGTTGGTCCTTACATTGTTGTGGCCTGGAATCATAACTAGAACATCTCCAGATCAACTCACTGAAGTTTTTTCATTTCTGTTCTTGAAGACGCTTGAGAAATGTTGTTTGTGCACCTCTTAATTAAATAACATGTACTTTACCTTCTACAACTGATCTTTGGATACCATAATCCCAGAAATAAATGACGGAAGGGAAAGTTCTGGGTGTACAATAATATTGTAATGATAAGGAATACATCTCTTTTAAACACCTAACCCAACTTTTAAATGAGCAGACTGACTCAAATGACATTGCTTGGGATAGTTGTATTATTATTATTTTTTATTTACTTAAAGGAAACTAGAGCTGGTGTGATCTTACTCATGCAGTAGCCTTCAGTGCCCTCTGTTAGTCACTTGGTGGTGGAACAGCACAGCAATATCAGACCTCAGGCTACAGTATGCTAAGTCTATGGCCCAGTTTGAATACCTTTTGGATATATTAAATGCACTCTTCCTTCCTCGAGGAAATCAATAATCTGACATGGAAAGGTGGTGAACGCACTGGAGTGGAAAACATGTTTTTAACCTATCCTCTCACTTCCAGATCAGTGATTATCTTAAGGAAGGATACATTTGAAAGGTAGGCCTACTGATAGGACTACCATAGATAGGACTTATACCTAGTTTAACTACATGTCAGAGTCAGATACTGGAGATACTCAACCAGGTCAGAGTGAGGGGGTATCTATCTCAACCACTTTGCCTTTACTTAACATTGACATTGAATATGTTGAAAACTTCCATCACAGTCTTCCCAGACTAGATTAATATCCACTTGTCACTTCAGAACATTATTGTTCACAAGAGTTTGTTCACACCTCTAGAAATGTTTTGTTGTTGAAAGTGCTGGGAGTCTGTCCACTGACATTCACATTCTTCTAATATTAGAATGTTCGTGATGGTAGTTTAGGCTGCAATGATGTAGGCATGCTAGTCTCTTGTATTGGGTTGCAGCTGGTGCAATCTAATGTCAATTTTAGGGGATCTATATAGCAAGCCTTTATGGAAAAGTAACCTAGGTAGGCTATTTGTTTTGGTGGAAATGTTGTTTTCTTCCCCTAGCAACAGGCTAAACTTATCATAATAGTCTTTAAAACAAGCCATGTTTTGCTGTTTTCGTAACCCCCCTGTGGACACCGGGCAGGAAGGATGCCGAAGACGTCATGACTGCAGGACTCCGCTTCCATAGATAGGCCTATTACGGGAGGAGGAGAAAGTTTCGAGGAATCACCGGAGTGTAGGTGGTTATAGGACTGAGGCGGACCTGCTGAGGCAGAGGTTGGAGGCTGCAAAACATATTCAATAAAGGGATCAAGTCACTGCGGCAGCATAGACATTCGATTGAAACGGTTCTCCTTTTGGCGCGAGGGCGTCTTCTGCATTTCTTCAAGTAAGTGGGTCTTTTGTATGCATGTTATAGTTGTTAAATTTACAGATCCAATGCATTTTAATTAAATAACGATCGTGAATAGCCTTTACGCGCATTATAATCGTCAACATGAGGTTTGATCACGAGGCTATATGGTTGTTCTGAATAGCAGTAAATTCGACTAAAGGTATGTTAATTGAAGGAAATGATGTTCCATTTAATCCCGTAGCCACTGTATTTAATATGTATAGTTAACTTGTTTTTCAATTTGCTCCACATTTTTCTTTAAAAGCCACCGTCAATTACTTGTTGTATTAAAGTTTACTGCCCACTTAATAATTAAACGATTAGACACATCAAAGGGAAGGTAAAGTGACATGGATACTAAATAGCTTACTTGATTAATAAATGGTGCAATTCAAATCAGCAAAAAAAGGACTTAAATAGCCTACTTCACACGCCAATAATTTAAAAAAGTTTGTCCTCTTATGTTGTAATAAGGGCTTTGAGTCTGTTAAACTGTCTTAACGTGATTGATCTTGATTCTGGATTGTGAACGATCAAACCAAGTTATCATATTAAGCCTGTAGGCCTAGCACATTCTACAGTCATTTGCTCCCCAAAATACTTAAAGTTGGAAAAAATATAGCATTTAATCATACCCATGGCATGTAATAGCTATCCAAATCAACATTAGAACTACTAACCCTGGCCTTAACTTGCTTTGTGTACAGGAGCACATAAATTATGGATGTGGTATTTTGGACTTGTAAATCTACTTGAATATCGACTTTGGCTGCCTGTTTCTGGGAAACTGTTGCTGGGACTTTGATATGTGTTCTTTACTGTTTTAGGTATTTATATTACTTCAATATTTAATGAAATCAAGCTCCTTGTTTTACTGCTGCTGAAGTGATTGCAGCTTTTGAATCTGAATTCAGAGCCACATTGTGGTTGCAGACAGTTAGATTCACCATGGAGTGGAGTTTAGTTTGCTAGGTCAGGGAAAGATTGAAAGCCAGTCAGAAATGTTGAAAAAGTGGGGACAAATCACTTTTAATATGTTTCGATATAAGAAACGTCCGGGTTATATATAATATGAAGGGAAAACAATGATATTCATGAGTACTTGATTAAGGGTGATTATTTTGAACTTTGCCCCCACGCCAAAGTTTGTCATCACCATGACGTCTACAGGGAAAGTGGCCCCTGGCTGGGGCTTACAAGTTGCAGGGCTGTCCCGTCACCCCCCTCAAAGACCACTCTCCATTGACACTTTCATGGCCGGGCTGAAAAGAGAGGTAAAGCAAAAATTCCCTTTATCTGGTTCCACAGCCCTGAGGGGTAGCATGAGCTCTGGCCCAGCGAGAGATGAAAAGATAGGAACATGCGGAACATAGCATGAGCCCACATGTGAAACGCATTAGGCCCACAAAGTTGAGTCCCTGTCTGGGGCATGCCATTCCTTCAGCCCAGCAACAGCAGAAACCTCAATCTGTGCTGCTGACGACCCTAACACAAACCTCTCTCAGTAAATGGTGAAGCAACACAGTTTCATTAGCATAATAATTAGGGCGCAATCATTTTTTGGGGTCTAAAATGTGTTAGGGGAAATTTTCACTTCAACTTTGAACTGGATGGGGACATCTTCCCATCCATCTATCCATCATTCCAATCATCTCTCTCTCTCGCTCTCGCTCTCTGAAACTAAAATCTCTCCTTGTTCACCGCAAGATAAATCTGTTTTGCGACCACCATCCCCAATCCTCAGTCCACCCTGGAATTGTGGTGAGGTCTAGGTTGTTGGAGAAGGCTGTGAGGCTGAATGTCTGCCAGATAGCCAGTCTCTAATGACTGCTTGATGACTGACAACTGAGGATGATGTCAAAATACAAGAAGACTCTTATTTCTGGCCGATGAAATGCAACACATGCTGAGCGTGTGACTCAAACCACTCACCACACAAACTGTAGCTGGTCCATTGAATAAGCTTCCGTTTTCTGTTGGTATTAGATATTCAATCATTTCAGAAGTCCCTCAATTGTTAAAAGGTGTAAAAATAAAACTTTTTATACACTCAAGTTTGAATTGAAATATGACCACATTCATTTCAGCAACCCATAGCACAATACAGTCTTCAAGTTGCCTAAATGTAGTTGAATACATTACCTTGCTTATTTCAGTCATTCATTGGTCATTCTCCCTCCTCCAGTTTACGTACAGTGCGGTGAGTTCCCTGCCCTTTCCGAACCATGCCGTCTCGGTGCCCTCTCCTGTGTTGCCTAGCCACGATACTCTGTGTGTGGGCACTATGCCAGGCCCAGTCGGACACTGAGCTTCCCCCTGGCACCCCCATCATCCAGCTGCGTCTGGCAGGGGACAAACGCAAGCACTACGAGGGCCGGGTGGAGGTCTACTACAATGGCGAGTGGGGCACGGTGTGCGACGACGACTTTTCTATCCATGCGGCCAACATAGTGTGCAGAGAGCTGGGCTACGTGGAGGCCGTGTCCTGGTCCCCGTCCTCCAAGTACGGCAAGGGAGAAGGTAATGAACACAGAGGAGTAGGGGCTTAAAGGGATTGTTCAGTAACATGTTGTAATTGGAAATCCACTTTGACCATTAAGACTTAATTAAAGGGATAGTTCAGCGAAATATATAACAAAATATATTTGTTTCCTTTGAGAATCAATGACAGACTGCAACAATAATTGGGTCCAGCATATTGTAGCACGGAGTGGTCCAATATTTGGAATTAGAATGATCATCATTCTTGTAACGTATTCCAGAGAGACTTTTTCTATTACCCTGGAAAGTTAGAAAGATGAGATGCAGTATGTCCCTCTTTGCAGGAACTATGATTAGGATTAAGGAGGAGATGTCTCAATGGGAACACATGAGTCTTTGACGATGGGAGGTTGGGTTAATAACATCTTTCATCTGGCTTTTATAGAGAGCAGCCAGAGCTCCATATATCTCAATACTGTTCCATTTACAACCTTCAATCAGATTTATGGAGTTGGGAAAGTCATTAGACAATACTAGAGATATTCTTACAAGACAAGGGGGATGATGAGATTATGTCTATGTGTCTGGCTTAGTGTGTTTCCATTTTCCAGTATTTTTCCCCTCGCAGAGTTAGATTGGTGTGTATCAGCTAGCTAGACTTTAATGGGGAAAACAGTGTTTTTTGAGGGATTACGGTCCCAGACAGGGGAAACGTGCTGCATTAGTTACGGGATTTCCATGGAACATATGACTCTGTTCTGAGCTGCTGAGATAGAAGTCATATAATGTCAGTGGTGTCTAGTTCACTGCATGTGCAGCCCAAAGGGTTTCTTGATCTTGAACTATGTAGACTGGAGAGTTGGGAAAGCTGGGAAAGTTAGGCTTTTGTCGCAGCCAGTATACTGTATAGGTATCATAGGAATAAAGTGTGAATATCCACCAGCATAGGCCCAACATTCCCAGAGCAATTCTGAAACTTTTACAATCACAAAACGTTATCAAAATGTTATCTGCTGGGTGTTTCCTGCCAGGCAGCTGTATGTACTGTATAAGGAAGTATAGATAGAACTGAAGTCAGTTGTAAGTATTAGCTAAGAAGTAACATTTATTGTTGTGGCTCATATTCATCTTCTCCAGTGTCTGGGTTATAGACTACAGAAAGAGCCTGAGGCATATTCTGTCTTTACATGATCAATGTGCTGCCTCGGGTTTCCCTCATCCCACACCACTGATTCAGACTATTCTGGAACACATAGCTGGAGAGCAGACTGACTGATGATCCCCACCATGTAGTTGGATTGGATTCCAACAATGTAATGTGGTTGTAGTGGTCTGTTGTGATTGATTAGACCATTTAGATTAGTCTAAAGAGCCATACACATTTTTTTGACAGGTGATGGCAACAGAAATTCTATAACACTTATATCTTGCATGAAATTGTCAAATTTGGTCAGTCTAACCTAAGCGAAAAGGTGAGTTGTCATGAACTGTCATGATAGAAGTTAAAGGTCCAATGCAGCCGTTTTTATCTCAATATCAAATCATTTTTGGGTAACAATTAAGTACCTTACTGTTATTGTTTTCAATTGAAATGGTCAAAATAAACAAAAATAGCTTTTTAGCAAAGAGCAATTTCTCAAGCAATAATTTTGCTAGGATTGTCTGGGAGTGGTCTAAGTAGGGAGGGGAAAACTGAAAACTAGCTATTATTGGCAGGAAGGTTTGGATATCTCTTTCTTATTAGTCAATTAACAAAATTTCAGGCTGCCTTTTCAAACAGCTCTTACATTAAAAGGGCATTATCATCATTTTAACAATATTATTTCAACCTCATAGTGTGGAAATATATATACAACACAGGAACATCACATTGTTTTTGTTTTTTTGTCATTTAGCAGACGCTCTTATCCAGAGCGACTTACAGGAGCAATTAGGGTTAAGTGCCTTGCTCAAGGGCACATCAACAGATTTTTCACCTAGTCGGCTCAGGGATTAGAACCAGCGACCTTTCGGTTACTGGCACAACGCTCTTAACCACTAAGCTACCTGCCGCCCCGACTTTGACTGCACTGGGCCTTTAAAAATCCTTAAAAAATTGATTTGAGAAATCTCATGGCCACTTTATGAAGGTCCTGGACCCAGATTTTGCCTAGTCCTGGACTTAAAATGAATTTCAATGGAGAATATACAGTACATTGAAAGTATGTTTTAGTCCACAATGAGACTGGCCCAAAGGTGTTGTCTGTTGACGCTTCAAATTGATATAGGGCGTTGGTGAGGGTTCCCTTACATTCATGTGTGGTCATCAGAGGTGTCTCCGTCCCCCATTGTTCATAGGTCGGATCTGGCTGGACAACGTCCACTGTTCGGGGCGGGAGAGAACACTGGCCCAGTGTAAGTCCAATGGCTTTGGAGTGTCCGACTGCAAACACTCTGAGGACGTGGGAGTGGTGTGTAACCAGAGACGCATCCCCGGCTTCAAGTTCATAAGTACCTTCACCAACAATGTGGAGGTAAGCCTAAAAACATAAAGACACGTGAGCGTATAGAAATACAGACATGCGCACACACACACACACGCGGAAAAGCACGCAGGCACCTTCATACACACACTTTGTAGGTGGAAGGGTAGGGAGGGAGGGAGGTGGAAGGGTAGGGAGGGAGGTGAAAGGGTAGGGAGGGAGGGAGGTGGAAGGGTAGGAAGGGAGGGAGGTGAAAGGGTAGGGAGGGAGGGAGGTGGAAGGGTAGGGAGGGAGGGAGGTGAAAGGGTAGGGAGGGAGGGAGGTGGAAGGGTAGGGAGGGAGGGAGGTGAAAGGGTAGGGAGGGAGGGAGGTGAAAGGGTAGGGAGGGAGGGAGGTGAAAGGGTAGGGAGGGAGGGAGGTGAAAGGGTAGGGAGGGAGGGAGGTGGAAGGGTAGGGAGGGAGGGAGGTGGAAGGGTACACTCTTAGAAAAAAAGGTGCTATCTAGAACCAATAAGGGTTCTTCGGCTGTCCCCATATGATAACCCTTTTGGGTTCCATGTAGAACACTTTCCACAGAGGGTTCTACATGGAACCCAAAAGAGTTCTACCTGGAACCAAAAAGGGTTCTACCTGGAACCAAAAAGGGTTCTACCTGGAACCAAAAAGGTTATCCTATGGGGACAGCATAAGAACTGTTTTGTAACCGTTTTTTCAAGAGTATCGGGAGGAAGGGAGGTAGAAGGGTAGAAAACAGGATGATGTCTGTGTAATCTTTTATGAGATATTCATGAGAAATGAATTCACATTCCATCCAGACAAAGGGTTCCCTTTAAAGGTCTGGACTGTGATTGTAACTAAGGATGAATCAACCAAGAGTTCCTGTAGAGAAAGTTCACTTAGCACCAACAGAGACACATATCGTTGGTAATGTTTGTTCATTGAGAGGGGGTCTGTGTACACAACACTAATCCTTGAGTTTAGTTTAATTCAAGATTAACTGTAGCTGTATTGATTTTGACAGTTCGCTGGGAGTTGAAAAACAGCCTTAGCTAAGTTTAGGGATCACACTAAGTTTTGACTTTGACTTTTGACTTCACAGAAAGAAGCAGATTTTGCAATTCTGCAAATACTGTTTATTTCGGTTTCACTTATTTAGAATGACTTTAAACGTCTAGAAAAGGTTAAAAACAAAACAGGGCTTGAACATGTTAAATTAAACCTATCAGGGCAACAGTGACATTGAGAAAGTATTTTAGGTTGAGACTTGCTCAGGAGAGAAAATGTGAATGGAACCAGACGACGAAAGGGGAACCCACCCAGTAGGCCAGGAAACGTGACATCATACAACGCCAACAGACATGACAGAGGTGGGCCACATTTTAAAACTTCCACTAGTGCTCTCACATTCGCCTACAACAGGAAACGAGATACATTCTAGCCCACTGCACTATGGTCCGTCTGTGGCCTGAGGACTTTACCACAGTAGGCCCTTCTTTCTTGCATAACCATGGTGACGGCCCAGTTGAGAACCCATCTCTGCCCCTCTCTGGTGTCTGGAAAGCTTACCAGGTGACTCACAGGGACCCAGACCCTGCTGACTGGTGCGGAGGAGATGACGACAGTGTGGATGAAACACACACACACACACACACACACACAGGGGGAATACCATCCCATGATGTTGATGAGAGCACCTCTGTGCTGGGATGGAAATTCTGTGTGGGTTTATAAACCTAAAGGAAGGGGGGGGGGGGGGGCATTCCTGCTTTAGCATGGAATACTTCAACACTAATCTAAAACTCCTGCCGTCCACCATACAGACAGCAAGGAATAACATGACTGTGGCCATTTATGTGAGCCTAGCTCAACCAGTAGTGTTTGTGTTTCCTTTGAATGTGTTTGAAATTAAATCTGAGTTTAAAGCCATCTAAAACTGAGAGGCCAGTCTGTGGTTAATCATTTTAACAGTTAGCAGTTGAGAGCAGCAGGATAGTGAAATGCCACTGACTGCGCTAGACTAGAGAATTGGCGGTGTTCAAATTCCAGTGGATTCTTCTCCAGTGTCTGTTTTCACTCGACTTCATAAGATAACAAGACCCTGGAGAACGTCTCAGATCCCTGTGTATCTTTCTCATGAAATGAATGATCAGCTCTATGAGAAGGTATGAGGAAAAGGGAGAGTGGAGGAAGAGAGGCATTGGAATAGGACATGTGGTCATGAAATGAACTACGACTTTCAAGGCTTAATGAAGCCTTCATACACCCTTTATAAAACGACATGCTTCATAAATGATTCATAAGCTTCTAGCTTGGAATCTAAATGGGAAAACTTAGTTCAATAGATGAATCCCTATCCTCAAACTTCACACTGTTCTTTTTATACCTAGATGTCTGCTATACATGAACAAACGGCGCCCTCCCACTGTTTATTTGTGCCCTGTTTATATTTAAGTCTCTTTGGGTATTATTACAGCTAACTGTCCCCACTATGTAAATATTTCCCTGGATTGACCAGCATCTTTCAACTAGCAGGGGACTGGACTGGGAAAATGTATCGTTTCGCCCCTTCACCAAGCCTGACCTTGGGTCAGAAACAGGAACAAGCAGCTCCTGTCTTCCATTCATTCCTGGAATGAAGTGGTATTCTATTCAGGGTTTCCAACCAGGTCATGCCCTGAGCCAACTGTGTCAATATGCCTTTATGTAACTAGACCCAACCAGACACAACTGTGCTACATGCTAATGCTAATTCAGTTATTAATATTTCCCAAGAGATATACTCCTACAGTATCTTGTGTGTGTGTGTGTGTGTACTCTACACTAGTTAGGTGTCAAAAAGGAACACAAGACCACACAGATTGGGCAATTACATTAACCTTTTACCACAAATGATAGGTTGTCCATAATGAAGACATCAGTACTGCAGCTGACTAAAATTTCAGCTAAATCGATGCTCCTTTGGTGGAAAAAGTAGACACTGAATTCTCTCCATCTCTTGATAATCGTTTCACAGACTCGCATACATATTTTTTGTTATTTAAGCAAAACTTAAACGTCATGATATACTTGCCTATGACCATTTCTTCCATCTCACGTTACACTGGGACTTTCAAGTGTCTCCTAGCATTTATCCCTTATAAATCATCTCAGTTGTTCAGCTCTGCTCCAGGCAGATTCTCCTTGTATGTGTTAACCCCCTGCTTTCATCTATCCAAGCAGAGCATCCCAGACCCCCACAGAGCTGTGTATTTACCTTTGACCCCTGTCATCTAGCTACAGTATTTCCTGTAAGTGATGTCAACATTTATTTAGTGCCGCCTCATGGTGACCTTCTTTGGTCAATATTAGCCATGTTTTAACAATGGAACTAGATCAGCTCTGTGTGTCACACCCTGATCGGTTTCACCTGTCTTGTGCTTGTCTCGTCAAGCTTACCCGTGTTTTTCCCGTACTTCAGACCAAAACATTAGGAGGTGGGCAGGAAGCATTGTTTATCATTAGCTAACTAACACCATGATTCAACAAGGTTGGCGGCTCACGTAATGCTGCACATGCAGCTAGGGATAATGGCATGCCACACGTGGAACCAATCGCCAAGGTGCCTGGGGAGTTGGCTCTCAGATGGACAGCTGGGAGGAGCATGCTGCGGTGCCTCGATGAGGGATATTCCATGGGGCCGGGTTACAAGCCGTATCGTATGATGTATAGTTTTATTATGTAATTAGGATGTATGTAATGAGGATGCACATGAGTTATCTCCTGATTTTTCCTTGCAGTTTTTTAAAATGATCCTACCTACAGTATCTATAACATCTTTGATTATGCTTCATGATCGTGAACGTTGAATTTTCAGCATCGATCTAGGCAGAGACACACCAGCACCCGTGCAATATGAACTCTCTGGTGTGTTCAAGCCTTTAGGGCCAGTTTTCTGGACTCAGATTAAGCCTGGTACTGGATTAAAAAGCAAGATCAATGGAGAATCTCAATTGAAAGTGCCTTTTAGTCCAGGTCTAGACTTAATCTGTGAAATCAGCCCAAAGAGTGTAAAGTCATTGCAGGTTTTAATGAGTTATTCTTGCCCCAAGTACTTATGAGTTATGACAAGACATGATGTGAAGTCCTTCCATAAGAAGAGCAAAGCAGCAGCTGCTAACACTTGACAGACACCGAAAACGATTGTGTCTGTTGCTCCCTGTCCAAACATATTTTCAACATACCGCCTAGCGACCAGTTATAATAACCCAACATGATGGAAGTGGGCCTTTGAGGTCCATATACAGCTACAGGGGGAGCAAAGGTTGCATTCCACAGAGCAAACTAAGGTGTCCGTTTCCGATTCTTCACATTCTCCCTGCAGTACAACAAAGGGAAACTCGAGCTTCAGATTTGTATTTGTATGTGTATTTATTACGGATCCCCATTAGCGGCTGCCAAGGCAGCAGCTACTCTTCCTGGGGTCCAACCACAATTTACATACAATAAAACAATACATAACACAACACCTTATTACACACTACTCTACCATAACATATTTACAATACAAAATCAATAATACAGCAAAATAACAATATTAAAATGTGTGTGTTAGCATGTGTTTTTTTTATTTTTTTGTTGGGGGTAGATCAGCTTAATATTGCAGATAGATTGTAACTTCTATCAATGTAATTGTCTGCATCACTTCCAATCCCCCATGTTTTTTATATATATACTCCCCTTTATTACTTTTCAACCCCGCCATCCTTTCCCTACTTGGGGTAAATTAGTGAACAACAATGCCCAGGTCTCTACTTCCAGCCTATACTTACTATCTACACCTTATGGACACAGTCAATTTTACAATAATTATATTTTATTTGTTTTTGCTCCTGAACTTCTTCTACTCTCAACCTCTCCGATCATTTTCATGATGTCCATCCGGTTTGCTTCTATAAGCCATATCTTTCTAACTGTGCTCTTTCCCAAAAGCTCCCAACATACAACCTATATACTTATTATGGACACAGTAGGCTTACATTATTAGTTATCTTGTTATTATTTGTTGTTATTTGTTATTAGTCCCATCCTTCAACTCCCTTCAATACCTCCCATCTATCTCTTAACACCATCCATATAGGATTTCTATTTGCCGTTCCAAATCAAATTGAATATTTTTTTCTCATATAAATTAAAAAACTGTTCGCTAGACGTAGGCAAGACCATAAGCAAATAGGTAAACTGGGATAATACTAAAGAGTTAATCAGGGTGATTTTTCCACAAATTGACAGGTATTTACCTTTCCATGGTAGTAAGATCTTATCTATTTTTGCTAACTTTCTATTAAAATGTATTGAAGTGATATGTATTCCGAGTATATCCACATCACCATCAGACCATGTTATTGGTAAACTACATGGTAATGTAAAAATTGTATTTTTTTGTGATCCAATACGGAATATAGTACATTTGTCATAATTTGGTTGTAATCCAGATAGGTTAGAAAATGTATCTAGATCCTCTATCAGGCTGTGGAGGGATTCTAGTTGTGGATTTAAAAGAAAACATGAATCATTAGCGTACAATGACACCTTTGTTTTTAAGCCCTGGATTTCTAATCCTCTGATATTATTATTGGATCTGATTTTAATAGCTAACATCTCGATGGCCACAATAAATAGATATGCCAATAGTGGACAACCTTGTTTCACTCCTCTTGACAGTTTAATACTTTCTGAGAAATAGCCATTATTTACTATTTTACTCCTAGGGTTACTATATATGATTACTATACATGATATTTGCATTGCTACTGAGTAACCCTCCAATTGTTCTCCACTAATTCCCCCGCTAAAGCCCCTCCCCATCCCAAGTTGAGCCGTCATCCCAGTGATCGGCATCCCACCCATGTTCCTCCGGATCCCTAAGGCCCCGAGAGGCCAGGACCCATCCATCAAAAACAGCACACAGTGCCACCCACAAAACAGAAGCAGATTAACCGCCAAAAGCATTTCCAATGCTGTCACCTCTCTCTCTCTCTCTCTCTCTATATATATATACATAACTATTTAAAAAAAAATATGCATATCCTATTTTCCATCATTATCAATTAATATGCGTAATAATGTCGGCAGTTCATGCGTAGGATTTTAACATATAACCCGGATTGCCATTGTATTACATTTAATTTATTGACAAGCAATTATTATCCTAGCAAATAATTCCCGTGGTCCATCCCATACCCCCCCCCAACATCCCCACCCCCTCACAACAGATGCCGGACAAACACACACGCACATACTCACATACTCCAACACACTCAACCCCCCTCCTCCACAATTCACCATAAAATCAGATACTCAACGGCTGTTATATCCCAGAGTCCAACTCAAGAAAGAACCTGATTTACGAGTGCACATACAGTTAAAGCTGATTGAGAAAGCATGCAGATTGAGCAGAAATTGACAACAATGTGAGATTTGATTAATCTACTTAATCTATGTCAAGTCCTAGTTGATGGAGATCAGATTCACCCTCTTCACCTGAGACACAAACACTCTGATCCCCTGTTGTAACCATTTCCCCAAGCATCTCCGTGCGGTCAGACCTTTGATTATTTTGTGCCACCTGGGCCACAATGATAAACCTCCTCTCTGAATGTCCGAGTGTGACCCCCTCCCCATGGGTTACTGCAGCCAGTGTTGCCAGCACTGCCACTACCTGGGTGGGGGTACCCCACCGGAATCCCCACCGGCTAGGTAAAAGGTCGTCAAGGTTCTCATTAGCAGCTTTGAGAATTTCCTTGTATATAATGCTCTCCCATCAGGGGGCTCTGGCTTTGTAGGACCAACCCTGCCAGGTAGGCTCAGAATCATGAGGGGGCGGTGCTACTCAAGTAGGTCTCTGACCGCATTTATTTCTCTGTTTAGGCTGCATACTCACAGCAGGTCCATAAAAGAGATGGGAACTTCTCTTTGGTGTATGGGTCGCTCAGGTGGGTGTCCAGGTTATAGGGTTAGGGATCTTTCCGTCATGATAGGACAATAAAAAATTAGATTAGATGTATACTATATTTAAAAATGTATATCCCTCATCTACACAAAATTGAAAGCTCTCTCTCACTACCCCTGCTCATAGACCCCCGTCGGCTCTGGGATATGCAACCATTTCCCCTCTCACTCACTTAACGCCGCACCTTTTCAAACACAAAAATGCACACCACATGGTTGACTGCGGAAGAAATGGGCCGAGCGTGCAAACACACCCGCATCCACACCTGCCGCAAGGGGGAAAGGACACCAGAGAGAACACAGGACCAACCACAACAACCATCCGCCAAAACAACAACCACCTGCCAAAAAAGCCATGTTCTAATTATTTGTATTTAAAGATGTATTATTCTGCTTGTTATCTTTTCTTGTTATATCGTTTTATCCTTTTATAAAATACTATACTTACTATAAATGTTCTTTAATATTACAATCCCTATCATTGCTAGTATTGGGTGCTCCATTATTCGACTCCTCTATTACAACTTTTAGAATAGCCATGGAGTAGTCTTTGTGTCTCTGAACATTTGGTTGTCGATATACAGTTTATCCACCACGAGTGCAACACGTTGCCCTTTTAATCTGTTTTCCTTGAGGATTGGATATAGAACTTTGCGCCTTTCTGCAATCTCCCTCGGGAACTGATCATTCATGCCTATTTTCGTGCCAGCAAGTCTTTTCCCTAGGCTTTTAACCATTGCTTTATCTTTTAAAAAAAGCAAATTTGGCAACGATTGGGCGCTCATATTTCTGTTCTCTTTTTCAGAAACGGTGTACACGTTCGAGTTGGATTTTATCGACAGCCTCGAGTGGGATTTGTAGCGCTTTATGCAGGAAGTCCTTCATAATATTCTCTGTTATTTCTCCTTCCTTTTCCTGAATACCCGTAAGTACTAGATTTTCTCTCATCGATCTAGTCTAGTAAGGCTTCTCTCAGAAGGTTGTTCTCCTTTTTAAGTTCCCTAACGTCCGTTTCCATCTTAGAGACTGTCACTTTTAATTTTTTGGTTTCTTTCTCCATTACCAAAGCTTTTTCGTCACTCATTTGAAGACTCGCTTTCAACTCTTTTACGTCCTTACTGACCAATTCTAGTATGCCCAATTTGTCATTTATGGACTGATACAGGTCGCTTTCCACACTTACCAGACCCAGTGGTGAAAAGCATATATCATCTGTATCAGTCGATGAGTCCCGTTTCCTCTTGGGGATCGGCTCTCCACGCTTATCTTCCGCCATGTTTGGGTGTTGCGTGTTGTTGTAATATTTGTCTATATATTTCTCTAGCCTTATGATCTGTTTTGTGTTATTATCCAGATTGAATTATATTAACTGCGAATATATGAAATGCTAATATTTAGTCTAACTTACTGATTTTGAATATTATGTTTTTATCTTGAGGTGGTTTGTACCGCTTTCTATTCAATACGCCATCTTGTCTACGCGCACCCTGCGAATGCTGTGTTTGTGTGCCTGTGTGTGTGTGTGTCTCTTCACAGTCCGCGCTGTTCTATAAAGTGTAGTTTTATCTGTTTTTGAAATCTGATTTTACTACTTGACTGAGTTACATGATGTGGAATAGAGTTCCTTGTAGTCATGGCTCTATGTAGTACTGTGCGTTTCCCGTAGTCTGTTCTGGACTTGGGGACTGTGAAGAGACCTCTGGTGGCATGTCTCGTGGGGTATGCATGGGTGTCCGAGCTGTGTGCCAGCATTCCAAACAGACAGCTCGGTACATTCAGCTTGTCTACACCTCTTAAAAAAACAAGCAGTGATGAAGTCAATCTCTCTTCCACTTCCAGGAGAGACTAACATGCATGCCATTAATGTTAGCTCTCCGTGTACTTTTAAGGGCCAGCTGTGCTGCCCTGTTCTGAGCCAGCTGTAATTTTCCCAAGTCCCACCTTGTGGCACCTGACCACACTACTGAACAGTAGTCTAGGTGCGACAAAACTAGGGCCTGTAGGACCTGCCTTGTTGATAGTGTTGTTAAGGCAGAGCAGCGCTTAATTATGGACATACTTCTCCCCATCTTAGCTACTGTTGTAACTCAAGTTCTGTGGGACAAGATGGTTGGAGGGTTTAAGAGTTTAAGGGTTGAGGGCGGCAGGTAGCCTAGCGTTTAAAGCATTGGGCCAGTAACGAAAGGTTGCTGGTTTGAATCCCCGAGCCGACTAGGTGAAAGGTCTGTCGATGTGCCCTTGAGCAAGACACTTAACCCTAATTGCTCCTTTAAGTTGCTCTGGATAAGAGCGTCTGCTAAATGACTCAAATGTCAATGTAAAAATGAGCGAGGGGAGGAAGGGTTGATGCATGTTTGGCTGGAGAACAAGGAACATGTATTAGGCGGTGATGGGGCCGTCGGACCAGAATGTCCTTCTTTATCGCCTTCCCTAACGCCTCACATGTTCGACAGCTGTACCAAATCGCTCAAGGTTTAGGACTTTTTCAGAATTATGATGCGTAGCTAGCAAGCAATGGTGTTGCTTCTCATGTTTTCATCCATGCTTGGCATGTTGAATTCATAAAAAACCCTGGCCTTATGTGCTGTTGTTATCATACGAAAAAGTGTAAATGAGATGAAGCAACAACAAGATGTGGAAGTCAATGTAAAGGCTTTCAGACTTTTTTTTATCAGGACTGCCTAGGCCTAGGGGGTAGCGGCTAGGGGACCAATTGGGATTCTTGGAAAGGCTCTGTTGCTAACAAGACTCCCCTTGTTAGTTAGATTCCTCCTGTTTTTAAATAAAAGTGTGTGTCTACTACATACAAATAATGATGATAAGCCTAATATTAGATTTTATAACAGATTTCATATATTTGGCACTACTTTTTTCACTACTACTTCTCAATTCACCATTGACTCATCGAGGCTGTAAGAGCAGTGCCAGACTGGAATGTAGTGACGTGCTGTGTGTGTGGTGCTTTCCACTGACTGGACACATAAGGGTTTAGTCTGCTGGTAGGACTGATGGAACTTGGCCCTGCTTGGCTTGTGTGAGTGGGGGTTATGAGGGTGTTGAGCAGTGGGCCTAGTCTAGGCATGTGTCAAGGGTTTCTACTGTTTTCCTTGTACTTTCTGTCTCGCGGGATAGTTACACAAGAGTAGATATTCCAGATGCCAAACACACAAATCCGCACGCACACAGACACACACACTTGTTCCAGTCAGTTAGAGTGAAAGCCTATGAAACGGCAAGGCTAGGGGCAGATGTGAAAGCAATTTCAAATAATTTCTTTTTTTCTGGCTAGGGCTCTTTCGCTACTAAACTGCGGCAGCATGATTAACATACATTTTCCTATGTTTAGTACGAGTTAACCTAACGTAGCAGGCATAAAAATACACCTGAGTGGTGTCCCCACATTTTTCCTGAGAAACGGAAGTTAGGTTGAAAATACTGTATCCCTGAAAACCGGAAACATCTTCTTTCTGCCGACCCCGTGGAGAGTGAGTACGAGTAGACAGGCACGTGTTAGCCCAACGTGAAGCATGGTGAAGCAGGGGGGTGAATAAGAGGAAAGAAATGCACAGTAGTTTCAGGCTGTTTCAATTACTGGAATGACCGTGGCCTGCTTCACATTCACACAGACACCTACAGACGGACGGGGAACCCAGTCAGAAAAACATTCTGCCCTATTCCAGATGGCTGCTGTGGAAATGGTTGAGTAATCACTAGGGTATTGTATTAAAAACTCTAACTTACATGAGGACATTCCACTAGTCCAGTCCACTAGTACTACCATTATCACTTTGAGAAGTCCATTGAACTGGCAATGACAATTTTTTGACATATTTACAGTGCCTTCAGAAACTATTCACACCCCTTGACGTTTTCCACATTTTGTTATCTGTAAGGTCCCTCAGTCGAGCAGTGAATTTCAACCACAGATTCAACCACAAAGAACAGGGAGGTTTTCCAATGCCTCACAAAGAAGGGCACCTATTGGTAGATGGGTCAACAACAAAAAAAGCAATTAGATACTATATTTCTGTATTTTCTTTTCAATAAATTTGCAAAAATGTCTAAAAATATGTTTTCACTTTGTCATTGTGGGGTATTGTGTGTATATGGGTGACAAAAAATTCATATTTAAACCATTTTGAATTCAGGCTGTAACACAACAAGATGTGGAATAAGTCAACGGGTATGAATACTTTCTGAAGGCACTGTAATTGTTGTGAACAGTCTTAGGATAAATCATACAAGCAGTCTTGTTAGGCCCTAGCGGTGAAAGTTCAGGAACTCCCACCCACACACAAACACATACATATGTTTTTAGTTATGGCGAATTACTCTCTTATTTTAAGTATTTAACTACATGATTACTACGTCTCGAATTTGGCTCTGCCAGGGCTCTCACCTCCTCCCTGTAGGCTGTCTCATCATTGTTGGTAATCAGGTCTACGACTTGTGTCGTCAGCAAACTTGATGTACATGGCCATACAGTCATGGGTAGGGCTGTGGCGGTCATAAAATTATGTTAGCCGGTTATTGTCATGCAAAAGACTGTCGGTCTCACGGTAATTGACTGTTAATTGACATAAACACATTTAGAATCTCAGGCCTCCACCCATACAAGCCATATACAAGCTACTGATGCGCACCTTTGGAACATCTATATTTAAAAAAAAGTTTAATAAATCAATTTAATATACACCATCACAATAAATCCATTATTCATTTTAGGCAGGTCTAAAGAAACATTATGATATGAAGAAAGTGTATTTCAGAAGAACAGAAGATGAGTTGGCCTGCTGTATGTTCTCTGGCTATGCACCATGCCATAGGCTGTAGGCTTGTTCGTTTAGCTGACAAGATATGCTTATACAGTGAGGGAAAAAAGTATTTGATCCCCTGCTGATATTGTACATTTGCCCACTGACAAAGACATGATCAGTCTATAATTTTAATGGTAGGTTTATTTGAACAGTGAGAGACAGAATAACAACAACAAAATCCAGAAAAACGCATGTCAAAAATGTTATAAATTGATTTGCATTTTAATGAGGGAAATAAGTATTTGACCCCTCTGCAAAACATGACTTAGTACTTGGTGGCAAAACCCTTGTTGGCAATCACAGAGGTCAGACGTTTCTTGTAGTTGGCCACCAGGTTTGCAAACATCTCAGGTGGGATTTTGTTCCACTCCTCTTTGCAGATCTTCTCCAAGTCATTAAGGTTTCAAGGCTGACGTTTGGCAACTCGAACCTTCAGCTCCCTCCACAGATTTTCAATGGGATTAAGGTAGCATTCCTCCGCCTCCAAACACGGCGAGTTGAGTTGATGCCAAAGAGCTCCATTTTGGTCTCATCTGACTGATTCGTCAGTGGATCTGTTGGGGCAATATGCAAATTGTAGTGGGTCTAGGGTGTCAGGTAAGGTGGAGGTGATATGGTTCTTAACTAGCCTCTTAAAGCACTTCATGATGACAGAAGTGAGTGCTACCGGGCGATAGTCATTTAGTTCCGTTAACTTCGCTTTCTTGGGTACAGGAACAATGGTGGACATTTTGAAGCAGGTGGGGACAGCAGACTGGGATATGGAGAGATTGAATATGTCCGTAAACACTCCAGCCAGCTGGTCTGCACATCCTCGTGAGCGTCGGGTGTCCGCGTCGGCGGCTCAATGTTGTTTTCCTCTATGTGGGCGAAGAAAGTGTTTAGCTCGTCCGGGAACAAGGAATCGGTGTCCGCGACGTGCCTTGCTTTCCCTTTATAATCCGGGATTGTCTGGAGTCCCTGCCACATACGTCTCGTGTCTGAGCCGTTGAATTGCGACTCCACTTTGTCCCTGTACTGTCGCTTTGCCTCTTTGATTGCCTTATGGATGTCGTAGCTGGTCTGTTTTACACGTTCATGTTCCCAGTCACCATACCATAGTTAAATGCGGTGGTTCACACTTTCAGTTTTGCGCGAATGCTGCCATCTATCCACAGTTTTTGGTTTTGATCAATTCTAATCGCCACAGTGGGAACAACATCCTCTATGCACTTCCTAATGAACCCAGTTACCGAGTCAGTGTATACGTCGATTCTATTCTCAGGGGCGACCCTGAACATTTCCCCGTCCACAAGATCAAAACAATCGATTGGTGAGACCAACGTTGAACAGTCCTTACCACAGGAACGTGCTGTTTAAGTTTCTGCCTATAGGTGGGGAGGAGCAGAATGGAGGTGTGATCTGATTTGCTGAAGGGAGGGCGGGGGAAGGCCTTGTAGCCGCCCCAGAAGGGAGAGTACCAATGATCCAGGGTCTGTGTTGCGCTTGTAGCACAGGAGATGTGTTAATAGAATTTTGGTAGCGTTTTCCTCCTTTATTAAAGTCCTTTATTAACGTCCCCAGCTATAGTAAATATGGCATCAGGATATGCAGTTTCTAGTTTGCACATATTCCAGTGTAGTTCCTTAAGAGCCATCACAGTAATCATGAAACAAACCCCTCCACCTTTCTTTTTCCCGGAGAGTTCTTTCTTCCTGTCCGCGCGATGGACAGAGAACCCCGCTGGGTGAATGAATAGGGATAATATATCCGGAGAGAGCCATGATTCCGTAAAACAGAGTATGTTACTCTGGAAGGAGATCCTCACCCTGAGCTCGTCTACTTTATTGTCCAGGGACTGAACATTAGCAAGTAATATACTCAGAAGCGGTGGCTGGTATGCATGCCGCCTGAGTCTGACTAGGGCCCCACTCCTTCTACCGCTTCTCTGGTGTCTGTGTTTTGGTGCAGCCCCCGTGATAAATAGAGCTGCCTCGGGAAGTTTAAACAAAGGTTCCAGGTCAGGGAAGTTTAATTTCTGCTTGAATTTCTGGTGAATGACCACCAATCTTTCCAGCTGTAGGTAATAATACAAGAAACGTTCTGAGGAAATAACTTAAGAAATAACATAAATAAATAAATAAAAATACTAGAAACAGAGTGACCATGTCTGTCGGCGAAATCATGTAAATCTTGTGATTTATAAAGGTCAATAGTTCTGAGACACTGGTGTCAGAAACTTCCCAAAATAAAGTTACCATGTTTGATAAGCACGTTTTCGACATTCGTACCCCTTTCATGCAGTCAAATGATCAAATTGCCCTCTAGTTGTAATGAATACTCGGACAGAGTGGTAAGATCCAATCGCAGAATAGCGATGCTTTATTAAAGTACAGACAAGGGAAAGGCTTAATCGTGGTCGGGCGGGCTGTGGTCAAAACCGGGCCAGGCATAGACAGGCAGGGGTACCAAAGGAGCGGGCTTAGTCGTAGTCGAGGTCACAGGCACAGGATTCGAGAACGGTAATCACTGGGGTAGACAAGTAGAGGATTAAGCAATACGGGGAGTCAAATAACAAGGCACTGGTCGGATACACGGGTAATCAAAACAACAAACTCTCTCTCTCTCACTCGGAACAAAACGCTTAGCAAGTCACAATGGAACAATACCTCGCGCCGACTGAGCTTCTGAGCACACCTTAAATCCTATACTAATTACTGACAGGTGTGCTCAGAACTCAGGTGACCCAGATCGAGTCTGATGACTCCCCCTCTCAGTAGATCGGGGAAGTGTCAGACTCTGTCTAGATCCTGCCAAACCCCGATCCCTTACAGTATCCCCCTCCCCAGGGCCGGCTCCTGACGGCCTTCTACCTCTACCGGGTGGTCTTCCTCTGGGTCGGGGTCCTGGCTGATCTGGGTGCTCAGCGTGGAAAGTGGCCTTGAGAGCGGGATCCAGTATATCCTTAGCCGGAACCCAGGACCGTTCCTCAGGTCCATATCCCTCCCAGTCCACGAGATATTCGATTCCCCCTCGTCTCCGTCTTGACTCCAGTATCTCATGGACTGTATAGATGGTGTCCTGTTCATCCTCCAAAGGTGGTGTAGTAGGTTGTTGAGCGATTGGTGGATACATCGGGCTATAATGGACAGGTTTCAGCAGGGAGACGTGGAACGTAGGGTTTATCCTGTAGTGTCGAGGGAGGAACAGACGGTAGGTGACAGGGTTAATACGCCTCTGTACTTTGAAGGGACCAATGTACCTGGGTTGGAGCTTCTTGCAGCTCCGTCGGAACCGCAGGTCTCGGGTAGACAGCCACACTCGCTGCCCGGGTTGATAAATGGGAGTAGGTCTCCGGCGTCGGTCGGCGTAGGTCTTTTGTTGTTGTGAGGCTTGGCTGAGATGTTGATGGGCCGTCTCCCAGACCTGCGCACTCCGACGGAACCACTCGTCCACCGCCGGTACCATCCCTGATGCGGTATCCCACGGAAACAGGGGAGGTTGATACCCTAGAACACACTGGAAGGGCGTTAAACGTAGGGAGGTGTGAATGAGTGAGTTCTGAGCATACTCTACCCAAGGAAGGAATCGACTCCACTCTTGCGGTTGCCGCGAACATTGTTGCCGTAGATATTTCCCAATTTCCTGGTTGAGCCGTTCTGTCTGCCCATTGGCCTGGGGATGATATCCGGAGGTTAGGCTAACCGAAATGCCCAAGCGTTCGCAGAACGCCTTCCATACCCGGGATACAAACTGGGGTCCCCGGTCGGAAACAATATCCTCCGGGACACCAAACTGCCGGAACACCTGGGTAAACATAGTCTCAGCCATCTGAGTGGCGTTAGGCAAACGGGTCATAGGTACTAACCGACACATCTTGGAGAAACGATCGATGACCACGAGAATTACAGTATGGCCCTCTGATTCAGGTAGGTCGGTAATAAAGTCCATAGCAATGTGCGACCATGGTCGTTGAGGAGTTGGCAATGGCATCAGCTTACCCTCCGGTAGTGCACGAGGTACCTTGGACTGGGCACATACTGGACAGGATAAGACATAGTCTCTGACGTCATCTGCGAGGGAATCCCACCAGTATTTTCGGCTGATGAGTCGTGTAGTTCGAGTGATTCCAGGATGACCAGATCCCAGCGACGTGTGGCACCATTCCATCAGTTGAGGGCGAAGAGAAGCTGGCACAAACACCTTAGACTCCGGGGTTTCTGGAGGGGCTGGTTCCGCTTGTAAACTCTCCTGAATCGTGTCATCAATAGCCCACCTCACCGGTCCAGCACGGTAACTCATGGGGAGAATAGTTTCTGGCTCCACGGGTCTTTCTGTGCGCTCGAACCGTCGGGAAAGCGCATCCGCCTTACCATTCTTGGACCCGGGGATATAAGACACAGTGAATCGGAACCGGTTTAAGAATAAAGACCACCTGGCCTGTCGGGAGTTCAGTCGTTTGGCGCTGTGAAGATACTCCAGGTTGCGGTGGTCCGTGAGCACCTGGAACGGATGCTCTGCTCCCTCCAACCAATGTCTCCACTCCTCCAGGGCTAACTTCACCGCCAGTAATTCCCGATTACCCACGTCATAGTTCTGCTCGGCAGCATTCAATTTCCGGGAAAAGAAAGCACAGGGTCGTGATTTAGGCGGCTCACCTTGGCGTTGGGATAACACGGCTCCAACTCCAACCTCCGAAGCGTCCACTTCCACGATAAACGGTAAGGTAGGGTCCGGCTGACATAGAATAGGAGCGGTGGTAAAACGTTGCTTCAGCGTCTCAAACGCACGCACTGCCCCCTTCGTCCAGTTCAGACCGCGACCCTTGTAGCTGGTCATCGCTGACAGAGGCGCTGCGGTTGTGCTGAAATTACGCACGAACCGTCTATAGTAATTGGCAAACCCTAAGAACCTCTGGAGCTCCTTCACCGTCTTGGGTTGAGGCCAGTCTTGTACCGCTTGCACCTTAGATTCATCCAGTTTAACACCGTCGGGAGTGAGTATGGCCCCAAGGAAGGAAATCGTAGTGACGTGGAATTCGCTTTTTTCTGCCTTCACAAACAGAGAATGTTGTAGGAGCCGATCCAGAACCTGTCGTACATGGGACACATGTTCACTCAGCGAGTTAGAATATATGAGAATGTCATCAATGTATACTATGACAAATCGATCAATCATGTCTCTGAAAATGTCATTCATGAACGCCTGAAATACTGAGGGCGCGTTGGTAAGTCCATAGGGCATGACACAATATTCGTAGTGTCCTCGATGTGTGATGAAGGCGGTCTTCCATTCATCCCCCTCTCTAATACGCACCAGATTGTACGCACTCCTGAGGTCCAGTTTACTGTACATGGAGGCCTGTCCCACCTGTTCAAGGGCGGCTGGAATCAAAGGAAGGGGATAACGATTTTTTATGGTTATATCGTTCAACCCTCGATAGTCGATACAAGGACGCAGTCCGCCATCCTTTTTCTTCACAAAGAAAAAACTGGATGCGGCGGGAGACGTCGATGGGCGAATAGCCCCTTGCTGTAGCGCCTCATCAACATACTGACTCATCGCTTCTCGTTCAGGCTGTGACAACGGGTAGATTCTTCCACGAGGAGGTGTAGCTCCGGATAGTAGATCAATCCCGCAGTCCCAGGCCCGATGAGGTGGTAACACGGTAGCCCTCTCCTTGGAGAACACCTGCGCGTAATCCTGGTATTCTGTAGGGACCACAGTAGACACCGCACCCTGCGCATCCTCCACAGTAGACGTTTTGCACGGTAAATTGAGGCACTCTGCCCTACATACCTCACTCCAAGCTGTGATATCGCCAGATTTCCAGGAGATGACCGGATCATGGAGGACGAGCCAGGGGTGGCCGAGAACTAGTGGCTCCCGTGGAGCGGAGATGACGAAAAAAAAGATGTTCTCCTGGTGTATGGCGCCCACTTGTAACTTGATCTCCCTGGTACGGTGCGTAATGAAACCAGTGCCCATGGGCTCACCGTCTAGCGCGTTGACTCGCAGGGGAGGTTGAATAGGAATAAGTGGAACTCCCAACTCCTCAGCAAGACCCATATCCAGAAAGCTGGCCGCCGCTCCGGAATCAATAAGTCCTTCCAACCTGCCCACTTTCTCTCCGACAGATAAGGTAACAGGTACATACATTTGTTTAGCTGTAATGTTCAAAACGGGAGTCTCACTCACCGGTGTGGCAGTTCCGAGGCGATATCCTGAGGTACGGTTAGGTCGTACCGGACATTGACGCACGAAATGACCCGACTGACCACAATACAGGCATAGTCCGTCTTGCCGACGTTGTTGTCTCACCGACCCTTGGAGAGGTGACCGTCCCAGTTGCATAGGTTCCTCCTCAGATTCTCTCCTCCGCTCTGTCGCTTGCATAGGACCGGTGATCGAGGGCTCCCGAACTGTGGATGCCTTGTGTTGCACTATAAGATTATCAATAGAGATGGCAATTTTGATAAACTCATGTAGCGTAGTGATATCTCCTCGACAAGCCAACTCAGTCTGTACGTCTTTGCGCAGCCCTCTACGGAAAACTGTGAGCAAAGCAGTCTCGCTCCATCCGCTACCGGCTGCTATAGTACGGAACTCTAAAGCGTAGTCGGCTACTGTGCGACGGCCCTGCTGAAGTTCGCATAGCTGATCTCCCACACTACGCCCAGATACTGGGTGGTCGAACACCTCTTGAAACAGTCTCTTGAACTGAACTTCCTCATTCAGCTCGGGGACCTCAGCTGCCCAAAGCGCAGTAGCCCAATCCAGTGCTCTTCCCGTTAGCAGAGAAATCATGAAATCCACCCTGCTACGGTCATCGGAAAACATGGAATGATTATACGACATATACAGGGACATCTGGAGTAGAAACCCCTGACATTTGCCAGGTTCCCCGTCGTACCTTGTCGGTATAGAAATCGGAGGTGCATGACGAGGACTGACCGTACTCGGGGTGGTGCCTTCCGCTGCACCAGCGTTGAGTAGCTGTAGGAGTTCATCCATGCATTTCTCCTGTATCTCCCATCGCCTCTGTAATTCCGCTGGATCCATGGTATTGGCGAGGTATTCTGTAATGAATACTCGGACAGAGTGGTAAGATCCAATCGCAGAATAGCGATGCTTTATTAAAGTACAGACAAGGGAAAGGCTTAATCGTGGTCGGGCGGGCTGTGGTCAAAACCGGGCCAGGCATAGACAGGCAGGGGTACCAAAGGAGCGGGCTTAGTCGTAGTCGAGGTCACAGGCACAGGATTCGAGAACGGTAATCACTGGGGTAGACAAGTAGAGGATTAAGCAATACGGGGAGTCAAATAACAAGGCACTGGTCGGATACACGGGTAATCAAAACAACAAACTCTCTCTCTCTCACTCGGAACAAAACGCTTAGCAAGTCACAATGGAACAATACCTCGCGCCGACTGAGCTTCTGAGCACACCTTAAATCCTATACTAATTACTGACAGGTGTGCTCAGAACTCAGGTGACCCAGATCGAGTCTGATGACTCCCCCTCTCAGTAGATCGGGGAAGTGTCAGACTCTGTCTAGATCCTGCCAAACCCCGATCCCTTACACTAGTGGCCTCATGGGTGGAATATTATTAATATTTTTCATAATTTCATTGATGAGACGGTTTTAAGAGCCACCACTTCAAACTGGCCTCCCCTCCTCCTGTCATGTATTTACATTAGAGAGAAACCTTGCCCGTTTTGCGTCTAGAACCTCAGAGTCCTTTCAAGGCCCTCTGCCCATGACCACATGACCACGCTCACCCTGCCTTGCTCTGCTGTTCTGATGGAAACTCGTGATTACATTTATGAAAGACGGTCTTCTCTCTCGCCACTGTGGTCAGTATTCGGGTGACTGGGGTCTCTGCAAAAACAGTCTGATTCAGTCACGTCTTTCCCTCCACTGCTTCATTTTTGGTGTTGAGGGGATCCAAACATTCCCAGAGGCTGACACCATTTCTGGAAATACCCCCATTTTTATTAAAAGCTAATGTTTCTGGATTCTGGATTCACACAGAAATGTTGGACTGGCTTTCTCCAGGGGCGAGATGACTGGGTTGTTGAAGAAAAGGCTGAGCTCAGCATTCATAGCTTAGCAAAGCAGTTTTTAAAGGGTTGGCACTCAGCACTCCATGTCCCCACAATACACATTACAGCCCAGCCAGGAGTTAGACTGTGGGTCTATGGCTGTATGGGCTTTAATAGGGGGCTGAACAGTCAGAGGTCTATAACATGGATGCGTGAGGGAGCATAGAGCAGTCTTCACACGCAACCTAGAGGTCAAAGGTGAAGACGCCACTCTCCTTTAAGGGTCCTTAGGACAGACAGAGGAGGGTAATTGAGGACCATGACCCCCCTACTGACCAGTTGGGTTTACAGACCCATAGTATAGGGTTAGGATTAAGGTTGACCGGAGGTAGGAGAGGACCACACAGCCTGCCTCAGCCCTCAGGCAACAGCTTTTGTTTTCACTGTTATTGTAGCTTGGTGAAAAGGGCAAGCAATTCTTAATTTTTGTTATGTTTGATCAAGATAGCATAAAAGCGTGACTTTTTACACGTGTTTTTGCAGCACCACCTCTTGGTATTTTACTGATTGATTATGATTGAGAGAAGATCAATGAATTGAATTATTGATTATGCAAATGTCGTTCCCCTAGTCCCAATCACTCATATTCTCAACGTCTTATTTACTTTCTCAAAAGTTGCGTAACATAGGCCTACAGGAACAGAAACATCACCAAAATTTTTATAAAATAGATTGATGATGTGTGTGGTTAAAGGTTATCTCCATGTTGAGAAGTTAATCTGTTGATGTATGTTCCTTCACCCTGAACTCACCTCTCTGGTCACGTTGCTGACAGAGCACAACAAATTCCAGACATTCATATAGGGTTAACTAAAGCAGTGCAGTTTTAAGGCAAAAATGCACTCAAAAATGAAAAAGAAGGGGTCCATACCATGTCCTGAAGCAAATCAAATTAGTTTCATTGATAATCTTCATGTGAAATAATAACTGATTGAATTTGACTGTGGCTGATCCAGGGTCTCTGTATATCTCTTTATCTGCAGAGTCTGAATGTCCAGGTAGAAGAGGTGCGTATTCGGGCTATCTCCTCCCAGCGTAAGAGGGTCCCCATCACAGAGGGCTACCTGGAGGTGAAGGACGGAGGGAAGTGGAGACAGATCTGTGACGAAGAGTGGACAGAGATGAACAACAGGGTCATCTGTGGGATGTACGGCTTTCCTGGAGAGAAAGGATACAACACTAAAGTCTACAAGTAAGCCTTACTATTACTAGTTCATTACTGTGGACTAACTCCTTCAGCCTTACTATTACCAGTCCATTACTGTGGACTAACTCCTTCAGCCTTACTAGTCCATTAATTGAATATTAATAATTGAATATGCCATTTAGCAGACGCTTTTATCCAAAGCGACTTACAGTCATGTGTGCATACATTTTTTTAAACGTATGGGTGGTCCCGGGGATCGAACCCACTACCCTGGCGTTACAAGCGCCATGCTCTACCAATTGAGCTACAGAGGACCACGGACTATCTCCTTCAGCCTTACTATTACTAGTCCATTACTGTGGACTAACTCCTTCAACCTTAATATTACTAGTCCATTACTGTGGACTAACTCCTTCAGCCTTACTATTACTAGTCCATTACTGTGGACTAACTCCATCAACCTTAATATTACTAGTCCATTACCAGTGGTGTAAAGTACTACTTAAGTAGTGTTTTTTGGTATCTGTACTTTACTATTTATATTTTTGACTACTTTTACTTTTACTTCACTACATTCCTTAAGAAAATAATGTACTTTTTACTCCATACATTTTCCGTGACACTCAAAAGTAGGCCTACTCGTTACATTTTGAATGCTTAGCAGGACAGGACAAGGGTCCAATTCACACACTTATCAAGAGAACATCCCTGGTCAAACCTACTGTCTCTGATCTGGCGGACTCACTAAACACAAATGCTTCATTTGTAAATGATGTCTGAGTGTTGGAGTGTGCCCCTGGCTATCCGTAAATTTAAAAAACAAGAAAATGGTGCCGTCTGGTTTGCTTAATATAAGGAATTTTAAATTATTTATACTTTCACTTTTGATATTTAAGTATATATTAGCAATTACATTTACTTTTGATACTTAAGTGTATTTAAAACCCAATACCTTTAGACTTTTACTCAAGTAGTATTTTACTGGGTGTCTTTCAATTTTACTTGAGTCATTTTCTGTTAAGGTATTTTTACTTTTACTCAAGTATGAGGATTGGGTACTTTTTCTACCACTGTTCATTACTGTGGACTAGTTCCTTCAGCCTTACTATTACTAGTCCATTACTGTGGACTAACTCCTTCAGCCTTAATATTACTAGTCCAGTACTGTGGACTAGCTCCTTCAGCCTTAATATTACTAGTCCATTACTGTGGACTAGCTCCTTCAGCCTTAATATTACTAGTCCATTACTGTGGACTATCTCCTTCAGCCTTAATATTACCAGTCCATTACTGTGGACTAACTCCTTCAGCCTTAATATTACTAGTCCATTACTGTGGACTAACTCCTTCAGCCTTACTATTACTAGTCCATTACTGTGGACTAGCTCCTTCAGCCTTAATATTACTAGTCCATTACTGTGGACTAACTCCTTCAGCCTTAATATTACTAGTCCATTACTGTGGACTAACTCCTTCAGCCTTAATATTACTAGTCCATTACTGTGGACTAACTCCTTCAGCCTTAATATTACCAGTCCATTACTGTGGACTAACTCCTTCAGCCTTACTATTACTAGTCCATTACTGTGGACTAACTCCTTCAGCCTTAATATTACTAGTCCATTACTATGGACTCACTCCTTCAGCTGTGGACTCCTGAGTTCCTTAATATTTTACAGGCTATGAGATCAGGAGTCAGGAGGGTCAGCTAGTACATTTTAATATTAGCACTCCTCACCTCCATCAACCCTCCAGACAAGATGATTATACTCATTATCAACACGGTTGAGCTAACCTAAAATGTGCTGTGCAGTGGGGTTAGCCAATTCCAGAAGTCATTGTACTTTTAGCACCAGATGCAGATGGGCACAACCTTGCTCTTAAAACCGTCAATAAATAAAAGTCTAAAACTCCCAAGTTGAACTGGAAAATGTCTTCATTCAGGAAGGGTAGGGTAATATTTCTGTAAGTGTTTTATGTATTAAAAAACAAGGTTGTTTGTATAATGTTTCCTCATCTGGTACTGTAGAGAAGATCATGTTTTCACAGCAGGCTAAAATAAAAAATAACCATTTTAATTCAGTGCAGTTCAACTCAATTCAATCTCTTTGTTCTCCTGTCTCAGGCTGCTGGCCAAGCGGAGGAAGAAGAACTACTGGGACTTCGGGGTGAACTGCACGGGGAACGAGGCCAGCCTGCACGGCTGTAAGCTGGGCCGCAAGGTGGATCTGAAGGAGAACGCCACCTGTGAGAAGGGCATGCCCGTGGTGGTGAGCTGTGTCCCAGGACGGGCTTTTGCTCCCAGCCATGCCCAGGGCTTCAGCAAGGCCTACAGAGTGGAGGTAGGTTGAATCATCTGGAACGAGAGAGAGCTTAGAATTCCATATAGAAGTGATTTATAGGACCTCTGTGTGGGAGGAGGCTTATGATGGAGATGTGATTACTACAGTTTGAGCTGTCTCTGGCCTTGTATCTTGTATTTACATTTAAGTCATTTAGCAGACCCTCTTATCCAGAGCGACTTACAGTTAGTGAGTGCATACATTTTTCATACTGGCCCCCTGTGGGAATCAAACCCACAACCCTGGCGTTGCAAGCGCCATGCTCAACCAACTGAGCTACACGGGGTATTGAAATTGAAATCATTCAGAAGAGGAGAAAATTATGAAAGACAAACCTTAGGAAAGTCCTGAGTTGTTAAAGACATGCTTCGGAACTTTGACGACTACTTTGGGCTGGATGTGTCAATGTGTTGTTCATACGTGCATAATCTATGAGTATAATTACTGTTTTACCTCAATTAGCCACAAAATCCCTAGTTTGAAATAAACTGTTTTTCTGGAAGCTGTGCTGCGCCATTTTCCCTAAATTTTTCCCCACGTGGGCCAGCCCCCTAGCAATTCGAGTTCTAGCCAATGAGCTAGAGGTCTTCATGGATCCACCTGTACCCGAATACCCGAGACCCGAGTGGTTCCGGATCCAGAATTCTAAATAATGTCACAGGTCTTGGTCAGACCTGATATGATTGTCACGGGTCTCGGGTATGTGTAATTTTAACTGACTTGTCCGGAAAGGCCCATACAGATCCAAACACGACTGCTGCAAAAGAGAGTGAAATGTTATCATTTATGCTGCTGCTCTCGCTTTTTACGAGCATGGCGCGTGTAGCTTGTTGTTGTTGTTGGCCAATTATAAGTCATCAAAGCAGCCTCCATGTGTGACAAAAGTTAGGAGATATCTAATCAATGGAAGATGGAATTCAAATGACGGAATTAAAAGTTAAAGGAGAAGGACAGGCTACAACGACCAAGAGCCAACAGGTAGGCTGCTACTTAATATTCTGAATGGAGTTGTTGTTATTTGTAACTGTAGGATGAGAAAGCGCATGCACTGCAGCCTCAATTAGCCTAGCTAGCTAAGGTACTATGTATTCATATTTGATGATAAATAACCTAGCTATGTCAGCTATTAGTCTACTATAGTGCGAGTCGGCTTATTGGTTGGTTGGTGTCTGTCATCTCTCCCTGCCTGCTCCCTGTGCCACTCGCTCACAGTACGGACCCTCCCCCACCTGCTATAGTGGTTCCTCTCTATCCCTCCTTTCTCGCTTTATCAGCTCCGGTTAATAAAGTAGCTTAAAAAATGAATTGTCTGCTGCTTCCATCACTCGGCACGGGGTCTGTATCCAACTAGGTCTATACGGAACGGGTCTAGTTGTCCTCGGGTCCGTTCGGAACGGGTCTCTATATTACATTTGATTTATTTATGCATATCGTGTCCGGGTGGGAAAGCCCCAGGTCCATTTTGTAACGGGTCCAACTTTTTGGACCCGTGGAGACCTCTACAATGAGCTTCAGCCCATTGCCATTTGTGTGATAGCTAGCAAGATGCACACACAGCAGAGAGAGAGAGAGCAATGACGTGGTGCACATATCTGCACATTTTTGGGGACCACTTTTGGCTCATGAGCGCTACTTTCAGAACTACTGGCTAAAAAGTATACAAAAGTACCGGATAATCTCTTTAATGTTATGTAAAATCGACTCTTCTTAGATTTCTCCAAGCACAGCTACATTGTGAACATTCTGTTTTCATGTGATTAAACTCAGGAGACCCCATCTGTAGAACACTGTGTTGGAACACTTTACTAATGAGTCATGAACTCTGGACTAAAGAGAGAATAGATACACTAAATAGACATACTTTTTTTTATTTTATTTTTATTTAACCTTTATTTAATGAGGTAAGCCAGTTGAGAACAAGTTCTCATTTACAACTGCGACCTGGCCAAGATAGAGCAAAGCAGTGCGATAAAAACAACAACACAGAGTTACATATGGGGTAAAACAAAACATAAAGTCAAAAATACAACAGAAAATATATATACAGTGTGTGCAAATGTAGCAAGTTATGGAGGTAAGGCAATAAATAGGCTATAGTGCAAAATAATTACAATTAGTATTAACACTGGAATGATATATGTGCAAGAGATGATGTGCAAATAGAGATACTGGGGTGCAAATGAGCAAAATAAATAACAATATGGGGATGAGGTAGTTGGTGGGCTAATTTCAGATGGGCTGTGTACAGGTGCAGTGATCGGTAAGGTGCTCTGACAACTGATGCTTAAAGTTAGTGAGGGAGATAAGAGTCTCCAGCTTCAGAGATTTTTGCAATTCGTTCCAGTCATTGGCAGCAGAGAACTGGAAGGAATGGCGGCCAAAGGAGGTGTTGGCTTTGGGGATGACCAGTGAGATATACCTGCTGGAGCGCATACTACGGGTGGGTGTTGCTATGGTGACCAATGAGCTAAGATAAGGCAGGGATTTTCCTAGCAGTGATTTATAGATGGCCTGGAGCCAGTGGGTTTGGCGACGAATATGTAGTAAGGACCAGCCAACAAGAGCGTACAGGTCACAGTGGTGGGTAGTATATGGGGCTTTGGTGACAAAACGGATGGCACTGTGATAGACTACATCCAATTTGCTGAGTAGAGTGTTGGAGGCTATTTTGTAAATGACATCGCCGAAGTAAAGGATCGGTAGGATAGTCAGTTTTACGAGGGCATGTTTGGCAGCATGAGTGAAGGAGGCTTTGTTGCATAATAGGAAGCCGATTCTAGATTTAACTTTTGATTGGAGATTCTTAATGTGAGTCTGGAAGGAGAGTTTACAGTCTAACCAGACACCTAGGTATTTGTAGTTGTCCACATACTCTAGGTCAGACCCGTCGAGAGTAGGGATTCTAGTCGGGTGGGCGGGTGCCAGCAGCGTTCGATTGAAGAGCATGCATTTAGTTTTACTAGTGTTTATGAGCAGTTGGAGGCTACTGAAGGAGTGTTGTATGGCATTGAAGCTCGTTTGGAGGTTTGTTAACACAGTGTCCAATGAAGGGCCAGATGTATACAAAATGGTGTCGTCTGCGTAGAGGTGGATCTGAGAGTCACCAGCAGCAAGAGCGACATCATTGATATACACGGAGAAAAGAGTCGGCCCAAGAATTGAACCCTGTGGCACCCCCATAGAGACTGCCATAGGTCCAGACAACAGGCCCTCCGATTTGACACATTGAACTCTATCTGAGAAGTAGTTGGTGAACCAGGCGAGGCAGTCATTTGAGAAACCAAGGCTATTTAGTCTGCCAATAAGAATGCGGTGGTTGACAGAGTCGAAAGCCTTGGCCAGGTCGATGAAGACGGCTGCACAGTACTGCCTATTATCGATCGCGGTTATAATATCGTTTAGGACCTTGAGCGTGGCTGAGGTGCACCCATGACCAGCTCGGAAACCGGATTGCATAGCGGAGAAGGTACGGTGGGATTCGAAATGGTCGGTGATCTGTTTGTTAACTTGGCTTTCAAAAACTTTCGAAAGGCAGGGCAGGATGGATATAGGTCTGTAACAGTTTGGATCTAGAGTGTTACCCCCTTTGAAGAGGGGGATGACCGCGGCAGCTTTCCAATCTCTGGGGATCTCAGACGTTACGAAAGAGAGGTTGAACAGGCTAGTAATAGGGGTTGCGACAATTTCGGCGGCTAGTTTTAGAAAGAAAGGGTCCAGATTGTCTAGCCCAGCTGATTTTGTAGGGGTCCAGATTTTGCAGCTCTTTCAGAACATCAGCTGTCTGAATTTGTGTGAAGGAGAAGTGGGGGGGGGGGGGGCATGGGCAAGTTGCAGCGGAGGGTGCAGAGCTGGTGGCCGGGGTAGTGGTATCCAGGTGGAAAGAATGGCCAGCCGTAGCAAGATGCTTGTTGAAATTCTCGATTATTGTAGATTTATCGGTGGTGATAGTGTTTCCTAGCCTCAGTGCAGTGGGCAGCTGGGAGGAGGTGCTCTTATTCTCCATGGACTTTACAGTGTCCCAAAACTTTTTGGAGTTAGTGCTACAGGATGCAAATTTCTGTTTGAAAAAGTTAGCCTTTGCTTTCCTAACTGCTTGTGTATATTGGTTCCTAACTTCCCTGAAAAGTTGAATATCGCGGGGGCTATTTGATGCTAATGCAGTACGCCACAGGATGTTTTTGTGCTGGTCAAGGGCAGTCAAGTCTGAGGAGAACCAGGGGCTATATCTGTTCTTAGTTCTGTATTTTTTTAATGGGGCATGTTTATTTAAGATTGAGAGGAAATTACTTTTAAAGAACAACCAGGCATCCTCTACTGACGGAATGAGATCTATATCCATCCAGGATACCTGGGCCAGGTCAATTAGGAAGGCCTGCTCGCTAAAGTATTTTAGGGAGCGTTTGACAGTGATTAGGGGTGGTCGTTTGACCGTGGACCCGTTACGGACGCAGGCAATAAGGCAGTGATCGCTGAGATCCTGGTTGAAGACAGCGAAGGTGTATTTAGAGGGTAAGTTAGTCAGGATGATATCTATGAGGGTACCCATGTTTACGGATTTAGGGTTGTACCTGGTAGGTTCGTTGATAATTTGTGTGAGATTGAGGGCATCTAGTTTGGATTGTAGGATGGCCGGGGTGTTAAGCATATCCCAATTTAGGTCACCAAGTAGTACGAACTCTGAGGATAAATGGGGGGCAATCAATTCACATATGGTGTCCAGGGCACAGCTGGGGGCTGAGGGGGGTCTGTAGCAAGCGGCAATAGTGAGAGACTTATTTCTGGAAAGGTGGATTTTTAGAAGTAGAAGCTCAAACTGTTTGGGCACAGACCTGGATAGTATGATAGAGCTCTGCAGGCTATCTCTACAGTAGATTGCAACTCCACCCCCTTTGGCAGTTCTATCTAGACGGGAAATGTTGTAGTTGGGGATGGACATTTCAGAATTTTTGGTGGCCTTCCTAAGCCAGGATTCAGACACTGCTAGAACATCAGGGTTGGTGGAGTGTGCTAACGCAGTGAATAACTCAAACTTAGGAGTAGACTTCTGATGTTAACGTGCAGAAAACCAAGGCTTTGACGGTTACAGAAGTCAACAAATGATAGCTCCTGGGGAGTAGGAGTGATACTGGGGGCTGCAGGGCCTGGGTTAGCCTCTATATCACCAGAGGAACAGAGGAGGACTAGAATAAGGATATGGCTAAAGGCTTTAAGAACTGGTCTTCTAGTGCGTTGGGTACAGAGAATAAAGGGGGCAGATTTCCGGGCGTTGTAGAAAAGATTCAAGGCATTATGTACAGACAAGGATATGGAAGGATATGAGTACAGTGGAGGTAAACCTAAGCGTTGGGTAACAATGAAAGAGATATCACTAGAGGCACCGATTGAGCCGGTCTCGGCGTGTATGGGGGGTGGAACAAAGGAACTATTTAAGGCAGTTTGAGAGGGACTTGGGGTTCTACAGTGAAATTGTATAATAAGAACTAACTGGAACAGCAATAGGCAAGGCATATTGACATGGGAGAGAGGCATAAAGCAATCACAGGTGTTATTAGAGAGAGCTAAGACAACAACTGGTAATGGCGATAAAGTTTGGGCTGAGGCTAAACAGAATAAACAGGACAGGGTACCGTGTAAAGGAACAGTCCAGCAGGCATCAGCTGTGCAGCTGAGTGATCATAAGGTCCAGTGAACAGCAATATGTGAATCCGAGAGCATTTCAAATTGGTGCTTCAGCACAGCGAGCAGGAAGCACGGTTGTAGTTTGCGTGTGCTAGCGGGCCGGGGCTAGCAGATGGATCTTCGTGGTCGTCGCAACGGGAAGCCTGTTGAAACCACAGACGATTATGTCGGCATACCAGTCGTGATGGATCGGCAGGGCTCCGTGTCGACTCTAGGAGGTCCCGTCCGGTTGACAGAGAGGTAGATAGCCGGTAAATGTGCTTGACTCAAGGCTAGCTCAAGGCTGATTAGCCAACAACAACGTTCATTTGGTTGCAGCTAGCTAGTTGCGATTATCCAGAGTTAAAGGTCCAGTGAATACTGAATAGATACACTGAATAGATACAGTACACTGATCTCAAACCCCCTCTCTCTCTCATAATAAGTCATAATTAGCCCAAAATGTATGAAAAAATACAATATTGTTTGTCTGTGTGGATGTACTAACAAAATCGATATGGACTGCTACAGTAAAGAATACATACAGATGTCTCAAAGTAAATGTCTCATTGGACCTATTCAAAACAGTATGTCAACTGGATGTGAACTATTGTTTCTCAGTAACAGAAGGCCTAACTGTTGTACCATGAATCGTCTCCGCAGCAACCCCTGGTGCGTCTGAGAGGCGGGGCCAACATAGGAGACGGGCGAGTGGAGGTGCTGAAGAACGGCGAATGGGGCACCGTCTGTGATGACAGCTGGAACCTAAAGGCAGCGTCCGTGGTGTGTCGAGAACTGGGCTTCGGGAGTGCCAAGGAGGCCCTCGCTGGAGGCAGGCTGGGACAAGGTAGGTCTTCTCTCTCTCTCTCTCTCTCTCTCTCTCTCTCTCTCTCTCTCTCTATCTCTCTTCTCTATCTACTCTCTCTTCTCTATCTCTCGTCTCTCTCTCTCTCTCTCTCTCTCTCTCTATCTCTCTCTCTCTCTCTCTCTCTCTCTCTCTCTCTCTCTCTCTCTCTCTCTCTCTCTCTCTCTCTCTCTCTGCCAGGTAAATGCATTCTACATGCCAACCAAGTATATTCACCATCTGTAATGGAATATGGAATCATTGATCCATAGTCATCTGATAAGTCTCAGACCAACCACCTTCTACCAGAGCCTTTTGAATCGCTGCCATCATCCACTATTAAGATACAGTATAACCACACAGTGACTCTGTAACATACTGTCTTTTCTACTGTGTTTCTCTATCTGCTGTCAGACCATCTTGGCTCTACTTTCAGAGAAGACACTGCCAGAGAAATGTTCCTGTCCAGTCACATGCTGGAGACAGACACAGCAGGAAGGGAGTGATCATATGTATTGTTGTGGAAAATCCAATATTTTCACATGGATTATTTAGACTTGCTAAATGTTTTAAAAGGGAGAGAGAGAACCAGAGGTGGGACCAAGACACTATTATTAGAGTCACAAGAAAGTCTTAAGTTACAAGGTCCGAGTCTCAAGTCCAGTCCCAAGTAGAACGGGTCGAGTCTCAAGTCTAGTCCCAAGTAGAACGGGTCGAGTCTCGAGTTAAGTCCCAAGTAGAACGGGTCGAGTCTCGAGTCAAGTCCCAAGTAGAACAGGTCGAGTCTCGAGTCCAGTCCCAAGTAGAACGGGTCGAGTCTCGAGTCAAGTCCCAAGTAGAACGGGTCGAGTCTCGAGTCCAGTCCCAAGTAGAACAGGTCGAGTCTCGAGTCCAGTCCCAAGTAGAACGGGTCGAGTCTCGAGTCAAGTCCCAAGTAGAACGGGTCGAGTCTCGAGTCAAGTCCCAAGTAGAACGGGTCGAGTCTCGAGTCAAGTCCCAAGTAGAACGGGTCGAGTCTCAAGTCATCTCCCAAGTAGAACGGGTCGAGTCTCGAGTCAAGTCCCAAGTAGAACGGGTCGAGTCTCGAGTCAAGTCCCAAGTAGAACGGGTCGAGTCTCGAGTCAAGTCCCAAGTAGAACGGGTCGAGTCTCAAGTCATCTCCCAAGTAGAACGGGTCGAGTCTCGAGTCAAGTCCCAAGTAGAACGGGTCGAGTCTCGAGTCAAGTCCAAGTCGTGCATTCTAAGAGCAAGTCAAGTCAAGTAAAAAAAATATATACATGCAACTACAAATCTTTGTCTATTTATTGAGGGCTACCAGACAGCCCTTTTCATCAATTTGTCTACAACATATTTTGATTATGTAACAATTCATTTTAACAACAAATTCCAAATGCAAGCTTCATAAGTAATTGATGAATTTCAAGCAATTTTGACATACCAAAAGACCAGTAGGCCTATGCTAGAAATTGTTGCTTGATGCCCCAATGCTGGTGAGTTTGCAAAGTAAACCGTTCATATTCTTGATCACCAAACATTCTTTGGAGCTGCATATTTATGGAAATCATATCTCCCTATAATTTGACGTTTGCGCTGCACCCGATCCTATAGCAGTACAGCAAATCACCAATCTGTTCGCTAGCTCAGTAGTTCTCTAACTTTTTGACCCGTGGCCCCCCAAAAGCAGTGGTACAAAACTTGCGACCCCTGCGCACGCACATACACGCACAATGGCTGCGCAAATGTAGCCTGTCATTACAGCCATAAACGGCAATTCATTTTCAAAAGTTAATATACAGAAATAAACTATGTTTTACACCTGCATTTTTAGCTGAAAGTAATTCATGTTAGCAGACAATATCAAGTCACTTCTCTGGAGTCCAGAGCAAGCAGCATCATAAGGCCAACTGGGTAGCCCTTTGCTTCCTCACAAATACTGTCATTAATTTGCTAGAATATGTTACATCTTCATTCCATAATATTGAAGGCAGTGCGATGTTACAGCTACAGTATCTTTAGACATATAGCCAGTAGCCACCCAAACTAGGCCTGTCTGAAATATGAAAATTATTTAATGAAATCGCCAGGTAGCCTATTATCGTTCTGGCAAAGATGCCTCCATAGTCGTTTTCTAAATTGTATTTTATATGGATAATATACAGTGGGGAGAACAAGTATTTGATACACTGCCGATTTTGCAGGTTTTCCTACTTACAAAGCATGTAGAGGTCTGTAATTTTTATCATAGGTACACTTCAACTGTGAGAGACGGAATCTAAAACAAAAATCCAGAAAATCACATTGTATCATTTTTAAGTAATTAATTTGCATTTTATTGCATGACATAAGTATTTGATACATTAGAAAATAATAACTTAATATTTGGTACAGAAACCTTTGTTTGCAATTACAGAGATCATACGTTTCCTGTAGGTCTTGACCAGGTTTGCACACACTGCAGCAGGGATTTTGGCCCACTCCTCCATACAGACCTTCTCCAGATCCTTCAGGTTTCGGGGCTGTCGCTGGGCAATACGGACTTTCAGCTCCCTCCAAAGATTTTCTATTGGGTTCAGGTCTGGAGACTGGCTGGGCCACTCCAGGACCTTGAGATGCTTCTTACGGAGCCACTCCTTAGTTGCCCTGGCTGTGTGTTTCGGGTCGTTGTCATGCTGGAAGACCCAGCCACGACCCATCTTCAATGCTCTTACTGAGGGAAGGAGGTTGTTGGCCAAGATCTCGCGATACATGGCCCCATCCATCCTCCCCTCAATACGGTGTAGTCGTCCTGTCCCCTTTGCAGAAAAGCATCCCCAAAGAATGATGTTTCCACCTCCATGCTTCACGGTTGGGATGGTGTTCTTGGAGTTGTACTCATCCTTCTTCTTCCTCCAAACACGGCGAGTGGAGTTTAGACCAAAAGGCTCTATTTTTGTCTCATCAGACCACATGACCTTCTCCCATTCCTCCTCTGGATCATCCAGATGGTCATTGGCAAACTTCAGACGGGCCTGGACATGCGCTGGCTTGAGCAGGGGGACCTTGCGTGCGCTGCAGGATTTTAATCCATGACGGCGTAGTGTGTTACTAATGGTTTTCTTTGAGACTGTGGTCCCAGCTCTCTTCAGGTCATTGACCAGGTCCTGCCGTGTAGTTCTGGGCTGATCCCTCACCTTCCTCATGATCATTGATGCCCCACGAGGTGAGATCTTGCATCTAGCCCCAGACCGAGGGTGATTGACCGTCATCTTGAACTTCTTCCATTTTCTAATAATTGCGCCAACAGTTGTTGCCTTCTCACCAAGCTGCTTGCCTATTGTCCTGTAGCCCATCCCAGCCTTGTGCAGGTCTACAATTTTATCCCTGATGTCCTTACACAGCTCTCTGGTCTTGGCCATTGTGGAGAGGTTGGAGTCTGTTTGATTGAGTGTGTGGACAGGTGTCTTTTATACAGGTAACGAGTTCAAACAGGTGCAGTTAATACAGGTAATGAGTGGAGAACAGGAGGGCTTCTTAAAGAAAAACTAACAGGTCTGTGAGAGCCGGAATTCTTACTGGTTGGTAGGTGATCAAATACTTATGTCATGCAATAAATGCAAATTAATTACTTAAAAATCATACAATGTGATTTTCTGGATTTTTGTTTTAGATTCCGTCTCTCACAGTTGAAGTGTACCTATGATAAAAATTACAGACCTCTACATGCTTTGTAAGTAGGAAAACCTGCAAAATCGGCAGTGTATCAAATACTTGTTCTCCTCACTGTAAATGTAGGCCTAATCTGTTTTTGTCAGGCAAAACCGGAGAAAATGAAGCAAGTGCTTTCTGGTCTTGGTATGCGCACCCCCATTTGCACACCAATGCTGATGACCGGTCATTGGTCAACAAGCAAGACAAGCAACACATTTCGGAAGACACATTTAGCTTTAAATCATTCAGTTGTGCAACTGACTAGGCATCCCCTTTCCCATGCTGCGGCTACTGTCTCTGGCTGCGTGGAGAGTAATCCATGGAGACTCTGTGCCACAAAATTAGTGACAAAACGTTACAAAACCTAACCACATAATGTCAAAGTCGAGTCCCAAGTCTTGAGGCTCCAAGTCTCAAGTTATTTTATTTTATATCAAGTCATCAAATTTGTCAAGTCATGTGACTCGGTCCACACCTCTGGAGAGAACAGTTCAATGTTCCCAAGTGCCCTACTCGAATGGGTCAGAGTTGTCCTAAAATTGGCAGGAAAGTTAATTTCAACTCTCAGAGTGTGATTCTACTCCTGTTAGACATCATTGCCATGCATTTAAACATAGTGGGCCGGTTTCCCAGACACAGATTAAGCCTAGTCCTGAACTCAAAAGCTCTTTCAATGGAGAATCTCCATTCTGTCTGTCTCCTGGAGTATTGAAAGCATAGTTCTGTGATTGAGAGAGTGGGATGGAGCTGACTCCAGGTGTGTCTTCTTCTCTCCCCTGTAGGAATGGGCCCAGTCCATATGAATGAGGTGGAGTGCTCTGGCTTTGAGAAGTCCCTCACAGAGTGCTATTTCAACAGAGATGCCCTGGGCTGCAGTCACGAGGAGGATGCTGCGGTTAGATGTAATGTTCCTGCCATGGGCTTCCAGCACAGAGTGAGTAGGCCTAGTACATGCCCACCGCTTATGGGTATTACTCATATAGTACTTGTGTATTACTCATACATAACTTGTATTAGTGGGTAAGAGCATTGTGCCAGTAACCGAAAGGTCGCTGGTTCTAATCCCCGAGCCGACTAGGTGAAAAATCTGTCGATGTGCTCTTAAGCAAGGCACTTAACCCTAATTGCTCCTGTAAGTCGCTCTGGATAAGAGCGTCTGCTAAATGACTAAAATGTTGTATAGTACTTGTATATAACTTGTATATAAGTCTATTGCCAACTGTTGCCAAATGCAAATGAACAAATCCACTGAATATTTGTTTGATGTCATCTGTGGATGTGCAAACTTTAGAGTTGTTGTGATTCCATCATTAATGCCAACCACACATTTTTGCCAAACTATTTTCATAATAGAAGAAATGCTTTCATGTTTTCTAGCTTCTCAAAATACTTTAGGTAAAGCATTTCACAGCCAAAGATTTGTTTTCTCAGAAGAACAGAATACTCAACACAGATTAGGGAATATACCTCATATTTGAATCAAGTGTCTTTTTTGGCTCATAATAAACATCTAATATGTGGCCTAGTGGGTGGTCTAGCGCAGTTTGTTTTTTTACTGGGGTCCGCGGAGGTACTGCAGGGGGTCCGCAAATGTATTATTATAATTTTTATAAAAATATATTGGGATTTTTTTATGTGAAAAAAGACAATTTTATGAATATTGCTAGCTGCAAGAGATTTTTTTACCTTTATTTAACTAGGCAAGTCAGTTAACAACAAATTCTTATTTACAATGACAGCCTACACCGGCCAAACCCGGACAACTTGTGCACTCCCAATCACATCCGGTTGTGATACAGCCTGGAATTTGAACCAGGGGGTCTGTAGTGATGCTTCAAGCACTGAGATGCAGTGCCTTAGACCGCTGCGCCACTCGGGAGCCCAGAATACCACCGTAAATAGCATTGTTATGTCTCTGCGTCCAGTATAAAGGAAGTTAGAGGTAGTTTCACAAGCCAATGACTGAAAGTCTAAAGGAAGAGTTAGCATGGTAGCGGTTCTTGTTCATCCGACACTGCGGAAGTAGATAAATGGCTTCATTGACAAAATCTCAAACTATCCCTTTAATATGGAGGAAGTTACAGTCATTGGAGCTAATTACAGAGTTTCTTCTGTATAGAAAATTCTTAGGTAGGCCGTCTAAGTGGTACATTTCGGGATGGAAAAACAGTTTCAGTGTCAACTTAAACAACTAAAACCAGATATAAAACGTGCAGAAAAGATATTGAAATATATCTTTTTAGATAATACAATTTTTGAAAACTAATAATCAAATTAAAGCTAGACAGTCAGGGAGAATCAAAAATAAAAATAAAACAGCCATTCAGGGCACATGCCCATTGATTTTATTATATTTGAGCAGAGGAACACAGCATTAGCCATGGAAAAATGCACAGAATTGCAGGAATTTAGCTTTAAAACTTCAAAATTATCTCTCAGCTCCATGCCAAACTGTGTAGAATTGCTAGAAATTAGCTTCAAAACTGCAACATGTTATCTCAGCTCAATGGGAAAATGTGTAGAATTGCAGAAAATGTGCTTTACAACAGCAACATTTTCTCTACGCTGCCAAGATATCTTTCTAGCTAATAGACTATGTTAGAGTTTACACTTCCTCTTCCAATGAACTGTGGGGAGGTCACAATAATGAAACTATCTACCAAATCTATTCATTTTAAAATGTTGATTACTTCTACTTGACATTATCATTCACCTGATGATAAGGCAAGATGTGATTTTAAATTGTTTTGCTAACATATGATAAAGGCCCCTTTGTCACCGGTTTGCCTGGGCGGGGGTCCCTGGGCTAGACCCTTGGTATAATGGTCTAAGCCGCTGCCCCTAGAACACATATACTTCTGCATCATGGGTTCCAAGCCGACCCACTGCTATCTCAGCACACTTTATCCTCCTGTCTTTCCTCTCTATCTCTGGCGTGTCCAATAAACCCAAAACATATGAGCAGAATGGGACTGCCTTTATAAACATCTAATCTCTCCTTTACTGTGTTGCAGCTGCGTCTGAGTGGAGGGCGGAACCCGTTTGAGGGGCGTGTGGAGGTGCTGGCGGAGAAGAACGGCTCGCTGGTGTGGGGCACGGTGTGCAGTGATAGCTGGGGCACCATGGAGGCCACGGTCGTGTGCAGACAGCTGGGCCTTGGGTTCGCCAGCAACGCCTTCCAGGTGCGTTTACACACATCAAACTCTCATCCCATTGGCTGGTCAGCCAGACGATCAAAAGCCTAACATTCTTTGACAAATGGTCAATTTCATCTCAGAATGTTTTGGGGATTATTTCGATATCCTGTATAGTAAAACTATTACTATTGCATTTCCTGTTTCTGTGTAAGTATCGACAACATGTAATAATATCAAGGGTCAATTATACCTTTTGTGTGATTTTGTGATTGGAACTCACAGATAAGCACAGGTTTTTACCCCAGTGTTATTTGTGTGGATGTTGGGGAAATAGTCACGTCTAACACTGGTGCTATTACTTCATAAAAGTACATTATTTGGTCCTCCTGTGTTTCAAGTTGGCCTCATTATATACGTCAGAGCCATATAATCACCACCAGCAAACCTCATATATCCCTATGGGTCTGATATACACCCTTTAGCTGTAAACAGCTGGAGATGCTCACTAAAGGAAACGGGCTCTGACCTTAGAGTTTATAGTCTCCACACTGACTAAGGGGATGGAGTGAGGAGAGGCTACAGGCTAGCCTGGGTACCATAAACATGTACAGGCATGTGGCGTATGTGAACTGTATACACTTGGTGGTGGGGAGTCCGTTCCTGCTCTTTGAAGTTTAATTGGCCCACCACCATCAGCAACCCTATATACAATTAAGTCATTTAGCAGACGCTCTTATCCAGAGCAACTTACAGTTAGTGAGTGCATACATTATTTTTTATTTTGGCCACCTGTGGGAATCGAACCCACAACCCTGGCATTGCAGACACCATGCTCACCAACTGAGCTACATCACTGCCGGCCATTCCCTCCCCTACCCTGGACGACACTGGGCCAATTGTGCACCGCCCCATGGGTCTCCTGGACGCGGCCGGCTACGAACCAGGATCTCTAACGGTACTGCTAGCACTGCAATGCCTTAGACCACTGCGCCACTCAGGAGTATAGGCTAGATACGCTTTTCTGCTGACGTACCAGACCTATTAGTGTTGCTATTTTGATTATTTGCTGTGTTTAAAGGGTTATACAAGAGCTATCTTTAGTCCCACGGTGTGTATATACACCAGCTTTATGTGCATTCTTTATCAATTTCTTTTTTCTTGGGGTTTCGGACGAGTCTACTGTTTGAGAGACTGTCATTAACTATTTGCAGTGTACTAACAAGTGCTGAATGCCACTGGCAGTGGTGATATAAGTCTGGAAAGTATTTATGAATCATGGAAGAACTGGGTTGATGGGAGGGAGAGTTTAATGAGTGGAAATTGGACTGGGCTGATAGAGCTCAGAGTAATTGTGTGATTAAGTGTGACTTCGATTATTGTGTACTAATCCACCTCTTAATGGCAGTCTACATCAAATTGTCATGATGTGTTTGGGGATCCTTTAAATGTACTAGAACGCACGCACACACGTGCACAGACAGACAAACAGATAGACACACAGAAAGACACACATTTCTTATTTGTATTTCTCGTGTGTTTTTGTTCTACCTTATGTTATGTTTAGTGTTACATTGATATTGATTATTGCATTGTTGGGTTTGGAACTTGCTAGAAAAGCATTGCACTGTACTTGTGCACGTGACATTAAAACTCGAAACTTTCCTGCAGAGATACAGTCATGTTATGTTAACAGAGAGGTTAGTCTGTTACAAAAGCCTGGTGGTGTGGAGAGCAGAGCAGAGTCCGTCCCGTGGAGAGTAGAGCAGAGACAGAAGCAGCAGAGTCCGTCCCAGATGGTGGAGCAGCAGCAGATTACATTTACGTCATTTAGCAGACGCTCTTATCCAGAGCGACTTACAGTTAGTGAATACATTTATTTTTTTATTTTTATACTGGCCCCCCGTGGGAATCGAACCCCAAACGCCATGCTCTATCAACTGAGCTACATCCCTGCCGGCCATTCCCTCCCCTACCCTGGGCCAATTGTGCGCCGCCCATGAGTCTCCCGGTCACAGCCGGCTGCGACAGAGCCTGGATTCGAACCAGGATCTCTAGTGGCACAGTTAGCACCGCGATGCGGCGCCTTAGACCACTGCGCCACTCAGGAGACTGATTAGAGACTGATTAGAGAACAGTCCATCATCAAACACACACAGCCTCCTGGCAGCCTGCTCTGGTGCCTCTTTCCTGACTTACTGCTCTGCGCTCTAAGGATGTGTCCCAAATGGCAACCTATTCCCTATATAGTGCACTACATTTGACCAGAGCCCTATGGGTCCTCCCAAACCACCATCCGCCCTCCCCATCCCACCCACCCGTACTCCTTTTCTGTGGGAGATCTCGGAAATAATGAGTTTTCACAGGATTATTCTCTTGGCTTTGGGCTTCGATATAGATGCATACAGATGATACAGTATAAAGAGGCTGAGTCAGATCCATGAGGACAGTTGTAATACATTACTCACTCACTCTCTTTCTCTTTTTCTCTCTCTCTCTCTCTCTCTCTCTCTCTCTCTCTCTCTCTCTCTCTCTCTCTCTCTCTCTCTCTCTCTCTCTCTCTCTCTCTCTCTCTCTCTCTCTCTCTCTCACTCTCTCTTTAAATATGGTTGAGTTTTACAGCAAAAGACATGACATAGCAACATTTAACTTCAGATGGAGTGACTTTGTTTCCTTAAGGATCTTGCTACTTGCTTTAGAAAGCCTCATCACCAGAAACATAAAATCTAGAAAACATCCACCAGGGAAAAAGAGGCCTAACCAATATCCTGCTCTTCACTTCCTCAATTAAATCTTGTCTATCTTCTCAAGGAGTTTTGGACAACAACTATCAGAATGGGTTCTACTAGGTAGATGTTGCCGTATCCGAACAATAGCAAAATTAGGGTTAAGTGCCTTGCTCAAGGGCACATTAACAGATTTTTGCACCTTGTCGGCTTGGGTATTCAAACCAGCGACCATTCGGATACTGGCCCAGTGCTCTAACCGCTAGGCTACCTGCCGCCCTATAGCTATGCAGGTTCATGACCTGCAGGGATGGAAATGTAGATAGGGAAACCTCTTGCTTTAAGATTATGAAATTACAGTTTCCCCTCTTAAGTTTAGAGAATTAAAGCTGGGCCTATGTTTGATCAGTTTGCCTGTGTGGTGTTATTTCTCCCTACCAGGAGACGTGGTACTGGCCGGGAGATGTGAGGGCTGATGACGTGGTGATGAGCGGGGTCAGGTGTTCAGGGACGGAGATGACCTTGGCCCAGTGCCTCCATCACGGGAAACACCTCAACTGCCCTCGAGGGGGAGGGCGCTTCGCTGCTGGAGTCTCCTGCTCCAAGTGTAAGTCACTGATGATAACTACTGTCTGTAATTAAGGCCTAGATTCAATCAGATCAAGAGTTAACCGGCAATAGCAGACACCCGTATTGCGGAAGTTTTGGCGGTTTCGGCGGTTTCGGAGGTGGAACCGCTTTGGAGACGTCAAATCGGTGAGCAGTTGCTCTTGCGATCATTGTCACGAAGCCACACCCATCCCACTCACGTTAGAAGTTCAGAACAAGAAAGTGTAGGCTATATAGAAATAATTACACTCAAATTGAAAAATCATTCAACAAAATAAGGATTTCTATCATCCTAATCAAGGTGTAGATTACATCTCACATTCCAGTGTTCAAACTTTTAAATAAGGCTGCATGGGATTTCTGTTAATGCAACTCCATGCAGCCAATGGCAATGTCTGCTTTACAGTGGTGGAAAAAGTACCCAATTGTATAACTTGAGTAAAAGTGAAGATACCTTAATAGAAAGTTACTCAAGTAAAAGTGAAAGTCAGATAGTAAAATACTACTTGAGTAAAAGTCTAAAAGTATTTGGTTTTAAATATACTTAAGTATCAAAAGTAAATGTAATTGCTAAAAGATACTTAAGTATCAAAAGTAAAAGTAAAAGTATAAATAATTTTAAATTCCTTATATTAAGCAAAGCAGATGGCACCATTTTCTTGTTCTTAAAATGTATGGATAACCAGGGGCACACTTCAACACTCAGACACTATTTACAAAAGATGCATGTGTGTTTAGTGAGTCCACCAGGCCAGAGGCAGTAGGGATGACCACGTGTTCTCTTGATAAGTGTGTGAATTTGACCATTTTCCTGTCCTGCTAAGCATTCAAAATGTAAGGAGTACTTTTGGTTGTCAGGGAAAATGTATGGAGTAAAAAGTACAATATTTTCTTTAGGAATGTAGTGAAGTAAAAGTAAAAGTTGTCAAAAAATATAAATAGTAAAGTAAAGTACAGATACCCCAAAAAACTACTTAAGTAGTACTTTAAAGTATTTTTACTTAAGTACTTTACACCACTGCTGCTTTAGGTACAGTATAATGCCAGCAGCCACTTGTGGATTTGGCAGTTCCACCTCCGACACGTCAAAACAACCGCTATGCGGATGTCGACTAAAGCAGATCGGGATTGAATAGAGCCCTAAGACCCTGAAAAACTCTTGACCAACCCTCAACCCTAATACTCAAGGCGCCACTGCAGGCACACAACACATGCAACAACCTCTGCAATCGTTAGATGATTAGTAATAATGAACAATAAAATCACCATTCCATTCCAAATCACTCCGCGTGTCGTGCCTAAGAACAGCCCTTAGCCGTGGTATTGCTTCAATATATTCCACTCATCTGAATTTCATTGATACACTGTAAGCTGATGAATTTCAAGCAGAGACAGGCGATAGTGTATCAGTTGACTAGTCATGTAGAAAATGTGATCTTGTACAATATTGCATGGGCCAGAATGGCATACAACACTGCGCTACGTTTTTACAGTAGCCAACTGCTTGACAATAGCCCTATTTCTGATTATTTATCCTACTTATGTACTGTATAAGGATAATGAAACTTTAAGACTGACATATTTCTCAACATGCTCACAACTTGCCATTGGATACAAATGTGTATTTTTTGCTATTGGATTAAATGGTAGTTAAAATGACTAAATGGTGTATTAGTGACTAAACTAAATGTTCTCATTGTATTTCATGAAAAACTTAGATTTTGCATGAATTTCTCAGGGATGAAAGATGTGTGAAACCCCAATGAATGAACAATTAAATGTTCTAAACATAAGATAAGTGTTATCAGTTTAGAGTTTTGAAAATATACCACTTATATCTGAACAATGTGCCAAAGTGATTGAAAGAAAAACTGTAACAACCTCTCCTGCCCTGGCACGCAGCGGCCCCAGACTTGGTTCTCAACGCTCAGGTGGTGGAACACACCACATACCTGGAGGACCGTCCAATGTACATACTGCAGTGTGCCAACGAGGAGCACTGTCTGTCCAGCAGTGCTGCCACTGCCACACCCTCCTCCTACCGTCGCCTGCTGCGCTTCTCCTCCCAGATCCACAACAACGGACAGTCCGACTTCCGCCCCAGGGCTGCACACAACTCCTGGGTCTGGCACGACTGCCACAGGTAAAGTGGAGGATGAATTCTTTGGTCCTTCAGTTTAGTAATTTAGTTATGTAGTGGAAGCTATGATAAAGGGGGCTGGACAAAGGCATGCAAACAAGCATCATGAGCAGGAACTCTTTGTGAGTATTACATGAGTTGAGAACAATCACAGTGCTGGAATAAAAGTCCTCTGGAGGTTGTTATTGTCGCAGCCTTGTGAGATCATACATTTGTGGTCATCTTGAGGCAGTGCCTGCTGTGGTTGTACAAAGGCTGGTTATGATGATGATGAAGATGAGGAGGGTGGTGATGATGAACATGATTGACTGTCTATCTCCCGGTCCAGGCACTACCACAGCATGGAGGTGTTCACCCACTATGACCTGCTGAGCCTCAATGGCACCAAGGTAGCAGAGGGACACAAGGCCAGCTTCTGTCTGGAGGACACCCAATGTGAAGAGGGTAAAGAGTGTTAATGTGAAAAGGGTAAAAAGGCTTTAATGTGAAAAGCAAATGATTAATATTATCACGACAAACCTCTTGACTACATTCCTGATTCTCTGCTCTAACACTCTTCACTGTTGTCTCTCTGATCTAACACTCTTCACTGTTGTCTCCGACCTAACACTCTTCACTGTTGTCTCCGACTTAACACACTTCACTGTTGTCTCTGGCCGGGCAGGTATTGAGAAGAGGTACGAGTGTGCTAACTTCGGGCAGCAGGGCATCACTGTTGGCTGCTGGGATACGTACAGACACGACATCGACTGTCAGTGGATAGACGTGACAGACGTCGTGCCAGGAGACTACATCTTCCAAGTGAGAATCTTATTGAATTTTTATTCTTTCAAAATGTTTGTTTTTCCCCCCCAGTTAGAATTTAAAATAACTATTATATTAGAATAGACATGTGATTCTATACATCCAAATATGAAATAGGAGCAAGGTGCTTGTCTTACATGAGAATCTTATAATAAACTGGGAGTAGTGACAGTTCTTCCAATCACTTTTGGTTCCATGGGGATAACAGGAGTCAATTCATTTCAATGGAATCCACATTTAGTCATTCAGCTTGTCACTTTCCCAGCATTTTATAATTGTTACAATTTCACTTAAAGCCATCTGTGTTGGCAGCATCTACAGTGAGGGAAAAAAGTATTTGATCCCCTGCTGATTTTGTAAATTTGCCCACTGACAAAGACATGATCAGTCTATACTTTTAATGGTAGGTTTATTTGAACAGTGAGAGACAGAATAACAACAACAAAATCCAGAAAAACGCTTGTCAAAAATGTTATAAATTGATTTGCATTTTAATGAGGGAAATAAGTATTTGACCCCTCTGCAAAACATGACTTAGTACTTGGTGGCAAAACCCTTGTTGGCGATCACAGAGGTCAGACGTTTCTTGTAGTTGGCCACCAGGTTTGCACACATCTCAGGAGGGATTTTGTCCCACTCCTCTTTGCAGATCTTCTCCAAGTCATTAAGGTTTCGAGGCTGACGTTTGGCAACTCGAAACTTCAGCTCCCTCCACAAATGTTCTATGGGATTAAGGCTAGGCCACTCCAGGACCTTAATGTGCTTCTTCTTGAGACACTCCTTTGTTGCCTTGGCCGTGTGTTTTGGGTCATTGTCATGCTGGAATACCCATCCACTACCCATTTTCAATGCCCTGGCTGAGGGAAGGAGGTTCTCACCCAAGATTTGACGGTAAATGGCCCCGTCCATCGTCCCTTTGATGCGGTGAAGTTGTCCTGTCCCCTTAGCAGAAAAACACCCCCAAAGCATAATGTTTCCACCTCCATGTTTGACGGTGGGGATGGTGTTCTTGGGGTCATAGGCAGCATTCCTCCTCCTCCAAACACGGCGAGTTGAGTTGATGCCAAAGAGCTCGATTTTGGTCTCATCTGACCACAACACTTTCACCCAGTTCTCCTCTGAATCATTCAGATGGTCCCAGCTGCCTTGAGATCATTGACAAGATCCTCCCGTGTAGTTCTGGGCAGATTCCTCACCGTTCTCATGATCATTGCAACTCCACGAGGTGAGATCTTGCATGGGGCCCCAGGCCGAGGGAGATTGACAGTTCTTTTGTGTTTCTTCCATTTGCGAATAATCGCACCAACTGTTGTCACCTTCTCACCAAGCTGCTTGGCGATGGTCTTGTAGCCCATTCCAGCCTTGTGTAGGTCTACAATCTTGTCCCTGACATCCTTGAAGAGCTCTTTGGTCTTGGCCATGGTGGAGAGTTTGGAATCTGATAGATTGATTGCCCCTGTGGACAGGTGTCTTTTATACAGGTAACAAACTGAGATTAGGAGCACTCCCTTTAATAGTGTGCTCCTAATCTCAGCTCGTTACCTGTATAAAAGACACCTGGGAGCCAGAAATCTTTCTGATTGAGAGGGGGTCAAATACTTATTTCCCTCATTAAAATGCAAATCAATTTATAACATTTTTGACATGCGTTTTTCTGTTGTTATTCTGTCTCTCACTGTTCAAATAAACCTACCATTAAAATTATAGACTGATCATTTATTTGTCAGTGGGCAAACGTACAAAATCAGCAGGGGATCAAATACTTTTTTCCCTCACTGTATATGGGTGTATATATGGATGTATTGAAGAATGCATAGATGGATGTATAGATGGATGTATAGATGCATCCTTTCCATTGTCTTCTTTACGTATAGGGATACAGAAACCTTAACTGAAACTGTAGTCTTCTTTGTATATGGCATCATGCCTGTACCTATAATCTCTCGTGGACAGAGCTACGTAAACATAACTGGTACCATAGAATCTGTTGGGAAGGAATGGGATGTGTGGGATAACGAGCAGCAGTAGTTCCGGAGTTTGGGTTTTTTGTCACAGGTTATTTGAACAAATCACAATTTTGCAGGTGTTAGCATCTTTCGAATTTCGGAAGGGGAGGGGAAAACTCCACATTTGACATGTGTTTTTCTGGATTTTTTTGTTGTTATTCTGTCTCTCACTGTTCAAATAAACCTACCATTAAAATTATAGACTGATCATGTCTTTGTCAGTGGGCAAACGTACAAAATCAGCAGGGGATCAAATACTTTTTTCCCTCACTGTATTTTGGTAATAGCAAGAGTATCTGGGTTCTCTGATGACATCATCAATACGTTGTTTCTCTCCCCAGGTTGTAATCAACCCCAACTATGAGGTGGCAGAGTCCGACTACACCAACAACATTATGAAGTGCAGGTGTCGATACGATGGCCACCGGATATGGACGTACAACTGTCATATAGGTGAGAGACTGGATGACAACAGTGGCGATTACTGGCTACAACAGTATTGAATGTGATGGACACAATGAACTTTTCATGTTCAAATACATTTTTTCTATGGATAACAAATGACCACATTCCAAAGAGGCTTACATTCATTTAGTAAATAAATGGGTGAAAAGGCAATCGCAAAATTCAAAAACATTTTAATGAGATAATGTACTGACATAATACTAACATATTCACAAGGGATTGTCCCCAAACACGTGTGCTTTAAGGTTTGTCTTACAAACTGGAGAGCCAGACATCAACCAATTTCCTCTGCTGGATCATAATGTTGGCCATTACAATATATATATATCATAAAACACCAAAAGACAATGGCATATAACAGAACCCTATATAATAATTGCATTCTATTTTTTTAAATCCCCCTGGAAATGCTCGTAAACATAAATATCAACTTGAAATAAACTTTTTAAAAAGTTATCAAGTTTATCGTTCAGCTTGAATGTTTCAGAAAATGTTTGAGTGAGTTTTTAGCATTAGAAATCAACCATTTTATTAATTGCGTAAAATGGCAATCCTGAATAGTTGCATCGAGTTGTAATTGCATCTGCGGACGTTTTTTTCTTTCAAAAACAAAATCAAACTTTATTTACATAGATGACTTAAAAGATAATTAATCACGTTTATCTGAAACCTACAACATGAACGATCCAGATTTGCTTTCCTAACAGAGTTGTCCATATCCTGTATTTTTATTCCATCTCCTGACAGAACATCTGTCTTCATTTTTATTCTTTCCATTTTATTTTTGCTACGCAAGTACACAATGTAGAAATTAGGCTTAATAGGAATTATACAACCGGTGTATCACCAACTTTATCCATCTACGTATGGACGCAACCAGCGTAAGTTAAATTATCTGTTAAATGTTTGGCAAATTACGAAGTTAAAATACAGTAAGAACTGTGGACACCCCCCCACCCCACAGTGTAACACAATGCCCCATTCCCTTCATAACTGATGCCTGATTCACACTATAGGACCAAAAGGAGCCAAGCCAAGCTGTACTGGGCCAGCCTGGTTACACATCCACAATAGTTGTTGGAACCGTGATAGGAAAGACAATGTGAAAAGAAAATATCCAAGTCAGCATTGTATGGTTTGGGTCGGCCCTATAGTGTGAATGGCATCAACAATGAACAATGGGAACTTGAGAAAAGGAACAATACATTGGACAGCAATGGTCTGCCAGTTATTTATTAGCAAGGACATCTGTAGTTGTGTAGTCCAGTTGTAGCCTGACATTCCTGCAAAAGATCATGAAAACAATCAGTTCAAAGAGAGAGAAGGCTTGTGAAGACATTTTTTTACCATTGTAATTATATGGACTAATTTCTATTGACAACCAGTGTAGCCGGTGCTATCAAACTGTGGCCACTATTGAATGAGTGCAGTTCTTCTCTCCTCTTCAGGTGGCTCGATGAGTTCTGAGTCAGAGGAATCCTCTTTCCCTGGCCTCATGAATAACCAGCTGGGACACAGGTAGTGTGGATGGACTCAATAGAAAGACCGGGAATGACCAGCAAGACTGTTGTGACATTACCAACCACTAGAGGGAGCGCTGTACTGTGTGTTCCCTCCCTATTGGTGCTGGATGAAAATTGAAAAGCCTATCACACCTCAATGCCAACGTTTGATATAAGGATGTTGCAGACGAAGAAGCACCGCTGTCTTTACTGATTTCACTAATTTCTGTAACATGTACTGCGGAGTGCTGGTGCTATCAAATCCGTCATATTTATATGTATCTAACTCTTCTGGTCCACCATAAGGACAAAAAAAACAAAACAAAAAAACATTTGACATGACACCTGCTGCACCTTGAGACAGTTTCTTACTGTTTTTTGTTTTTTTAAGTATATTGTGTTGAGCAGGAAATTATGCAACTATGAAGTGGGTGGGAAAGTAGCAGAAGAGTCTTACTTCCATTGAGAATATACTTTAACTGATTAAATAAATTATTTGTCAATTTAGTGCAGTTTCATGCCAGTCTATGATGTGACAATTTGGTAGGAAGCCATTGTAAATATAAATAGGAAGAACCCATTTTTGTCTTGCTGTATGGTATTCACTAAGGATAAGGCAATATTATTACAACCATACAGCTACCACTTAACAGCAACTTTGTTTTTCATGAATGCATGATTTAGGTAAAGGTGTGAGTTATTCATGCAATTTGTGTTCTGATTCTGCCCAAGTTAACATATCTTGCATCACTTAATATATAACCTCTGGGAACATATTTAAAACCTTTCATCTTAGGATCCTAAGATAAATATACATTTTAGTCTTATCAGCATATTTCGCTCAGTTTAGTACATTTTTCAAAGATCCATTTTATTACATTATTACCATCATGGACTCTAAAATCGGTTTGTTTTCTCGATTGTATACGTCACGAATGATCTGTGAAAATGAATGTTTGCATCATTTTGTCCTATGTTTGTGATACAGCAACTACAGGGCCCTTCATTTGACAAGGGTGCTCTTTACATTTACATTTTAGTCATTTAGCAGACGCTCTTATCCAGAGCGACTTACAGTTAGTGAGTGCATACATTTTCATACTGGCCCCCCGTGGGAATCGAACCCACAACCCTGGCGTTAAAAAACACCATGCTCTACCAACTGAGCTACACGGGACTTTACTAGATGGGTGATTGTCCTGTACTGTATACAGTTGAATGTGGAAAATAATTTTGTGCTTGCATGTTTTCTGTAATAAAAAAGAATAAAACAAGCAAACCATGACATGTTCTTGTATTGATTTCTTAAACTGAGACTCAGCACTATGCAGTGATCACAAGCAGCAACGTGAACCAAAGACATTTCAGAGTGAGGCCCGGTAGTTTCGTCATCCCAATACTGTGGTTTACTTTGTGTATTTCTGAGTCTACGTTAAACGGCCATCTCACCTGCTGTAGCGGTCAGAAACGTTGTGAGGGCGCTCCACCTCTCTGCAGTCCCAGGGCTCTGGATACCATTCTGCGGGCCACCGCAGAGTCTGTCCGTGGCCTCTCCTTCACCGGCTGGATAAACTCTGGGAAATACAGAAGCATTTTATATTAGAGTATGGAATAAAGAGATAAGAACACGCTAATAGTATGGGACCAACAAGTTATAGTTACTTACAATGAAAACATTATTTACCCAGATAGCAGATACCACTTCATTTAAATTCTTGTTTCTTAGTGCTACTGTATAGAGAGGTAACAAGACAAGGACAATACCGGCACGTCTTATGGCTTTCCCTTTTGCCTGCTTGCTCCCGTCAGACAGAGTGCGTGTCTTCAGGAGAGGGTGCTGAATGGAAAGCGCATGGAGGGCTAAACACAAACACAGGGTTGATTCAAAGACTCATCTCTGATGTCATTAGAAAGAACACCAACTTCCCCTCACCTAAGGCCAGTAGGCCACACAACCAACTCCAATGTGCCAAAAGAAACTCGTGACTCATCTTGGGACTTAAATATCCCTCAAAATATGAAAAAATAGATATACTCAAAAACCATACCTGCAGATTGACTGGAGAACACGCCCAGGGCGTGAGTGTTGTCCACCCACTTAATCTTCATGCCTTCGTCGCTGGAAGACAGACAGAGACAAGACTGGGAGAGTTAGACAGCCCTTATGAGTGTGCTGTGGGCTTTAATGAGAGGCATTGGGAGGCTTTCACCTGTGCTGCAAGGCAAAGTTTTCCCTATGTACAGATCTAGGATCAGCTTCCCCTCCCCCAATCCTAACCATCAGTGGGAAAAAAGTTAAACTGATCCAAGATCAGCGTCTAGGGGAAACATCACCCTACTCGGAGGCGTTTACCTGTGGTCTGCAAAGGCATCCAGCAGGTCGCCTGTTTTGAACATGGCCGGGAAGTCGTAGATCTCGATGACGTGGGCAAATTCGTCCTGGTTGATCCACACGTTCTCAAAACAAGAGTAGTCGTTGTGGGCGTGTTCGATGGCCACGTCAGTCTCTGTCAAGTGGGCCTTGATCTGACGAGAAATTAAACCAGTTATTGACAGATATAACAACCTATCCCAATTAAGTGTTTCTCAGTAATCCCTTTACATATACAAATGTGAAATATAGCCTATACAGTAAGAACTGTGGACACCCCCCACACCACAGAGTAACACAATGCCCCATTCCCTTTAAAACTGATGCCTGATTCACACTATAGGACCGAAAGGCTAGCTTATACCTGAAAATATATAGTCTATTTAACTTGAGGACAATCCAAAATGTCATGGTCATTTGTTCCATTTTCAAATGGATTTACAAAAACAAAAATATTAGTCTCATAATTGAAGTAATTTGAAGAAATGAACAGAAATTATATAATCCCCATAGATCAACCCCCCCACTCCATTGTTATGGAATTAGTCTGAACTTCACCACACTGTACCTCTTGGCTAAAATCAGCAGCATTGCTAGCAGCATCCTTGGCTGGTGTTGTATGAGAGGCATGGTGTTGGTGGGATGTCACATTGCTACTGCCCACAGACTCCTCCATCAGCACCTCCTCTGCTACATGTTCCTCCTCCTCCTGGTCTTCCTTAGTCTGGTCCTCCAGGGTCATGGCCATGAAGTAGGACACAGTCTGGTCCCAGGCGGGGGGCCAGGGGCAGGGCTCCTCTACAGAGAAGCGAATGAAGTCGTCCTCCTGCCCAGCGCTAGAGGTGGTGGTGCTAGAAGGCAAACTGTCCTGGTTGGTGTTGGCCTGTGTTTCTGACGGCGTTCCCTCCGGGGTGTCTGAGGAGCAGCAGGAGCAGGACTCTGAGGTGGAGGTGCAGCCCGAGGTGTTGAAGCTGAGAGTGGGCAGGGGCAGGTCGAGGTCCACCCCTGCTGGTGGTCCGTGGAGGGAACTGCCGCTGTCCCGTTGCCTGTCCCTAGCCGCCCTGGGGACGTAAATGGCCTTGTCAGGACGTTTGGTGTTACCCCCGCTCCGCCGGGTCAGGGGGTTGGGTCTGGGCTGGGGGTCCGTTCTGCTGCTCTGCATCCCCATAACTCTCCTGGGAGCCTCATCGTAGAAACTGGTGTTACTGTCTGTGTCGCTTTCTTCCCCCAGATCCAGCCTGGCACAGACAACACACCATACTAAAGTCACCATGTAACGCTGTGAAATAATGGGCAATAATTCACATTAAGATGCCCCTATACCATGTAGTTACTTTAGAACTACTTTGGCAGCCAGACTTGATCAATTTAATGTACACTGTGACCTTATAATATGGCATATGAATTTGTATTTACCAGTTGTTTATCCAGGAAGTCCCATTGAGGTCAGAATACTTATGGTACAAGGCAGACCTGAATGTAAGACCTTGTTGTGTGTGCTCTACCTGAGGTGAGAGTAGCAGACAACTACCCTACGTCTCCAGCCCTCCCCCACGGAGAAGGTGGCGAGGTTACGGTGGTTCTCAGTGGTTTTGTGAATCAGGTAGCGAAGTCTGCTTGATAGAGGGGGGAAGAGTAGGGCACTGGGGAGGGAGGGGACAACACTCAAGCCAAAGCTTATTACATTTACATTTACATTTTAGTCATTTAGCAGACGCTCTTATCCAGAGCGACTTACAGTTATTGAGTGCCTCCATTTTTTTTCATTTTTTTTTTTAGGGGGACATCCAATAAGTGTCTTTGATGACATCAACTCACAGATAGACTTTGATCACCTGTAGGTACATTATGATCTGTAGGTACATTATGTCTGTGACACGTTGCTAAATGCCATTGGCAATTAACGTGAAATGGCATGGACAGGGAATGTGTCCCACAAAAAAAGTACAAGCCCTCAATTTATGATTGTGACAGAATGCAGGAAATGGCAGCTTACCTTTTCTGTTTTCCTCTCTGTTGGTAAGCATCCAGTTCGTGCAGGACTGTGTGAACAAATTCATTTTCTTGCTTGGGAAGATAACAGCCATCAAAACAAGGAAACGCCAGGGTGGCCAAAGGGGGTGATGTTGGCACTTTGTAGCTGTAAAAATAATAGTATATTTCATGATCAACGGTGGGGATGCAGTTGACTCAGTGTGACAACCGTTCATATATACATCAGTGTGGTGACAACAACCCAATGCTACGGCTAGCAAGCACTTTGTTCAGAAATAAAACATTTCCAGGCTTACGTTAAGTTCCCCATCAGCTAAATCCCACATTTACAAGGGGCGGTAGCTTTGTCCAATATTATGTATCCACTGCACTGCCCATACCAGGGTTCTCCAACCCTGTTGCTGGAGAGCTACCCTCCTGTAGGTTTTCCAGTTGTTACTAACCTGATTAATTTGATCAACCAGCAAATTCTTAGAATCACGTGCGCTAGATTAAGGTTGGAGCGAAACCTTACAGGACAGCTCTCCAGGAATAGGGTTGGAGATCCCTCCGTTGCTAAGTTTAGCTAGCTAGCTAGCTAACTCTGTTGCTATAGCTAGCTAGCAAATGCTGAACAGAAGCTATTCAATCAAATTATGCAATTATAATAAGATATTTTGTTTTAACCTTTAGTTTATCAGTTGAAAAGATGCCCAAGTAATAAATTACCAAGCAAAAAAAGTAGAGAAATAATTCCAAACGCACACACACAACGCTTGAAGAAAAGAAAAAGCAGCCAGCCCCCATCCAAATAATTGTAATTGTGCCCCTTGCGAACTGGCGCAGAATGCATTCATAAACTGTTTAGTTATTGCTAACGATGACTAACTCAATTTTTTAGTTGTCATTTTTAGCAGACGCTCTTATCCAGAGCGACTTACATTTTTTTTTCTTCATACTGGCCCCGCGTGGGAAACGAACCCTCAACCCTGGCGTTGCAAGCGCCATGCTCTACCAACTGAGCTACACGCAGAATATTGTTGACTGCCATTAAAAATGGTATTCACTCATTTGCAGTTGTCTAGCTATGATCACTGGTTATCTTGTAAAAAAAATATAAAAAAAACTGCAATGTGATGTGTGCTATATTTTACTGAGTATGTCTTTACAGATTATTCAAGAAAATAGTTTATTTATAGATACACATTACACTACATATAATAACAAGAACAATACAATAGATAGGAAATAAAAGCCAGGCTTGGGATTCAAAGCATGCTTAAGGTTTCTGTGGTGGTTTTGTGGTCAATAATTATTTACACATATTGGACAATATCAAGGATAGGGGTAGTCTAGAAACTCCATAATTATGTTGAACCACAGTCAGGGTTGGAGTCACAATTCCTGTCAATTCACATTCAGTCAAGCTAAGCAGTGAGAACATTGATGTCATATCCCAGTATGTGATTAACAATTTCATCAAGATTCATAAATTAAACTAGCAAATGTGAAAACCTGATTCATATTAGCAATAACAGGCAACCTGTGTGCTTAAACACTGTGGTGAACGGTCACTATAAAACAGACACCATAATACAGACCCACACAACATGTTGCATACAAAACAAGTTCATATTGAATAGCCTGTGTCTACAAGGTGACCAAAAGTACACACACACCAAATCAATAAGTTATCTTCTGACAATTATACTGAACAAAAATATAAACGCAACATGTAAAGTGTTGGTGCCATGTTTCATGAGCTGAAATAAAAGATCCCAGAAATGTTCCATACACACAAAAAGCTTATTTCTCTCAAATTTTGTGCACATCCCTGTTAGTGAGCATTTCTCCTTTGCCAAGATAATCCAGCCACCTGACACGTGTGGCATATCAAGAAGCTGATTAAACTGCATGATCATTACACAGGTGCACCTTGTGCTGGAGACAATAAAAGGCCAATCTAAAATGTGCAGTTGTCACAACACAATGCCAGACAACTCAATTGGCATGCTGACTGCAGGAATGTTGACCAGAGCTGTCGCCAGAGAATTTCATGTTCATTTCTCTACCATAAGCCGCCTCCAACGTCATTTGAGTGAATTTGGCAGTACGTCCAATCTGCCTCACAACCGCAGACCATGTGTAACCACGCCAGCCCAGGACCTCCACATCTGGCTTGGGATCGTCTGAGACCAGCCACCCGGACAGCTGATGAAACTGAGGAGTAATTTTGTCTGTAATAAAGCCCTTTTGTGGGGAAAAACTCATTCTGATTGGCTGGGCCTGGCTCCCCAATGGGTGGCCTACGCCCTCCCAAGCCCAACCATTGCTGCGCCCCTGCCCAGTGATGTTAAATCCATAGATTAGGGCCTAATTTATTTATTTCAATTGACTGATTTCGTTATATGAACTGGAACTCAGTAAATTTGTTGAAATTGTTGCATGTTGCGTTTATATTTTTGTTCAATATACATACAAAAGGTGCAGTAACATTTTAGCAAAAGTTCTAGTTGGTTTTTGAGAAGTACAACTTAGAAGTACCTGAAGTAACACATTATAACCCAGAAACTTTGCAATGTTACTGTACATCGTTTACGTTTGTAACTTCCAGGAACAAGAATCCATGAGTCCGGAACATGCTAGCACCACCCCAGTACCACTCATTGTTTTTGTTTAAGTAAACAAATCTGAATTGTGGTGGTTTAAAGTTTCTCCTGGCCCATAGACTACTGTCAAGGTAAGGAACCATCTTACTAATGATGTAATTTTAGTGAAGCAGAGGATATATTAAAATACAGGTTTAAAAACTGTGGCTGAACTATACCTTTAAAGGCTATTTGCATGGAGCTATTACACAATGCACCTTTAATTACGAGTAAGGGTTTAGAAATAGCAATATAAAACAAAATGGCACCATTCATACTAAAGGTGTGGTCTTGCTTCACTAGAATAAGACTTTTCACATGTTCAAATTAATCATCTCAATAAACATGTAAAAAATAGGGAGTGTTGGTCTCTGTGGGAGTATGAAAAATGTATGTACGCACTACTGTAAGTCGCTCTGGATAAGAGCGTCTGCTAAATAACTAAAATGTAAAAATGTAGATATAGGCTACTAGCACACATAGCCCATACCTTACGTGAAATAAATAAAAACAATCATTGATGGGTGTGGTGAGACAATTGGGAAGCACCAGGTGAAATAGGCCATCCTGCATAAGAGCAAAAACAAAAACACCTCAAATTAACAATCCTGTGAAAGTAGTCCTGACAGCTGGAGGCTGGGAGCAGTGGATTTGTGAAATAACATTGCTTATCTGATCATTGCTGCTCATTAACCAGAGGGAATGTAAGTCAAGACATGTCATTTGACAGTATCTACAAGTCAATATTATTCTATTATTTCTAGTTATTTAGACACTAAGCTCTTGTGAGGTCGCTGTGAAACTTATTTCCATTGGTATCCCCTGTTAGGGTTAACAGGATGAGAGAAACTAATCTGACAACACTCACCTTTGGTGTGGTTTATCTTCCGGAGCCAATGCTTCGATCCTCAAAGATGGTGATTTCAACCTGGGGAGGGGTTAGTTAAGGAAGCTGGGATCCAGCAAATGCAAGACAGTTACACAAGAAAGGTCTAGTTGTGCGTCCCAAATAGCATCCTATTCCCTTTATAGTGCACTACTTTTAACCAGAGCCCAAGGAAAATATATGGGGATTATGGTGGCATTTGGGATGCAGCCTCTGTTAGTGTGAGCCTCTGGGACAGTAAAGGATACAACCCTGAGACCTCTCTCTATTGGGTCCGTCAGCAGCAGTCCCAGAGGAGCGTAGATCTTCTCATTCTGCTCCTTGATGAACCTAGCGATCTTCTTCAATACCTAGAGACAAAGAAAGTAAGCCCTTTCACCCATTCATTGCTTGGCCTCATAAAATGACTACACCTAATACGGCCACTGGTCCACGACATAAAACATTGTTTCAACATATTCCCAATATAGTAAGTGCACTACTTTAGACCAGGGCCCACAGGGACACGGATTGTTTTTATTTGGAATGTTCTAACAACCCTTGGCCTACATACTTCTATGGAGAAGACTGAAGGACCTACTTTCTCATAATGGGTCTCCATACAGAGGAAGATAGTGTAAGCTGTCATGCAGGCCAAGCAGCCCTCCAGGTAAGACTTGCCACCTATTTTCTCAGCCTCAGCATAGAGGTTGTTCAGCGTCTGTATTGTCTCCTCGAACTGCTGCCTGTCAACCTGAAAAAAATTATGCCCATCGACCCCTCAGTAAGAGGTATGCACGACCAAAGTCACTGAGAAATAATGATCCTTTCTTGGGGGTCTGGAGAAGTACACTGACTACACGAACTGAAAGAATGTATGACAATTGTATTTGAACCATGGTCTGCTTAGTAGCTGTGTGTGTGTGTGGTCTCATACCCTAGACTCCAGCTCAGAGGGGAACTTGGTCTGGAACCTGCAGATTGTACCCGAGTTGTAGTCCCGCTGGACATACACTTTGGAGGCGACAGCTGCTTGATGTTGCAGGTCCTGCAAGTTGTGCGTCTGAAAGCATGAATTGAATAAACATCATGGGATCATTTGCGTCCATCATTAGTCTAGTTATTAAGCTAACCCAAAAAGCTATCTAGCTAACTACACGGACAGACTGACAGAAGGCTCAGTCTGGACAGAGGGCTAGCTAACGTTAGCCATACTTGTTGACAGCATCTTGATTGGCTAGTGAACCAAGCACCACAGTACAGGCAGCCACCAAATGGTGGAATGTATATCCACAAGTTCAGTTGGTTAGACACGGCTTAGTTGTCAATGCCTAAATACAGTTAAAACAATCAATGTAATTTACCTCAGCCATAGTGGATGTTTAACTTTCAGCTAGCTTCTTCGGGTAGTACTTCCGGACAGGCTGAAAGCTTCAATGAGTATGCTGCCGCTTTTCTTTTCTTTTCTTTTCTTATTCTTATTCTTATTCTTATTTTTCTTTTTCTTCTTCTTCCTTCTTCTTCTGCTTCTTCTTCGATGAGGTTTAACGGCGGTTGGCATCCAATAAATATAGCATTACTGCCACCTACTAGACTGGAGTCCAACTCCCTTATAGTTTGCTTGAAAAAATAAAAAGATAAATAAACAAATACCCTACCATAACACTACACTCACATAATAAAAAATATATGAAAATAATAAAAAATAACACTACCCTACTCCACTATTTAAATCTATTTATTCCTTCCTCAGGCCAACAACCTGAAAAGATGGGACACCACTACTTAACACTCCCTGTAACTCTTCTGATGTCAAGTCTTGCACACCCAAATACCTCTCTGCAGCTGCCACCACAACCTCAATTTTCTGCGACTTAGGTTCCATCCCTGCAGTACAGTTGATAACCATTGCTATAAATGCTAAAAATCCAATCTTACTGAAACATATATCACTTGTTGGCCTGTCCCTCTGTACTGGTACAGATCTACTACTCACACCACTCCTCTCAGGATCCCTCCCCCTTGACCCATCTTCCTCTACTTTCTTCCCTGCCTCAGCATATGACAACTTCTGCACTACTCTAACCCTGGAAACCTCAACCTGCCTCTCTCGCACGGGACATTTCTGATCCCCAGCCCCATGGGCACCCCTACAATAAACACATATCACTACTTTCCCCAATGCTACACATGCTTTTGTCTAATGCCCTTCTGCATACTTCTCACACCTAGGAACCTACCTCCTACACGCTGCTGCCACATGCCCATAAGCTTGACACCTGTAACAATGTAATGTATTCGGCACAAAAGCTCGTACAGGATAACTTATATATCCTAACATCACTTTGTCGGGCAAAGACTCAACATCAAAACTCAAAAGAACAGACAATGACTGTTTCACCACTCACGCCATCCTGTCTGCGTCGCACCAAATGATGAGTCAACTTTTACATTTACTGCTACCCCAGTAATCACTCCTTTCAATGGCACCCTTTTCGTGAGAGCAAAACAATTCACATCTCTTGCCCCCATTAGTTTAACACGGAGTGCCTGCTCCCTCTGACCAGCAGAAACACAAACAATTATCACAAGACCACTTCTGGTTACCCTTACCGATTCCACAGCACCCAACTCTGTTTTCACCCACCCTGAAACCACAAATGGATCAGCCAAAAGGCAAGGGTCCACTTTTTCCAAAAACTTCACTCCTACTGTCACAGACTCATCTTTATCCTCCTGATAATGATCACACCTCCCAGTTGGATGTTTCCCAACCAATTTCAATGTACTATTGAACCTTGTGTGCCCCAGTCTCAGCCTTGTGACTACACTGTCCTCCCTTCTCTCTCGGCCTGAGGACCTCCCTCCCTCCCTTTTCCTGGATCTTATACAGGTGTCTTCCCTTACTCTCGCTGTTCCACAACTCTTGCTATTTGTTTTTAACCACTGTTCTTATTAACCCCTTGGCTTCTGTTTTACAATTCCAGAGCCTGCTTGGCAATAACATCCACCTCCTCTTCCACTCTACTCCCACATGAGCTGGTACCCAGAGGAACATCACAAATATCCCCATCTGTTTCACCCTCCACAAGCACTGCAAAACCGCATACTATACGATACATCCTGTCTGCTCTGAGACACAAATTAATTTAAGCTCATCAGTGCTGCACAGGTGTCAAAGCAGATGACTACCCTGTCTGGCCACACCTCCTCCACCCACTCTGCAGCCAATAGTATGGCCAACAACTCCATTGTGTAAACAGATCAATGATCTGTTGCTCTTTGTCACTGCCACCTTAAACTCAGGAACACTAAAAGCTGCACCTGTCCTCCCTGTTTTAGGGTCCTTATATACATCTGTGAATATATTAAAGAAAGCATATTATTGTGTTCTCTTACAACTGAATCTACTCCTTCCTCAACATCTCTAACAACCCTAGATCTATCACTGGCTGAGGGAGAAACCAAGGGGCTAGGAGAACAACCGAGGGGTTCAAATAAGTGCATTATACACACCTCCACACGTGCAGGACAGAGGTAATCTAGTCTAGTTTCTGAACTTAATTAATCCTCTGCCACAAATGTATAATCTATGCAATCGCAAGTCTACCAAAGGGCATTTGTTTATTTCTTTACTCATTGACATCTACAGTGCCTTCGGAAAGTATTCAGACCCCTTCACTTTTTCCACATTTTGTTAAGTTACAGCCTTATACTAAAATTGATTAAATGAAACAATTTCCTTAGCAATCTACACACAATACCCCATAATGACAAAGCGAAAACAGGTTTTTAGAAATGTTTGCTAATTTATTGAAAACAAAAAACTGAAATACCATATTTACAAAAAGTATTCAGACCCTTTGCTATGAGACTCGAAATTGAGCTCAGGTGCATCCTGTTTCCATTGATCACCCTTGAGATGTTTCTACAACTTGATTGGAGTCCACCTGTGGTAAATTGAATTGATTGGACATGATTTGGAAAGGCACACGCCTGTCTATATAAGGTCCCACAGTTGACAGTGCATGTTAGAGCAAAAACCAAGACATGAGGTTGAAGGAATTGTCCGTAGAGCTCCGAGACTGGATTGTGTCAAGGCACAGATCTGGGGAAGGGTACCAAAACATTTCTGCAGCATTGAAGGTCCCCAAGAACATAGTGGCCTCCATCAATCTTAAATGGAAGAACTTTGGAACCACCAAAACTCTTCCTAGAGCTGTCCGCCCAGCCAAACTGAGAAATCGGGGGAGAAGGGCCTTGATCAGAGAGGTGCCCAAGAACCCGATGGTCACTGACAGAGCTCTAGAGTTCCTCTGTGGAGACGGGAGAACCTTCCAGGACAACCATCTCTGCACCACTCCACCAATCAGGCCTTTATGGTAGAGTGGACAAACGGAAGCCACTCCTCAGTAAAAGGCACGACAGCCCGCTTGGAGTTTGCCAAAAGGAACCTAAAGGACTCTCAGACCATGAGAAACAAGATTCTCTGGTCTGATGAAACCAAGATTGAACTCTTTGACCTGAATACCAAGCGTCACGCCTGGAGAAAACCTGGCACCATCCCTACGGTGAACCATGGTGGTGACAGCATCATGCTGTGGGGATGTTTTTCAGTGGCAGGGACTGGGAGACTAGTCAGGATCGAGGCAAAGAACAGAGATCCTTAATGAAAACCTTCTCCAGAGCGCTCAGGACCGCAGACTGGGGCAACGGTTTACCTTCCAATAGGACAACGACCCTAAGCACACAGCCAAGACAACGCAGAAGTGGCTTCGGGACAAGTCTCTGAATGTCCTTGAGTGGCCCAGCCAGAGGCCAGACTTGAACCTGAGCGAACATCTCTGGAGAGACCTGAAAATAGCTGTGCAGCAACGCTCCCCATCCAACCTAACAGTTTGAGAGGATCTGCAGAGAATGGGAGAAACTCCCCAAATACAGTTGCGCCACGCTTGTAGTGTCATACCCAAGACAAGGCTATAATCGCTGCTTCAACAAAGCAAAGGGTCTGAATACTTTATGTAAATGTGAGTTTGTTAATAAATTAGCAAAAATGTCAAACCAGTTTTTGCTTTGTCATTATGGGGTAGTGTGTAAATTGATGAAAAACGCAATTTTCTCCATTTTAGAATAAGGCTGAAACGTAACAAAATGTGGAAAAAGTCAAGGGGTCTGAATACTTTCCAAAGGCACTGTATATTCTTGGTAGTTTCCATATTGTCAAGCATTTTGTCCTCCATGGCCAAAGGAAAATTTAAGTAGCGAACAGTCGCAAACTCATCTTTGCTTTGTCACAGGTTGCAAACTTGCCTGCCTTTCGTGTCAGGATACTCTGAAGAGGTATGGTCTCCACAAAAAGTTTTTATTTTACTGCATATTGAATAGTCTGACCTGACAAGAACCTCATTCACATGTTCCATACCAATTAGGTTGTGGCCCAAAACCTGACTTTAAATACACTCAGCCAACTGGCTAAAATATGAACACAAAGGTGGTTAGATTTTTCTGGAGGTTTTTATTACATTCAATGATATTCTTGAATTTGGTTAGCAACCATAAGAGCAGAGTTGGTTGCCTTCTAGTCGAATAGGCCGAAGCCCATGTCGTCGTCAGAGCCCTCCTCAGACTCCTCCTTGGCCTCCACCTTAGCGGCGGCCGGGGCAGCAGCAGTCTCGGCCACAGCCACAGGAGCAGCAACAGCGAAGGCAGTGGGGTCAGCCAGGTAAGCTTTCACCTGGGAAAAGAGGGGGTAGAGAAGCAATGTTAACTAAAATGTAGAACTCTATGGATATAACGTGCCAATGGATGACCTGGTGTCAGACATTGTGGCCCATTCCAGAATCAAACTGTGGCCCCTTTTCCCTATGTAGATGTTACAACCAAGGATTTGACAGGCAAAAGTGATGTGGTGAACATTCCTCAACTAGAGGGCAAGGTGGCGCTACAACCATATTACTTATACAATTCTTTGACTTACAGCAACATCCTGGGGGCTAGGTTGTGTGTGGACTGGGCCAGCACTTGGTCAGTCATCCATTTCAATACTATGTGGTCCAAATGGGGGTGGGACGCCATACCTTTTCTGCCAAGGGGAAGGAGTAGTCAGTCTCCACGGCAACAGCCAGGACTCTCTTGTATCCGTTGATGATGGTGTGGGGGATGGAGGCCAGAGTGGGGTATCCGATCTCAAGACACACACTGGCGATGTTCCTCACACCCTGAAAGACAACAAGTTGTGGTCAGGACAGGCATGACAGCAACTTTCAGCTTTTCACTCAAGTGTGAATGTTCCAATACATATTTAATAAATTTGTGTCTGAAACCAAGCGTCCCTGTCAGCTGTGGGATGCAGACAGACAGGGATAGTAGGAAACTAGTTGATGTGTGCAGGGGGAACGACAGAGCAGCACTGAACAAGCTGCACTGTAACTTATCCTGCTTCCTCAAAAGCTAAAAGAGAATAAGTTCCTGAACTTGACAGCTAGACTGTTGTAGTCCTCTTCAATGGATCATTTTCACTTGTTTTTAGAACATTACATATGGAGACAAGACTAAGGAAGAAGGGGAAACGAATTAAGACTTAATAGGACAGTACTACATTTTAGTCCGTTTCATTTACTATTCAAGGCACCAATAATAATAATAAACTGGTTTTGAGTCATGGACTCAAAGTATCTTTACAAGGCAGTGTGCGCTTCCTCACCTCCAGGAACCTGGCGTGCAGAGCATCCTCGGTAATGTCGAGCACCTCAGGGCTATAGACACTACCGTTATCATACACCTGCTGGATGAGCAGACCGAAGGAGAAGGGCGAGATGTTCAACATGTTGAGCAGCGTGGCCTCACTGGCTCCCACCTTGTCTCCAGGCTTGATGAGCATCACATCGCTCTGTAGGGAGAAATTAAGGGTTCAGACCATTAGTCTACAGTTTTTCATTTTCAGAAAAGCCCCATTGTTTTCTAGAGAAGAAAACATTACAATACTAATCCTACACAAATCAGAACATGTGTATTATACGCAACATAGCCTAGCAACATCAATCGGGAAACCCTTCTCAGACAAATGCCTCGATGTCTTCAACTGTAAAGACACACTGCTCCGGGGAGCTGAACCCAGAGACACAGAACGTGACACTGACCCAGCTACCCCAGAGACAGACTATGTCCCGTTCCGACTCGTCATCGTCTCATCACTGAAGAACCTCTTATTTAGAGGGTGACTGAACGTAATTCCACCATCTCATTAGTCTAAAGTAGAGCTCACTAAGCATAGACTGGCTGAGGACTTAAAACTGCAGTCACCACACTCACCAGGATTTCAATGGTTCCTCTGGAGATCTTGGTGGTGATGCCCAGGGCCTGGAAGAAGGAGGTCTTCTCAGGACCAAGCCCAGTGTTCTGGGCTGGCACAGTCACGTCACAGGGGGCAATAGCGCCGGCACGGGCAGCAGCTGGCACCTGAGAGTCAGAGGTTTGAGGTTAGGGGGCAATCCAGCTATGGCTCCCATTCAAACAAAAGAGCAGAGTCCATGGATACATCCCAAATGATGCAGCCCATGAGACTGAGCAAAATCAACAGGAAATTGTGTCTGAGACCAAGCGTCCCTGTCAGCTGTGGGATGCAGACAGACAGGGATAGTAGGAAACTAGTTTATGTGTGCAGGGGGAACGACAGAGCAGTACTGAACAAGCCGCACTGTAACTTATCCTGCATCGTTATTTCATATTTTTAAGCAAACTCCAAAAACAGGATTCTACATCAAGGGCTATACCGTCTATTACAAAATAATAACATTGTATGTGTTCCAAATGGCACCCTATCCCCTATATAGTGCCCTGGTCAAAAGTAGTGCTCTATAAAGCAAATAGGGTGATATTTGGGACCCCACCCCAAGTTGACAATTCAACCATAAGACCAGAGGTTCCAACAAAGGGCCTGGTTAGAAAGAACATCCACCTTGTTGGCCAGCAGCATATCCCGGATCTCAGCCAGGTCCTCCTTGGTGAAGACGAAGCCCACATTTCCTTTGATGTGGGGCAGCAACCTGTGAAGACAGTAACAATGTCAACATTGCACATAAAACCGCAAATGATACACAAATAGCAAAACTGAGAAAAAGAGTGTCTGAGACCAAGTGTCCTTGTAAGCCATGGGATGCAGACAGACAGGAATAGTAGGAAACAAGTTGGTGTGCAGGGAGAACGACAGAGCAGAACTGAACAAGCTACACTGTAAATTATTCTGCTTTGCAAATAGCCAAATCAGTGGTCATTAGATGTAGATTTTTACATTTTCACCAAGAAATTCAGGCCAAAATGTGTTTGTTCGAAACGTACTTCTCCAGGGCAGGATTGTTCTCCAGGTGGCCACGGATGGCTTTGCGCATCATGGTGTTTTTACCCATGAGCACCACAGCCTTCCCACGCAGAGAGAGACGAATGGCCTGCATCTGCTTTGAGCCCACATTGTCTGCGCCCACAATGAAGCATTTGGGGTAATCATCCAGCAGTTGCTGCAAAGAAAAGCAAAAGTTAGTCAAACAACCAGCTCTAAATTCACTGTTTGAGGAAATGTAAACCCTCTACCATCGGATAAGCAAGACTATGCAACATATTTTCAGTTAGTTACTGTGCAAAAGTGTCTGAGACCAAGCGTCCCTGTCAGCTGTGGGATGCAGACAGGCAGGGATAGTAGGAAACTAGTTGATGTGTGCAGGGGGAACGACAGAGCAGTACTGCACAAGCTGCACTGTAACTTATCCTGCTTTGTAAGTAGCCAATCATAAGATGGGGTTCTATACTTCCAAGCATCATTGTTTTCAAATTCAAAAGTGGTATGTCAACCTACGATGATCTTCATGAAATAGTTGGACTTCCACGTGGTCCTGTCTTCCCTCGGCATCTTTGCAGTGCTTCGAAGGATCGCTTAAACAGCTGGTTTAAAGACAGTATATTATCTAAGGAAAATTAAATGTGATTTTAGACATGCAGCAGGTTCAAATCAATAACACCGATCAGTAACTAGCAACATAGTAACTATAGCCATCTAACTGGCACAGTCACTGACCCGGCACTAGCTTCCAAGCAATAGCGGTTACACGGCAAAAAATATCTTTAGCAACTAGCTGACATTATAGCAAAGTGTATACCGTTTCTCTATAGCTAGTTCCGACTTGTATACGTAAGTGGCTTTATGATGAACCGGTATATTGGTAACAAGTTAGATAAAATGTTACAGAAATAATGGTCGCACGTGGCGGTAATCACAGGCAGTGCCGAATAGGCCGCACAGACAAAATACAATACAAACTAAGAATAAGTAATCATAATTATATTTTTATATTAGCATAGTACTGTAGTTTATTGTAATATACAAATAATTTTTCAACCAATCCAGCAAAACACATTTTAACGCTTAATCCTACAAGGAAAACTCAAGCCCATGAAAATCCCTTACCTCACCGTCAGGACGTGTGAAAGAAAGAGAACGACACAGGAAGCGAAGAAGTCATATACAGCGCAAACATTTCTTCTTCTTCTGCTGTGGATTTTATATGGTGGTTGGCATCCAACTTTAAGGTGCATTACCGCCACCAACTGGACTGGAGTGTGGACCATAGACAGTGAAGGTCTAAATCCTACCCAATAATCTCGTCTCCCTAAGGAAACGAAATACATAATGAAATACTACATCCCCTGAAGATTTCTGCAGCAGTTAACTTAATCCTGGCTCTTCAACCCCATTACTCCTCAAATCTAATAACAATCGCTCCCTTTCTCTCACATATTTCTGGCACTGAAATAGAACATGTTCCACTGTCTCCATCTCCTCCTGACAATGATCACACCTCCCAGTCGGTTGTTTCCCCACCACTTTCAATGCCTTGTGTGTCCCAGTCTCAGCCTTTCCAGACTACACTTTCCTCCCTTCTCTCTCAGCCTGAGGACTCCCTGCCCCCACCTTTTCCTGGATCTTATGCAGGTGTCTTCCTTTACTCTCCCTGTTTTGCTTTACTGATTGACAATTCCATCTCAACATTAGGATGTTTAAGAGTCTGCTTGGCAGTAATATCCACTTCCTCATTCCCCTCTACTCCCACATGAGCTGGTACCCAGAGGAACCTCACAAATACCCCCATCTGTTTCACCCTATACAAACACTGCAAAACCTCATACAATACATCCTGTCTGCTCTGAGACACACATTAATTTAAACTCATCAGTGCTGCACAGGACTCAGAGCAGATTACCTCGACTAACCGGTGCCCCTGCACATTGACTCGGTACTGGTACCCTCTGTATATAGCCCTGCTATTGTTATTTTTACTGCTGTTCTTTAATTATTTGTAACTTTTATTTTGTATTATTTTATATTGTATATTTTTTTGCATTTTTTTTTGTATTCGTTCTTAAAACTGCATTGTTGGTTAAGGGCTTGTAAGTAAGCATTTCACTGTAAGGTCTACACCTGTTGTATTCGGTGCATGTGACAAAAAACATTTGATTTGAGATGACTACTCTGTCTGGCCACACCTCCTCCACCCACTCTGCAGCCAATAGTATGGCCAACAACTCCATTGTGTAAACAGATCAATGATCGGTTTCTCTTTTGGTCACTGCCACCTTAAACTCAGGAACACTAAAAGCTGCTCCTGTCCTCCTTGTTTTAGGGTCCTTAGATCCATCTGTGAATATATTCAAGAAAGCATAGTATTGTGTTCTTAAATGTTCACTTACAACTGAATCTACTCCTTCCTCAACACCTTCCTTCCTTATCCTCTCAAGCAACCCTAGATCTATCATTGGTTGAGGGAGAACACAAGGTGGGATAGCAGGAAGGGGCTAAACTCCCTCCCAAACAACCCCATCTCTCTTGCCATGCAATTGCCTATCCACCCAAAGCTTGTATTCAGAGTTTGTTCATGTTCCCAGCACTCTAGGAGCACCTTTTTTGTAGGATGTGTAACCTTATGTCCTTGTAGGTTGACCCAATATGTCATGGCTAGCTGTTGTCTTAACTTTAACGGCATCTCTCTCAACCACCGGGGAGGTCCTGAGTGCTCCACAACATATTCTTAGGGCTTGGGCCTGGATAACATCTACATTTTACATTTTAGTCATTTAGCAGACGCTCTTATCCAGAGCGACTTACAGGAGCAACATCTAGCTTTTTTAAAGATGTCAGAGATGCTGATCCATATGCTATACTTCCATAATCCATTGATGACCTTAACAGTGCTATACATCTCATTTTCAACGCCATTCTATCTGCCCCCCACTCCATTCCTGACAAGCAACGCATCACATTCAATATTTTCTTTCCTTTGACAACTACTCTGTTGTCATTCGAGTGTCAAACCAGACCCCCAGAAACCTAAACCCTCCCAACCTATCCAGAGTCCTTCCATACAACTTCAAGTAGATTTCCTCCCCAACCTTCCCTCTAGAAACAACACAGTCTGTTTTCTCAACTGAAAACTTGAAGCTCCACCTGAGGGACCATTTCTCTACTTCACTAATCTCTTCTTTAACCCTTCTGGCTGTTGGGTAATATTTCTCCCCCTCTTCCACAGCGCTCCATCATCCGCAAACAATGACCTCCCAATATCAGGTTACAGCACAAACAGCCAATCACAATCTATTACGACTACTCTTGTCCACAGACATTATTGGCCACCATCTGAGTCAATCATTTGTCGGTTGCAGTCTCTGGGTGCGTTCGTTTTATGCCCCTGTCCACACCAGCAGTGCACTACCGGAGCGGAGCCAGCAGGGAATTCAGATTAATGGTGACGGGAGTTTGTCAAGATCAAAAGAAAAATAGATGGCGCAAATTATAAAATAAAACTAAAAGACCCATCCATACCCATCTGCTTATAGTCTAAGCTCTGAGCATTCATTGTGTGTGTCTTGTGTAGTTGAGGCAAAAACCATGACAGTGTCAGAAATAAAATATGTATTTATTGGCATCAATCACATTTAATTAAAACGTATCAGCAATCAGGTAACATGTAGCCAGCCCAGAAAACATGACAACAAAGGTACATGGGGAAATAAAACATTTGAGAGGAAAAGGAAAATAGTTCCCGTCAGATAAATTAAGGAGATCAAATGATTAAAACAAAAAAAGGCTAACTTTCCAAAAAAAGGCAGAGAGTAGACTCCCTAACCAGACAGGTTGCCTCCCACATAGGTCTGGGATTTCCGAGACTACAGAGAGCAGAGAACTAAAGCAAATACATGTATGCAATAGCATAAATTAAATGTAGATAAAAAAACAATTACAATCCCTGATAACTTACATAGGGTGTAAATAGTTTTTGAAGGGCCTAGAGATACACCAAAGCAAACATGCCCTCAAGCCTCTCTTTAAAGGGGCCCAGTTCCATTCCAACATTTAGGCTGGTGCCTAAACCTGAGGCCATAGCCACCATCAAGGAATCTTTCCAGTAATTTGAGGAACTCGTTCAATGTTGAAGTGTAACTGTCCAGGACTAGATTCAGGCACTCTGGCAGCACATACACCGGTTTTCATGGTCTATGCTTCCGGTCTCCAAAGCACGGCTATAAAGGCTACCAGAGTGATATTTCACTGAGCTTATTTCACAGAGCTTGATACATTATTTGGCACACTAACTTGATCATTCACTGAAAAATTTAGGATTTACTGTCTTAGAAAGAGAGCCCGTCAATAAGAAGTACTATTCACACTACTTCTGTTACACCTCAATCTATACATTGCAAAATCCAAAATTAATTTAGAATATTACATTAGCAGCATTTCCTCAACCAGGCTAGGTGAAATGCCTCTGTGGATTCATCACGTTCATGTCAACACAGTTGCACTACTAGAGAAGCTCAAGGAATCTATGGCACAGCAAGGCTGAAAGTGCTTAAAACCCTACGTCTCAGGGGGTTGAAGAAACCAAACCTTTCCAAACACATCAGAAATGGCATCCCAGCCTGAGGAGGGCAGACCCAAAATGTCAGTCACCCAATAGCAACATGTAGTAATTTTACAGCAACGAGTACACACTTTAAATCTGCCGACTATACTGTGCTGCGAGGCCATCCTCATTGTTTGCCCCTCTAAGTTATTTGCACCTCTTTTGCTGACCCCCAAAACTCAGAGGTGCATCTCAAGTCTAAAATGGCTTCTTCATTTACACTTCACTGTAAGCTATTGGCTGGGTGACAGCAATATTAAGGTTGTATTCCAGGTGTTTGCTTTCGCCTGTCCAGTACTTTCACATCAGTGCATATGGAGGAAAATAGATGAGGAGAGGAAGCCACTTTAATTGTTTGAGATGCAACCCAGGACACTGGCTGGTGCAGCCATTGTTGTTCAGCGACATCATAATGGCTTCACCAATCCGATCGCAGCAAGGACTTGGAAGTCCACCATATACAGAGAGCTCCAAAAATATTGGGACAGTGAAACATTTTTGGTTGTTTTGGCTCTGTACTCCAGCACTCTATTTGAATTGATATGATGACTGAGGCTAAAGTGAAGACTGTCAGCTTTAATTTTAGGATATTCCTAGCATGCAATGATTACATCAAGCGTGTGACTCCACAAACTTGTTGGATGCATTTGCTGTTTGTTTTGGTTGTGTTTCAGATTATTTACCATCAATTTCAATTGGGCACAAAATAATGTAGTGTGTCATTTTGGAGGTACTTTTATTGTAAATAAGGATTGAATGATTCTAAACACTACTACATTAATGTGGATGCTAACATGATTACGTTTAATCCTGAATGAATCGTGAATAATGAGTGAGAAAGTTAGACGCACAAATATCATACCTCCAATACATGCTAACCCCCCTGTTATTATATATATATATATATATATATATATTTTTTTTTTTGTTGTCATTTAGCAGACGCTCTTATCCAGAGCGACTTACAGGAGCAATTAGGGTTAAGTGCCTTGCTCAAGGGCACATCGACAGATTTTTCACCCAGCCGGCTTGGGGATTAGAACCAGCGACCTTTCGGTTACTGGCACAACGCTCTTAACCACTAAGCTACCTTCCGCCCCTAATAATGGTGAGAGGTTAGCATTTTTTGGGGGTATGATATTTATGGTTCTAACTTTCTCACTCATCATTATTAACAATTCATTCAGGATTATCCATAATCATGTTAGCATCCACATTAATGTAGATGTGTTTAGAAACATATTCTATTTACAATAAAAGTGACTCCAAAATGACACTGTAATTGATGACATTTTTGCATGCTAGGAAAATGGGACCAAATATTAAACTTTTGACTGCTTTAATACACAAGTGAATTTGTCCCAATACTTTCGGACTATGAACAAAAAAAAGTGCTGTAATTTCTAAACGGTTCACCCGATATGGATTAAAATGCCCTCAATTTAAAGTCTGTACTTTAACATCATAGTGATTGTAGCATTTCAAATCCAAAGAGCTGGAGTACAGAGCTAAAACAACAAATGTGTCACTGTCCCAATACTTTTGGAGCTCACTGTAACTCAGTGTTAAATACATTGCATTGAAAATTTGGCATTAGCACAAATATCTTAATTCTTTCAAAGTGTTTAGAAATGAAAATGAAATATATATATATATATATATACACACACACACCACACCCAATGTGCCAAGGGATCACAACTGGTGTGGAAACCATTTAAAATGAATTAGCAAAAAAATGTGTAAAGTTAAAATCCCTTCTTCACAATGACTCAAATATGAAACATTACAAGGTCACTTGAATTTTTCTTTACAGTGGATGATTAAATAAGTAAATCAATTACAAACATAAAAAACAAAACGCTCAAACCTGCCCCATTGCAGTGATTTGAGATCAGTTAACAAAGAGATCTAGGTGCCATTATTGACTGGGGGTCAGGGTTGGGTAGGTTACCTTCTAAATGTAATCCATTACATGTCAAAAATTGTAATCAGTAATGTAACTTTTGGATTACCCAAACTGCGTAACGTAATCTGATTAGGCCTCCTTTCACCTATTTTTGGATTACATTCCCCTTAAAAAGGTCCAATGCAGCAGCTGTTATCTCAATATCAAATAATTTTGGGGTAACAATTAAATACCTTATTGTGATTGTTTTCAATTCAAATGATCAAAAAGAAACCAAAATAGCTTCTTAGCAAAGAGCAATTTCTCAAGCAAGAATTTTCCTAGGACTGTTAGGGAGTGGTCTGAGTAGGGAGGGGAAAACTGAAAACTAGCTGGTATTGGCAGAGATGTTTTGTACCCTAAAAAGGTATCACAGTATTATTCCAACCTCAGTGTGGAAAAATATATAAAACAGAAGAAAATCACGTTTTTGACTGCACTAGGCCTTTAAGAGGCATTAGAAGTAGACAAAAAGGATCCATCAGATGCATTTGGTGTATCATCATAGTAGTCTCAGACCTGTGCTCAGACTCACTCAGGTGAAACAAGCTTAAACTTGTGGCTTTTTACAATAGTTTTACTGGTAATGCAACTGATCAGTTACTCTCCTACCCTGATAGGGGTGCGTCCCAAATGGTCCCCATATACCTATATAGTGCACTTATTTTGACCAGAGGCCTTTGGGCCCTGGTCAAAAGCAGTACACTTTATAGGGAATAGGGTGCCATTTGGTAATCAGTCCAGGTACTGATTCCAGATCAGTGTGTGTCCAGATTACCATGTGACTGAGGACATCACAGGAACCCAGGGTTGTTCGCAAAAGGTTTTGGGGATGGCATGGCTCTCAAGTCCATTAGAAATGGCCCTGTTGCCTGAAACCCAACTACGCGTGCGTGTGTGTGTGTGTATATATATATATATATATATATATATATATATATATATATATATATATATATATATATATATATATATATATCTATATATATATATATATCTATATATATATATATTTATTAGGGTCCATATCTATGCCCATAGAGCCAGCTCTTTGCATATCAGTGTGAGCTAAAGAGTGACAACACTACGCCATGTCACTAAACCAAATTTTGCTCAAATTTTGTGATTGTATTAGCAATTGGCAGCAAATACATTAAAAGGACCAAGCCTATCTGTATTACTTTGTCTTTAAGTAACTGTGGGAAAACACACACATTGTCAGTAGCTAAATTTACAGCAAAACATTGCCCCAAGAAATGCACTCCCCATTCACTCTGAATTAATTCATTTTAAGACTTGGATAAATGTGTGTGCTGTTTCAAATCAACATGCTCCAGTATTTTCCTCATAGAAAGAGAGAAGCCTTGCCTGGTTACACCAGACTGAAGAACACTGTGCTCAGTTTGGTTGCCAGGCTAAGTAAGAGATGCCTCCCTACCCAAGGGTAATGGAAAGAGAGGGATGAGCAGAGTTCCTACGAGATAAACAGAGGTGCGGTACCCAAAACTCACCCAAACACCCCCACCCTCTGTCCACAATATTCAAATGTACGTTCTTTGAAATCAGATTCACATGAATGAGAATTCATTTGAGAATCGGTGAAGCAAAGACTGATGTACTAAAAATAGAAATGGAGAGTCCATAGCACAAAAAGAGCAGTAGTCTGGAGTGTGTGTCGCCTCTAAAACAATGTGTGTATTATTTTGTACAAACTAATTTGAGAGTTAAACAAATTAGGAAAAGGAATATGGATCTACTAAATCTGTGTTGCTGAGCCGTCCTCGTAAGTATATGAAAGTTTCCATAGGAAAAGTGTACAAAAATAGGACCCTGATATCTTGGCCATACCAGGCTGTAAAATGCCCCCATGAGGGTCGTAGAGAGGGATCTATGATTGAGTTGAGAGTGAGCACCAAGTGTTTGAATTGGTCTTAGAGAAGAGAAAGGAAGGAGGGAGAGGCGAAAGCTTTTCCTCTTCTCCGAGTTTAAAATCTGTCGGTGCGTTTTAGATCGAGAGACAGTTTATGGGTATGTATTTGCAATTGCACCGACAGTGTTTTACAACTACAAAAATAAATGTTGGACTGATTACTCATACTCCTCCAAATAGGCACCTGTAGGGAGAGCTGTGGTTTTTCTAATGGCCAGGCTCATCTCAGCTACATGCACAGTAAGGAACAACTCTGCTTCCTCTTCATCATCATAGCCACTGACGGCCTTCTATCCCAGCCTACACCTTTTGAGAAACACACTCACCTGTTGTCCTGATTCTCTTCTTTGTCTTTGAAGTGTGCACCTGTGTACTCCTTCCCACACATTTAAAAAGCATTGGATAGGATTGGCCTGGAGTTTCCACCATATTTCTTACAACTGTTATTTCCTTTTAAATTCATTAAGGGAAGTGAGCAAGTGCACACTTAGGGCAGAACGGTAGAGAATTGGAACACAGCACGCACACACGGATACGCACACACACAGGCTGGGGGAGGCTAGCTCCCTAGCTGAAGAGCTTGATGAAGCAGCCCTGGCAGTAGGGCTTGTCATTCTGCTCCTTGAAGGTGCCCTTATTGAGCTGCTTGAGGCAGAAGGCACAGACAAAGTGCTCGGGGTGGAACTTCTTGGCCATGGCCGTGATGCAGCGGCCTGTGATGGGCTTCTGGCAGCCCGAGCAGAGGGATCCGCGGCGCTCATGGTAGTGGCCCTCACAGTAGGGCTGACCCTCGTGCTCAAAGAAGCTCCCGTTCACAAAGGGGGTGAAGCACTCCTGTAATGCACAGAGAGGTGGGAAGAGAAGAGAAGGAGGTTTTCACAAAATGGCTGAGGCAATCAAGGCTTTCTATACTGTTTTTGGAAATACCTAAAGAACTGATTAGAATAGGTAGAATCTATTGCACCCAAAACCGATTTGGTGAAGGTGCTGGAGGCAACAACAAAAATAATCTGTTTCAAGAACTGTATGTCTCACCATATGTAAATGAGGGATAATAAGCTTAGAATAGCACCACAGCACACACCCACTTACCCTGCAGACAAAGCACTCGGGGTGCCAGAGGGAGTTGAGGGCTGATATGTAGTTCTCCAGGATGGCGCGGGTACAGCCTCCACACTTGGGCGCAAACATGTCAAAGTAGTCCTTCCGACAATATGCCTTCCCATCCTTTTTCTTGGAAGCCTGTAGGGAGGAGCAGAGGACACTGCCTTTAGCTCTCTCTCTCGTCTTGAGGAGAGGACAGAGACAGAAGAGGAGAAGACAGAGAGAGAAGAGGACAGAGAGAGAGAGAGAGAGAGAGAAGAGGACAGAGAGAGAGAGAGAAGAGGACAGAGAGAGAAGGGAAAGAGAGAGAGATAGAGAGAGAGAGAGAAGAAAGGACAGATAGAGAAGAGGAAGATCGACAGAGAGAGAGATATCGAGCAGATCTCATCTATAGATCATCTACGAGCGATCAGCTGCTCTAGCTCGTATCTCTCTATTCATACAATCTATATAGCCGCTCGCTCTCTCTATTTCTCTCGCTCTCTCCCTCTCTCTCTCTACTCTCTCGCCTATTCTATCTCTCTCGCTCGCTCGCACTATGCTAGCCGCTCGTTCTATCTCGACACGCTGCCCTCCAGACTGTCCTCTAGAGCAGATTTAAAGGTAGAGAGAAAGGAGAGCGATAAAGGGGGGTAGCTTACCCTCTGGGCCAAAGAAAGCTCCACACTGAGCACAGAAGAAGTGTTCTGGATGCCAGTTCCTGTCCAGCGCCGTCACCACTTTCTGTAGGGGACAAATGCAGTTAGCATATGGAATTCATAATATCATATTTTTAGGTATTTTGCCCATTTTGTCTATAGCCAGCAGATGGCAGCACTGCAGAGGACAGAGTAGCATAGAGCCGTGTGTCTAGTGAGGACAGAGTAGCATAGAGCCGTGTGTCTAGTGAGGACAGAGTAGCATAGAGCCGTGTGTCTAGTGAGGACAGAGTAGCATAGAGCCGTGTGTCTAGTGAGGACAGAGTAGCATAGAGCCGTGTGTCTAGTGAGGACAGAGTAGCATAGAGCCGTGTGTCTAGTGAGGACAGAGTAGCATAGAGCCGTGTGTCTAGTGAGGACAGAGTAGCATAGAGCCGTGTGTCTAGTGAGGACAGAGTAGCATGTCAGAAGAGAGAGAGTAATAGAAAGAAAGGGAGTGATATGAATACACCACACAGGACCAATGAGGAAGCTTGTTGCCACTGAGACTCATCTGGCCTATCCTGAGGCTAAAGTTCAGTCGCTCTCCTCTTCCCTCCTTTCTGCTGTGGTGCCTCACCCTAGGCAGTGTGTGTGTGAGCACGCTCGTTCGCTCGCATGCGTGTTCATGTGTGCAGCGTGTCAGTGCAAGGATATGAGTGAGTGTTGACGTGTGGAGTGAGACAGGACACACTAATGAAAAACAGAGATGGTGTGTGGAGAAGATGGCTCAAAGCTTGGTCTGTGGCATAGTGTGTGTGTGTGTGTGTGTGTGTGTAATACTAACGTCCAGGATAGGTCCGTTACAGTAGTGGCAGCGTGGGGAGAAGAGGTCGTGGTAGTCCTTCTCACAGTAGGGCGCTCCGTCCCGCTCAAAGAAGTTTCTGGAGCCGATCTCCTCTTGACAGTGGGTACACACAAAGTGCTCTGGGTGCCATGTGCGCCCCATGGCGGTCACCACCTGGACACAGGGAGGAGAGGGCACAAGACAAACACTTACAATCTAATCTAGCAGCCCAACCTGAACTGAAATACAGGATTTTGTGAATCTGGGCTTGTATTAATAAACCGTCTCGGAGTAGGAGTGTTGATCTAGGATCAGGTCCCCCTGTCCATGTAATCTTAATCATTATGTTCTAAAAGGAAACACTGATCCTAGATCAGCACTCCTACTATGAGAGTTTTTACGAGTATGGGCCCAGGGGTGAATCCTAACCCGAGATGTACGTATGACCTGAACTCAGTTTCCCATGCCAATGTCCCATTGACATCAATGCATGATTGATTTACACCGGCTAACAGTGCATTTCTCCAGTTCAGATTCAGCCCTCAGTGTGGAACATTGACCTTTCTATGGTGGTTGTACTTCACTTCATTTCCATTAGGAGCTCAAATGGATTATATGGGAGAATGCAAACCATGCAAGCAGCTCAGGACAACAGGGTGAGTTAACCAATCTAACCATGACCACATTATTCACACCTACATGGACTTAGGATATCCAAAAGGAAAGAAACAACCCCAGATACATGGAATTCATTAAATAGGGACCAGAAAATGTATTTAATAAGCTCAGTAAAGTTGAATGTGAGTGTGTGTCTGTGTGCGTGTGAGTGAGTGTGTGCATGCAGCCTGTATGTGTTCTGCATGAATGTGGCCTCTCTGTATTTGTGTGTGTGTTTATGTGCGTCTTCCTGTGTGTATAAAGTTACCTGTCCAACGATGGGCTTGTTGCAGGCCCCACACACTCCCTTGGCCACAGTCTGGACACCCAGTTTATGGAGGTCTGACTGGAGGCTGCCCAGCATGTTGTCCAGCTTGTTGGCCTGTTTGGGGGGAGCCGTGGGTGTGCTCTTCCCCTGGGCCAGGATCTGTGGATGGGTCACACACAGAAAGACATGTCAAATAAAGAAACAGATGCACAGAAACTCACATAGACAATAACCACACACGCATACAGAATCACACACGCACACAATACAGTTCCCCAAATAGAGCTCCCTTCCAATTCATGTTATGCTCAATTTATCACATAAAACCTAATTAATACGTAGAAGAGTCTCTCTTCAACAACTACCCTGATTACATCTGAACGTAATTGCCCCTATGAAGTAATTTCCCCTCAGGGTTATTATTATTTTATATTGAATTGAATGTGTGTCTCCATAGACATGGCAGTAATTATTCTTGGCGAAACAGATCACCCCCCCCCCACCGGGTTTACGTGACATCCCACAGAAATCAGTGTTTTTAATGACTGAAATGGAAAATGCCACTGGCATTGCATTCCAGACTAGAATGAACATGTAAGATTCATCACATAAAGCCTTCATAACATAGAGCACGGCAGTCCAACTCTGAGACACTTCAATCTGACTACTGTCTCCAAGAGTAACTCTGCTTATCGGCTACCTATAGAGCCCATTGATAGTATGTGTGTGACAATGTGTGCTGTTGATGGGCAGAAGCAAGGTGGGAGGGAACTACACTTCTCGAATGGTGTGGTCATTGGAGATTTCTTACCCAGTCTCATTCCACAGAGGGAAAAAATAGCCTGTCCGTTACAAACGCAAACACCAGGGAAAATGGTCACACATAGGCAGACTTCACTCTAACAAAAGGCAACCCTCAGTAATCAACAGACCTTTGTTAAATCAAATACCAACTTTGCTTCTGGCCTTGCTGTGTTTGTTAAAGGGGAACGGGGATGGAACGAATTGGGACCGACTAGAAAATATATCAAGAGTCGTAGTGGCATATCATAGCAGTATCTTAACAGAAGACTATGCAGTCACCTAATTCATCAGATCTGTTTGGCCTTGATTAAAAAGGCTTGTTAAGTTAAATAGTCAAAAGTCAGGTTTGCAATGCTTATGGTGGAGCACCATTGAGGGAAGTCCTCTTGGAGGTGGGAACTGTGCTGTCATGCTCCAGATTAGGTTTTGGTGGCATTGCAAGCCAACCATTCCAGCGCCATGACTGGAGCCAAGACAGTGTGTCAAACACCGATGAGAGGGCCATGAAGTCCCCGATGCTGCTCTCAAAGCATGGCATGGACCAAGTTGGCGCCACCAGAAGTCATTCTCCAAAAACCGAGACGGTTCAGTCGCCAGCCTGGTGTCATGCTCGTAATCTCTACAGAATGGATTTCACACATCCTTAAAGAGTTCCTACATCATCACAACCCCACTCCTAGACTCTTGGTGCAGCAGTGGCTAGAGATAGGGCCCAAAATACATCTGTTTTCTAGACACACACACACACACACACACACACACACACACACACACACACACACACACACACACACACACACACACACACACACACACGAGAGATTTGGTTTTTACAACACATGTCCACTGACACAAACGACTGAAATATAAACCAGGAGATAGAGAAAAGAAAAATGAGAGGCAGAATAGGACAAAGAGAAAGGGAGAAATAGAAAAGAGAAAACAGAGAAGGAAAGACGAACAATGTGGATTGAGTGTCCCATGCCTCCATTGGTAGGAAGATGGGATCATATTCGGTGTGGCAGCCAACAGACACAAAGACCTTGGGGGGAGGGAGCGGGGTGACAAGCTTGAGCGGGGGGCTGGGGGTTTTGGGTGGGGCAGGGGTACGTTTCCTAGGTGGAGGGGTGGGCTCTCTGTGGATTGACGTCTAGGGAGGGGTGGGCTGACACTCCACAGGTGGGGGGATAGGGGTGCGTGGTGGGGGAGGGGTGGGCTCCCTGGGAGGAGGCGGGGGAGGAGGCAGGGTCGGAGGGGTCTGCTTGACAGGGGGTGTCTTTTTGTGCACCGGAGAGGACTGCGGAGGGGGGATGACTTTTCTCTGAGGGACAGGCGAGTCAGGCGGAATGATGATCTGGGTGTGGGAAGAGACAGAGAGCAGGAAGAGAGAGACGTCAAAGATGAGTCAAATGAAACCACAGGAAATAGAAAGCCTCAGGTGGTGCAAAGAAAACATGATTTCTCAACAGGTGGTTATAGAAGAATACGGTTGAGAAACTGTTTGCTAGTCATTGTCCATATGTGTGGAATAGAAAATGGCCTTGGTAACGTTAGTCTAGAATAACAGCACTAATCAAGAAACAAACTACTGGAAGGTGCTGTATTTCTCTAGCAGGTCCAAATGTAGCCCATGAGATGACTTATCACTGGCTCCGGCCACCTCTCTGTACCTTGTCCACCACCGGTGAGGCCCCGGGTGCTGGGTGTTGCTTCCCCATACCCCCATGATGACAGACATGTCCGGGGTGCTGTGGAGCCAGAAACGAAAAACACCAGGAAGCACAGTCCTTCAAGCAAGGTCCCTTTGCATCAATAGGCAGATCGTGAAAGTCAAAGGGCACTCCACTCGACTCCATTCCACTCTTTTCCGAGGCAGTCCATTTCACACCTGCTAGGCTGCAGTATGTGAGCATGCTGGCTGATTGAACATGTAGCAAATGGCCATTCTTCTGAACGCAAAAACCTACACAATGTGCAAAACATAAACTAGAAAATCTAATGCAATACACAGGCGGACGTAAAATGCAAGCAGCAAAACCGACAGTCTTTGACTCTTGCAGTAATGTCACTGTAGAGAAGCAGCTCAAGTCCTGCTAATGTCCATAAAAGTAGCTCCTGAAACATGGTTCCACAGGCCTAGATAAACCCTCTCTACTCTCTCTACTCCACTTGCATGTTTTAGGTTTTCCCCCCTTCCACCCAAACATGTGCACAGAGAATGTGTGTTTGTGTGTGTACAAGGGAACCAAGAGAGGACCAACTACCTAGCCCTGGGGGACACCAGTAGTGAGACCACATCGTGCAGATACAGACCTTCTCGACATCACCTGGAAGAAGCGGTACTAGGTCCTCTCTTATTCTCCATTTACACCAAGTGTGTTTGTGTACATGTATGGTGATTCATTACCCCAAATAAGATTGATTTCTAGATTGAGTCTTCAGAAAATCACCTACTTGAGGAGGTCCTCTGTAGCAGGACCTTCTCTGCTAAATGGCATATATTATATACTAGGAGAGATACACTACATCACCAAAAGTATGTGGACACCTGCTTGGTGAACATCTAATTTCAAAATCATGGGCATTAATATGGAGTTGGTCCCCCCTTTGCTGCTATAACAGCCTCCACTCTTCTGGGTTTTCCACTAGATGTTGGAACATTGCTGCAGGGACTTGCTTCCATTCAGCCACAATAGCATTAGTGAGGTCGGGCACTGACGTGGGCGATTAGGCCTGGCTCGCAGTCGGCGTTCCAATTCAACCCAAAGGTGTTCGATGGGGTTGGGGCGGCAGGTAGCTTAGTGGTTAAGAGCGTTGTGCCAGTAACCGAAAGGTTGCTGGTTCTAATCCCCGAGCCTACTAGGTGAAAAATCTGTCGATGTGCCCTTGAGCAAGGCACTTAACCCTAATTGCTCCTGTAATTGCTCTGCTAAATGACTAAAATGTAAAATGTAAATGTCAGGGCTCTGTTCAGGCCAGTCAAGTTCTTCCACACCGAACTCGACAAACCATTTCTGTATGGACCTTGCTTTGTGCACAGGGAAATTGTCATGCTGAAACAGGAAAGGGCCTTCCACAAACTGATGCCACAAAGTTGGAAGCACAGAATAGTATGCTGTAGCATTAAGATTTCCCTTCACTGGAACTAAGGGGCCTAGCCCAAACCACGACAAACAGCCCCAGACCATTATTCCTCCTCCACCAAACTTTACAGTTGGCACTATGTAATCGGGCAGGTGGGGTTCTCCTGGCATCTGCCAAACCCAGATTCGTCCGTCGGACTGCCAGATGGTGAAGCGTGATTCATCACTCCAGAGAACGCGTTTCCACTACTCCAGAGTCCAATAGCGGCAAGATTTCCCATTTCAATGATGAGAAATCCCATACTGATAAGTGAAGTGAAAAAAGAATGGCGAATGCAGCGATCAGACCGATTCCACCAGGCTAGAATGAGCAATCATCTGATAGAAAAGCCAATGGCACCATATCACAAATATACCACCACAATGGTATATTTGTGATAATTTAAGGATACACGGGGAAGAATATGTCACAGTGGGGATTTGGTCTCAAAACTTGGCCTAATAAAATAAAAAAACATTTGGTGCCTTAGAGCCCTCAGACTCTTGTGCGTGCCAGCTTATTTTGGAGAACGTTGTTGCGGATGGGTGGCCTGCTGGAAGAGAGCGTCGTACTTGGCCCGACACGGACAACTTCTCCACGGCCGAAGGCTGGTTCAGGGGCAGGTCCAGGTTGGTGTCTGGGGTACCTGGGCAAGTTGATGGGGTCAAACAGATGTCTATCCAGCTGGCCTCGGAAAGGGGAGTCATCGTCCCCTCGCGCCTGTCCAGAGGCGTGATGTGTCCTGGGTAAATCCCTTCCTCCCTAGTTCTTTACTCGTCTCCTGCAATGGCATAAAGCTCCTCTTTGTCCTGATGGGTCTCCTTGGCATGCTCCACTTCTCCCTCTGGTTGAGTCAACTCGAAGTACAGCAATCTGTTGAGGGAGTCCTCCAGCAAGGACTCCCGACATTTACACATTATCCCCAACTCAGTACATGCAGTAGTGTGCTCTGGGGGCTGAGCAGCAGGTGTGTTTGACTGGTTCTCCTTCGGTGGGGAAGATGGAGCAACGGGGGCTAAGGGAGGAAGGGTGTTCATTTTAGGAGTGGGACTCTTGGCAACCGGAAGAGGACTGGGGCTCTTGGCAACCGGAACAGGACTAGGCGTCTTGGCAACAGTTACAGGACTAGGCATCTTGGCAACAGTTACAGGACCAGGCGTCTTGGCAACAGTTACAGGACCAGGCGTCTTGGCAACAGTTACAGGACCAGGCGTCTTGGCAACAGTTACAGGACCAGGCATCTTGGCAACAGTTACAGGACCAGGCGTCTTGCCAACAGTTACAGGACCAGGCGTCTTGGCAACAGTTACAGGACTAGGCGTCTTGGCAACAGTTACAGGACTAGGCGTCTTGGCAACAGTTACAGGACTAGGCGTCTTGACAACAGTTACAGGACTAGGCGTCTTGGCAACAGTTACAGGACTAGGCGTCTTGGCAACAGTTACAGGACTAGGCGTCTTGACAACAGTTACAGGACTAGGCGTCTTGGCAACAGTTACAGGACTAGGCGTCTTGGCAACAGTTACAGGACTAGGCGTCTTGGCAACAGTTACAGGACTAGGCGTCTTGGCAACAGTAACGGGACTAGGGGTCTTGGCAAAAGTTACTGGATTACGCGTCTTGGTGGTTTTTGCATCCACTGCAGGACTGGGGGACTTTTCAACTGGAGCAACAGTAGGATTGAGGTTATTTGGCAAAGTATGGCTTGTGGTGCTATAGACCACAGTGAAGGACTATGTGGGAGGTCAGTGTAGTTCTCACGCTGGGATCAGTTTCTCCTCCCAGCTGTGTGTGGATCTGGGTGTACTGGAGGCTCTGGGACAAGGCCAACAGAACGGAGGCTGAAGCTGCTGAGAAGGGGGGTGGAGAGGGTAGGGGCAGAGCAGGCATCTTCATCTATGTGGAGTTCTAAAGGAACAGGGTTACAGGAGGGGAACGTGTCACTGGGGGGCTCCAGCTGCAGATCCACAGGCCCAGTTGGGTCTCTGGTTACAACTACTGGGGCAGCAGACTGTCTCTAAGGAGGAGGGTTCTGATCCTTGACTGAGCAGTAGAGGTTCTATATTGACAGACAACTGAGAACCAGACTGGAGATGGAAGACAGTAATAATAGGAGACAAAAAAAATAAAAAATAAAAGGAGAAATGGTTTGAGGAGAGGTAGGAATGGGAAGTTACCACAGTGGCAGACATGCATCATGGCAAGTCAATCATGACCATTTCCACAAAGCCTTGTTAAAAGTGGCATAATATATCATAGTGATGAATATAGAAATAATTCACATTCCTCACTTACAAACCTCACAGTAGCTATGTTTCCATCCAAATTGGAGACATACTTTCATGCAAATATTCTAAAATCTGCATAAAGACAATATACGCATTTTCCCACCAGTGGTGTTTCGACCAAACTGACTTGTTGTGGATAAAAAGCAGCGTGTGATGACGTAGTGCTAATAAAATAATTAAAATAATCAAAAGGTACCTTTCCGCTTAAGCTTTCATGTACCGAATAAAAATCTAATGTGTGTTTCTATCACATTTTCAACTCATTGGTTAGTCACAAAAACTGTTGCGTTAAATAGCAAATGTGCCCACTCTGGTCTTGGCAGTGTGGGTAGGCTAGCCTACATGATGAGATTATTATTATAGAAAAGAGAGATATTTTTTTTGTCAAACAGCAGCCAAGGGTCAAATCATCATGTCACCAGAATAAGACCCTCAATATTTATTATAAAGGAGCATCAAGCTCATCACTGTGCACTTTTCACCAACCTGTGAAGTTCATCATAATTCATCTGTAGCCCAATAAACTGCCTGATTTCCTGAGTCGTAGTGGGAGGACTACACAAATATCATCACGTGACTCCAAATGTACAGTGCATTCAGAAAGTATTCAGACCTCGACTTTCCCACATTTTGTAACGTTACGTATTAAATAAATGTTTTTCCTCAGTCTACACACAATACCCCATAATGAAGTGAAAATAGGTTTAGACATTTTTGCAACTGAAATACCTTATTTACATAGATATTCAGACCTTTTTGCTATGAGACTCAATATTGAGCTAAGGTGCATCCTTTTTCCATTGATCATCCTTGACATGTTTCCACAACTTGATTGGAGTCCATCTGTGGTAAATTCAATTGATTGGACATGATTTAGAAAAGGCACACACCTGTCTATATAAAGGTCCCACAGTTGACAGTGCATGTCAGAGCAAAAACCAAGCCATGAGGTCGAAGGAATTGTCCATAGAGCTCCGAGACAGGATTGTGTCGAAGCACAGATCTGGGGAAGGGTACCGAAAAATTTCTGCAGCATTGAAGGTCCCCAAGAACACAGTGGCCTCCATTATTCTTAACTTGAGGAAGTTTTTAACCAAGACTCTTCCTAGAGCTGGCAGCCCGGCCAAACTGAGCAATTGGGGGAGAAGGGCCTTGGTCAGGGAGGTGACCAAGAACCCGATTGTCACTCTGACAGAGCTCTAGAGTTCCTCTGTGGAGATGGGAGAACCTTCCAGAAGGACAACCATCTCTGCAGAAATCCACCAATCAGGCCTTTATGGTAGAGTGGCCAGACAGAAGCCACTCCTCAGTAAAAAGCACGACAGCCCGCTTGGAGTTTGCCAAAAGGCACCTAACGGACTCTCAGACCATGAGAAACAAGATTATGTGGTCTGATGAAACCAAGATTGAACTCTTTGGCCTGAATGCCAAGCGTCACGTCTGGAGGAAACCTGGCACCATCCTTACGGTGAAGCATGGTGTTGGCAGCAACATCCTGTGGGGATGTTTTTCAGTGGAAGGGACTGGGAGACTAGTCAGGATCGAGGGAAAGATGAACGGAGCAAAGTACAGAGAGATCCTTGATGAAAACCTGCTCCAGAGCGCTCAGGACCTCAGACTGGGGTGAAGGTTCACCTTCCAATAGGACAACGACCCTAAGCACACAGCGACGCTCCCCATCCAACCTGAATACATTTGCAAAAAATAAATAAAAATAAAAATGTTTTTGCTTTGTCATTATGGGGTACTATGTGTAGATTGATGAGGGTAAAAAACTATTAAATCCATTTTAGAATAAGGCTGTAACGTTACAAAATGTGGAAAAGTCAAGGGGTCTGAATACTTTCCGAATGCACTTTACTTCGGTATGATGCTATTCTATCAATATTTGCGCATAAAGGTGTTTCCACCACCATTTCTCGCATAATACATTTTACAGACACAAAAAGATCCCACTTTGTGAAGCGTATTTTGTTTTGTCGACATTTGGAAAGTTTACAGACAAAATTAGCAGTTTCCATCACGCCTGTCATTTAAAAAAAATATCCGACATGTACTTCACTCACATAAAAAGGTTGGAAACCTGGTTAGAGTAAATAACTTGTTGTATTGTGGGATCGATAAGGTAAATGATAGTAACTGCCCGACCCAATGTACATTACATTCTAGACCACAGGATTCTACCTGTGTGAAGAACCCCCACATCAATGCCAAAAATAAATATACATTTACAACCTACCTTTTTAAAGCAACCTCAGTTGACTTTCCACCACCCGGTTTCTAATCAATATATTTATTTGAATGCACATTTCACCCTAAGTTACTTCACCCAATCTGTACCTGCATAGTACTCTTTCTCATCTTTCACCCCACCCACCCTGACACCCACCCCCCATCCATCCATCCTAGATATTTTGTGTGCATGTATTGATATGTAGGCTGTGTGTGCCGTTTGAACATTTATGTAGTTCTGTCCTTGAGCTGTTCTTGTCTATTGATGTTCTGAATAATGCATGTTTTATGTTTTCTGTGGACCACAGGAAGAGTAGCTGCTGCTTTCGCAACAGCTAATGGGGATCCTAAAAAAATACCAAATACCACACTCACCGGTCTCTTTCTCATCCACCCACCCTCGTAACAATCTTTCTGTAAAACTCACGTTGCTCTGGACTTTGAAGTCGGACAGCGAGGCCATGAGCTCGTCAAGCTCCCGCGTGGCGGAGGAGGCTGAGATTCTGGCCTGCAGCTGGGAGGGCGTCTCCTCCTCCACCAATGGGGTAGGGCTAGAGATCAAATAAACAAACATTAGGTCATAATAATGAGCGTAAAATGACCAAAGTCAAACATGAAAAACACAAAAGGACATAGCACGATCTGTGAGTAAGATTAAACGGTCTTCCGGAACTTGAGGTGCAGTGCCATTGCTTTGCGGTCAATTGTCCCCCATTTATGGTGATGGCAACGTTTTTGACCAGCTCTAATCCTTACATGGGAGAGGGCACAGAACTTTCTAGCTTGTCCAGGAGGCTCTTGGCGCTGGGGCGCACGTCTTCGATGACCCTGGTGGCCACACTGCGTTTGGGCTTCTCCATGGTGGGGCGAGGCACCTTGCCGGCCCCCAAAACCCCGTTCGCCTGCACATAATGGGTGGTGCTGCTGGAGGGGAGGGGCGGGGCTGACTCTTCTGCAACACAGGAGGATAAAAATAAACATTTACATATTGCCAGGTTTCAACAACTGCAACGGTCAAAAGACAGTGACTGTTAAATGCTTTTATGTACCAAATAGGGTTTTCTACGTGTGGGCCCTGGTCAAAAGCAGTGCACTATAATAGGGAATAGGGTGCCATTTGGGATGCACACATAATGGTGTAGCGTACCCTCAGTGGGAAAGGAGGGCGTGTTGTGCTGCACGGCGTTGAGCTCTAAAAGCAGCCGGTCCAGCTCCGACAGGTTGCAGCCCAGGGAGGAGCTCATGGCAGCCTCCGTACTCTTCTGCTTGTTGGGGAAGCTGCAAGAACCAACAGAGAGAGACACACATCAGTAACAGACATATGATGTTAATTTTGTCCTGTGTAGCTACATACAAAGTGTATTGTTAATGATGATCATTATTACCTGTAGACGTGGTCCTCTTCGCTTCGGGGTAAGGGGGGGCTACTGCTGTCCCTGGACCACAAGCTTTTCTGTGCAGGGCTGTAGGACTAAGAAAGGATAGGTCCATCTTTAGAAGTGTAGTAGGAGTGTTCTAGATGGGTAATGTGGTAAATGGGTGTATGTCAGGGGTGTACAACTTTATTCTCAATGTGTCATGTGGGCACAGGCTTTTGCTCAACCAATCATAGTCTTCACCAAGCCTTTATTAGTTGAATCAGATCTGTTACAAACTTGAGCAAAAGCCTGAACCCACACCAGCCTTGTGCGTGTGTATGGGAACACAAATATGTATATATGTGTATGTACCTGTGTGGACAAGGGGGTGGAATCTAGGGGGTCAAGCAAGGTTCCGTTCAGGGCCTCAGCAGAGGGAGGTGGTGGTACAGGGGGAGGGGCCTGTCCTCCCGTGGGGAAAGAGTAGGGCGACTCGTCCGGCGGAAACACTGGCCGCTTGGAGATGTGGGAGGTCGTCGACTCCAAGTCCGCCAGCAAAGCATCTAGGAATATAAGAGTAAGACCCTTTTAATATTTATTCCTATCCTGGTAGACTGATGTATCTGGCCTGGTAGACTGATGTATCTGGCCTTATAAATCAAAAGCAGAGCTGTCAAAAGTTGACCTGGTGTAAACAGAAAATCACTGACAAGATTGACAACCTGAACATAGGGCAATCACCTTGCTTATTTGATTGCATCTCTCAAGGAGAAGTTTTAATTTTAAAAAGTAGGTTATTCCTAGACTCATGTATTACAATGACGGACAACACAAGCCCGCCACTAGTCTACTGTAATTTCAAACAAATTTGTTGTGCAGGTTTATTTTATATTATCATGGTATGACCTGTGATCCCATCATCATCCTTGTCAACATCCTCCTCCTAGTCATCAATAAGTACCCTTGACAGCTTGATGTTCAGGCAATTTCCCAACATGTCCAAACACAGCCAGATGTAACATTTTGACATTTTAGGAGGTGCAGCAGGGTAGTAATTCACTTCACTGAATCATCTGCACTGTCACCACACCTTTGGTTACTCGTTTACCCTGCTGTACACTGCTCTACTGCTCCCAGAGTTTCACTGTTAATTGGTGTGAAGTAGACCGCAGCGAGACATAAAAGCTTTGGTAACACTTTACAGTAAAATGTATACTTTTTAAACTATGTATATACACTATTAGTAAGCGGTTTATAAAATGTGCCTAATTAGAAACCCTTAAAAATCATTTTAAGTACGTATACTTTAATCTATGGAGTTAGTCTACTAAAGCTTTCTCTGGCCAGGTTGTAATCACTCACTGCCAACCAATTGTTGCTTTCCACCTTTGATACAAGTGGTAAAGCTAGATCATGTTCTTCCCATAAGAAACACCCAACCCCAATTTCCCACTCTAAATGCAGCCATTCTATCTGGGTAAACAAAACGGCTAGCCAGTTAGCCACCCAGTTGGTGGGCAAGAAGAGAACGAGGAAGGTGACATCATCTACACCTAAATCTATATGAACCACCATTTCTGTTACACACCCATGTTCCTTATACTGAGATGACTTCTCTTAAGCTCTTAAGTAGTTGCCTCTGATTTCACAAGTGTGTGAAACTGTGTTCAATAAAGACCCTCTCCTGCACTATGAATACATTCCCTACTCTACTCTCCAATGGACTTGACTTCAGTCATCAATATTAAACAGAAAAACAAACAAGCACAATCCATAAATGAACTGTGAACGACGTATGTACGCACCTACACTTCAAGAAGTCAAGAATACAGTCACACTAAACATAACTGATGATGACAAAAGGTGAGAAATACAGGAAACATTAGTGGAAACAACATACCCGAGGCGATAAAGAAGACTAGTACATACACACCCCGGGAGGACGAAGAGAGGAATGCAAAGGAAGAGTGTGGAAGAGAGCAACCCAAACACACTGGCTGACAGGCAGGAACTGCCACCCTTAACACCAGAGACTAGTAATGAGAGACTGAGATGGGAGGAAGGAGGAGGAAAGGGCAGGAGGGGAGGCGTCACTTTTGGTGGCAGCGGGAGGATTAGGTTTACCCCTAGCTATGCCAATTTGAAGGCTGAGGTAAGAGTTTGTTCACACTCACACGACTGCTGCAAAGAACGGTTTACAAACTAGGCAAGTAGAGCCAACACATTACAAGAAAGCCTGAGAAAAACATGAAAAAGTTGTGTCAGTGAGAGGGAAAGTTGTGAAAGAGGGAGGGTGGAGGGGAGGGTAGAAAAGAAAGAGACCATATCAGAGTGCCATGCACATAGAGGGAGTGGTGTGAGAGTGGTAATTAAATTAACCCTTCCTTCACCTGGGCTGCTGTTCTGTCGGTCTCAAGGTTCATTCCAAGTGTGCTTGAGTTCAGTGACCAAGTCATTTAATGACATAACACACTCCCTCATCGGTATGGAGTGGCTGAGATGGAGTATCCCATGGCCCAAGGAATCATGGATACCAAAAGACAGACAATGGTGACAGCTGGGCTGGGCACTGGATCCACTTTGGCTGGAGTTGGCGTTAGCATCATTAGCATGCTGGATAACGACAGGGCTACCGAAGCAGAGGGGTTTGCTGACTGACTCCGAGACACTGTAAACATTCCAGTGGATTTGATTCTGGATACAGCAGAGCCAGGTGTTTATTCAACTACAGCTAGATACTCCCTTTTAGGGGAAATATATAGCAGCCTAACAACCAACCAACTGCCCAAAGGTTGAGGGAAAAGTAAAAAACCTCAGCATCCAAAGTCAGTCTTCATGCCGGACAACAGCAATGCTCAAAATATCAATTTCCGTTTGATTTCCAGCAGAAGGCGTTTCAACAATGTTTTTGTGGGGAAGGTTCTGTACTAGTACACCTACCAGCAAAGACGCAGAATAGAGTCTCTTTAGGTTAAGGCCAGCCTCCAGTTATTATTTCTGGTAGTTCTGAGGCCTCAGAACATGAAGGAAACAGATTGCAACGGGTTGTGCAATAAGGAGGCTGGGGTTTTGACATTTCTTGTTGTAGACCTAAGCATTCGTGTGGAGGCCTATAAAAGTGTCAGTCCTCTGTGCCAAAGGGGTGAGGAGAACATTTTACATTTGAGTCATTTAGCAGACGCTCTTATCTAGAGCGACTTACAGTAGTGAGTGCATACATTTTCATACTTTTTTTCCATACTGGTCCCCTATGGGAATCAAATCAGTTGCAAGCGCCATGCTCTATCAACTGAGCCACACAGGAACATGCAATGACACATCAGCTCATAGCCAGCCATTCACATGCTCTGCTCCAATATCCAAACTCAAATACCATTCAGAATGAAGCAACATATTGGGAATGCATTCGAAGGGGTGTGCTAGTGTGCATATTGGAACTTGACTGTGCACTCTTGCCTGTTACTAGGCCATCCAGTGGTCGGGAGGGAACTGCAGTAGGAGTTAAAAGTACCCTGAATGAGGGAGAGGCAGTGTCCGAATACCCATACTAGCGTACTACATACTTAAACTGCACACTAAGTACTCTTCGTCGCATACTATTTAGCACGTACAGTTTAGTAAAAAGTATGCAGTATGCCACAGCCGCAACACAGTAGCAGCTCCTGACTGGCTCAGTAGGTAGGGCAGGGCCGAGTGCCGGTGGATTTCTCAAAATTCAACAGACATGAATCGCATTAACCAGCCTGATAATAGCTCATTTCTAATTCAATTAATTTCTCTAAACTGAATAGAATAGGCCTACTCAGGCTGGCTAGAGGCAGATATTACATATACCCTAGCCCATCTATCCTATTTAAAAAGGACCGAAGACAGAAACAGATCATTTGGTTCCAGTTAAACATATTTATTAGTGAAACCAAAGTGCTGTAACATATACAAACTAATTCACATAGACTAGTAGGCTACACACAAACCTTTCAAATGTTCAATTAAAACGCTATTGCACAGAAAAACGTGGACAGTCGGGTGCATCGCAAATTCTGCTGGACAGCAACATAATAAACTAAAGCACTGATCATTGGGAAGGAGATCAGAATGACTCCTAAGGCTTGATCCATAAATTAAATAGGTAGCCTAGCCTACAAACCTAAAATAATCCATACATATGCGCCTGGTGGGTGAAGAGATATTTGCACAACAATGTTTGTTTGTGCTGCCTGCTAGCTGTGATCAAAACCACCATTTGTGAATGTGTTGAGTAAATTAAATTGTGAAATTTGCCCACCAAAGGATATAAAATCAGCTGTAACACACATAACATTGTAAATTATACACTAAGCATGCATTTTCCATGTATTATGCTACCAATTGGATTATGGTATCTTAACATTATGATTCTCATATACACTGCTCAAACAAATAAAAGGGAACACTAAAATAACACATCCTAGATCTGAATGAATGAAATAATCTTATTAAATACTTTTTTCTTTACATAGTTGAATGTGCTGACAACAAAATCACACAAAAATTATCAATGGAAATCAAATGTATCAACCCATGGAGGTCTGGATTTGGAGTCACCCTCAAAATTAAAGTGGAAAACCACACTACAGGCTGATCCAACTTTGATGTAATGTCCTTAAAACAAGTCAAAATGAGGCTCAGTAGTGTGTGTGGCCTCCACGTGCCTGTATGACCTCCCTACAACGCCTGGGCATGCTCCTGATGAGGTGGCAGATGGTCTCCTGAGGGATCTCCTCCCAGACCTGGACTAAAGCATCCGCCAACTCCTGGACAGTCTGTGGTGCAACGTGGCGTTGGTGGATGGAGCGAGACATGATGTCCCAGATGTGCTCAATTGGATTCAGGTCTGGGGGACGGGCGGGCCAGTCCATAGCATCAATGCCTTCCTCTTGCAGGAACTGCTGACACACTCCAGCCACATGAGGTCTAGCATTGTCTTGCATTAGGAGGAACCCAGGGCCAACCGCACCAGCATATGGTCTCACAAGGGGTCTGAGGATCTCATCTCGGTACCTAATGGCAGTCAGGCTACCTCTGGCGAGCACATGGAGGGCTGTGCGGCCCCCCAAAGAAATGCCACCCCACACCATGACTGACCCACCGCCAAACCGGTCATGCTGGAGGATGTTGCAGGCAGCAGAACGTTCTCCACGGCGTCTCCAGACTCTGTCACGTCTGTCACGTGCTCAGTGTGAACCTGCTTTCATCTGTGAAGAGCACAGGGTGCCAGTGGCGAATTTGCCAATCTTGGTGTTCTCTGGCAAATGCCAAACGTCCTGCACGGTGTTGGGCTGTAAGCACAACCCCCACCTGTGGACGTCGGGCCCTCATACCACCCTCATGGAGTCTGTTTCTGGCCGTTTGAGCAGACACATGCACATTTGTGGCCTGCTGGAGGTCATTTTGCAGGGCTCTGGCAGTGCTCCTCCTGCTCCTCCTTGCACAAAGGCAGAGGTAGCAGTCCTGCTGCTGGGTTGTTGCCCTCCTACGGCCTCCTCCACGTCTCCTGATGTACTGGCCTGTCTCCTGGTGGCGCCTCCATGCTCTGGACACTACGCTGACAGACACAGCAAACTTTCTAGCCACAGATCGCATTCATGTGGCATCCTGGATGAGCTGCACTACCTGAGCCACTTGTGTGGGTTGTAGACTCCGTCTCATGCTACCACTAGAGTGAAAGCACCGCCAGCATTCAAAAGTAACCAAAACATCAGCCAGGAAGCATAGGAACTG